AAGGCAATTCCACTGGCGCAGCCTGGCCAACTAATCTGTTAGTGATAGCCCAATGAGGGACCACTTTATATCTGCTCAGGTCATAGGTTCTGGAGCTTTCTGCTATTGGCCAACTCCATGGCCGCAGTTAAACAGTACGGGCTTGCTCTGTGGGGATGGGGCACAGCCTCTCACAGCTGAGAGAGACACTGTCTCTCCTGTGGACAGTGTGGGTTTAACAACACCCACTATCGTATACTGATATCTATAAACACTTAGATCTTGAGGGCTCAACAGTGAACTTTCAAGGGCATATGCAGCTGAAGCTGCCAGTTCAAAGGTCCAGAAAGCTTGGCCGCCCAGAGACCTACAGTACAGCTGCCCCAAACAAGCTCAGATACGAGTTAAAGTCAGCCAGCTGAACTCTCACTTTCCTCTGATTTGACATCAACAGATCTGATTCCTAAGGCATCATTATACAGATTGTCACCACACAGCATCAGATACAGATTGTCACCACACAGCAAGTTCAACAGACCAAGACAATGATTCACTTTAAACATGATACAGGACAAACCCAGCCAGTAACCTCTCAGATATCTCAAGAAAAGGGCAGAACTCCATGGAAAGTTTAAAATCATCACGGTGGGAAAATTTAAACAGACGAGAAAAAAAAATCCAAAGTCTACCAGAAGGGGACAAAATCTTTTTCTGTCCCTCTACTTGGGACTCAACCATATCTTGGCTCTGGCCAAAAAACATTGGCCGATAGGGGATAACCCAAGACTTGAAGAGTGCCTGTGGACTAGGCTTGCCCTGTGTCTGCCTTCCCATGAGAAGGGTCTGGGCTGGCCCATGGCAGGCTGAGACACACGAGCCACTGGACACTAGTCTACAGGAGCAAGCTGTTGAGCCAGGAAAACGGGGTCCTGCGTGGGATCACTGAGTGTGGGGACTGACTATGCCACTTCCCTACACTTCCATGGTAACAGCTAATGGACAGCTCCTGTGCTAAGAACTGAAGCGCAAACAACCTCTTACGTGCCTGGCCCAAAGCTGCGTCTCCTACAACTGCTATTCTGTTTTATTCATTCGTTGAAAAGGCAGACACTCATGGAGAACTCTCACCAGCAGGTTTACTCTCCAAATGGCCCAACAAGCCCAGTCTTCAATTCAGGTCTTCCACATGGGTGAACTTGGCCCTGGCTGGCCTGAACCTCCTTACTGGGATGTCTGGGGGGGGGCAGTGTGGCACACCCTGCGCTCCTGGGAGGCCCCACCTTGCATCTCCTTTCTGTAGAGGGTGTTGCACTGTGCTCTCTCTAGGGAAAGCCAGGGAGGCCACGGCTGCACACAAGAGCTGTAGCTGTGGGCAGAAACTTAGCATAGCTTAGCACTCACCGCTGTGCTGGGGTTCAGAGCCCAGCTCCCAGGTCCTCCTGCACATGACCCTGGTGACCATGCAGGGCGTCCAACTGCAACCTCACGTGCTGGGAGGATAGAGGCTGCCTCCTTTCTCTGCCCTGCCACCCCTTCCCTGGCAAGGCTGGGGCTCCGCCTGGCACACAGTGGGCTCCCCTGGGTTAGAGCACCCGTGGATGAGGTACGCACAGAGCTGGTGGGAGTCGGGCTAAGGAGAGAGTCCTGGGTCTCCAGCGCAGGCCCAGCTGCTCCTCCTCTCCCAGCCTCGGAGCCCGGGGCCTCTGCGGCTCCTGCCCCAGGTGGGCGCAGTTCCCGGAAAGCCCAGGAAGGCGAAGAAGGGAGGACGCCCCGGCCTGCTCAGGGAGGCCTGCCAGGGAGCCGGGGAGTCGGGGCTGTGTCCAGGAGGCCACTAAGGCGTCTGCGTCCCCGGAGGGAAGGCACCGGGCGGGCGAGGGACCCCGCATGCCCAAGAGCCAAGGAAGAGCCTGAAGACGGCGGGAGCCGGGACAAGAAGGGGCAAGGCGCTGGGGACCGGGCTCGGCAGGAGGGTGGGCACCTGGCTGAAGCTCAGAAGCGGGATGGCATTGGCGGCAGGGCCGGGTGAGAAGGGACCCCATCGCTCACGCTGCCTGCGAGCGGCAGCGCGGGGTTGCTGCGGGGGCCCGCGACGGCGTCAGCTCCTTCACCAGCTGCACGGCGGCCTCGGGAGCCGGCACGGGCCACGCTGGGCTGGGCGGGACTACGGCCGGGGCGGGCCTTCCGAAGGTGGACCAGATGCCTGCTGATTCAGACCCAGCTGTAAGCACTCCTGCATTGTCTAATGATTTGCTCTTTAAGCCCCTCCTCATGAGGAAAAGTTCTCTGGCTCCACCCTGTGGTTCCATCAGACCCTACCTCTTTTTTTTTTTTTTTTTTCTACAGTAATAAATAAGCGAACTTGGCTCTGGGGGCCCACGGAGGTGGCAGGGAACGGCGCCCAAGAGCGAAGCCTGACGTCACCTTGAAGAACACAAGCGGGGCCCTGCTGATTCACACCCCCACACCCCCGAGCCCGAGGGCTTTCTGCTTCTGTCATCAATGGCCTCCGCATGAGGGGCAGGCGGAGGTGAGGGGTGGAGGGGTGCACAGCCTCAGCCCTGGGGTGCCAGGGCAGGCATGCCACCATGGCAGTCACCTCAGGTGACTGATTAAGTCAGAGCTGGTGGCTGAGGCAGCGGCCAGCCACCCCCACCCATGGCAGTGGCTTTCATGGAAGGGACACTTGGCTGGGCCAGAGCACACGGGAAAGCTTTGTACTCTTCATGCCTCAACCCCACTTGGCATCAGACCCTGCTACGGGCCCATAAACTATACCCTGATTCTGTCCCGACCTCGTGAACTATCCCAGCTGGACCCACGAGGCTTCTGTTGAAGGTTCAAGGTCAGCCGAGTCAGGGGTCTCCTTGTGTTCCTCTGAGCTGGGGGGGGGTGGAACAGTCCAGTACCCAGCAAAAAACAGCCAAAAATGTCCAATTGCTGAAGTCAGCGTTGGAGCCATTTCCAATGGTATTTGTTCAGCTTTCAAAGTTCAGGCAGAAAGCATTCATTCTTTAGCCACTTAGGAGGGCTCAGGGTGACTTCTGACGGATTTATTTCCAAACTTTCCCATGCACTGGAGCAGGAAGGAGCTTTTTAGGTGGACAGCATGTTCCGTGTCTTCCTCGGGAGGAGGGTACAGGACGGGCTCTGCCGTAACCCGCGAACCGGGCAGGTTTCTGGGTTCCTCAGTTGCGCCCCAGGAACCTGACGCGGGCCCTCCCAGCCCGGGCCGGAGCCGCCTCCCTCCTCAGCCCGTGGCGCCCTCTGCTGGCAGGAGCGGGAGGCGTCCTCACTTGGAGGCGTCCTCACCTGGCCCCTTAAGCCAGACTGTGGAAGGGGCTCTGTGTCCCCAGGGATTTGGGGTTCCTCCAGGAGCAGCGACCCTTCGCAGGCGCTCCAAACTGTCAGAATAGGAGACCTGATAAGTGGATTTATTTCAGGTGCGACACCAAGCTTTACTTAAAAAAGTTTTTATTTGAACGACAGAGTGACAGAGGGAGATAAACCTTGCACGTGTTGGTCCACTGCCCTGACGGCCACCCCAGCCAGAGCTCACAGCAGCCTGGAACTGCATCCAGGTTCCCCATGTTTCTCTCACATCCTGAAACAGCAGGATGCAAGACCCGCACCTGTCACGGGGCCTTTCGAGCCCAAGTGGCTGCATGGAGAACCCGGGCTGACACGGCCTTCCAGGCCACCAGGCAGAAGCTGCCTGGAGGAAGATGGCCTGACGGCTCCCTGAACACAGCGGCAGGGACCCTGACCGGGCCACACGCCTCCCGGCCACCACTGCTTTCCAGTCGACACAACTTTGGGTGCCACTGGAACGTAACTTCCAACAGCACAGGTAGTTATCACCATTTTTTTTTTTTTTAAGAATTATTAATTTAGGGCCAATATTACGGCACAGTCAGTTAAGCCTCTGCCTGTGGAGCCAAAATGCCCTGTGGATGCTGGTTCATGACCTGCTGCTCCACGTCTGATCCAGCTCCCCGGGAGAGTTGCAGAAGGTGGCTCAGGTCCTTGGGCCCCTGCACCCACGTAGGAGATTCAGAACCGCCAGCTTCCTGGCTTTGGGCTCACTCAGCTCTAACTGTGGCAGCCATTTAGGAAGATCTGTCAAATCTGCCTTTCAAATAACAATAAACAAATCCTTTAAAAATATTTATTTGAAAGGCAGAAGGAGATGGTGAAGTGTCAAAGGAGCAGGAGAGGGAGGGCAAACCAAGCACTGGTTCTCTCCCCAGTTCCCTCCCTACATGGCTACAACAGCTACAGCTTGGCCAGACTGACGCCAGCGGCCTGGGACTCCATCCGGGTCTCCCACGACAGGGAGGGACTCAGGTCCTTGGGTCATCTGCTTCCTCCTGAGGTGCGATAGAGGGCAGCTGGGTGAGAGGCTAACCAAGGCTGAGCATAGCAAGTGCAGCTTCCCCTGCAACCCCTCAACACTGGCTGCTGACTTTCCTTTTAAGATTAGCCAGCCACCCAAACCGTGTGGCATGGCAGCTCTGCTGAGCCAGCTCGGCACTCCACCCTCCCAGAGACCCACGTGTGACCTGAGGTACTCAGAGCTAGCTGGCCACGGCCTCCCACTCCAGGCAGCACCCACCACGGGCTTCCTGCAGCACAGGCTCCAAAAGCAGCAGATGTGGCTGCCAGAGGGAGCTCCCTGTGCACGGGGAAGAAGCCAGGGTAAGGCCAAGGCCTGCTGGAGCCCCTCAAGAGCCTCCAGTCTTCTCTGCAGACACACAGGATAGCCCGGGCTGGAAGAGGGCACAGCTGTTGCACACGGGAGCAGGTTCTTGTCACCAGCAAAAGGGCCAAGGTAAGGGCTCACTGGGGAGCCCTGGATTTGTGCCTCTGCTGCCCCAGCCGGGATAACTGCCACCCTCTAGGGCCTAGGCTGAAACGAAGAGGACCAACACCATCACCCAAGTATGGTCCTCAGGGTCCCACCTACACACTCTCAAGGAACCATGTGACAAGTGCCATGAAAGCCAGAAGACACCATACAACTGTGACATTTTACATTCCTTGTTCAGCGGCTCCTGGTACACACCACACCCCACTTGGCTCCTGATTTGGATGAAGGACACCCACACAGCTGTCAAGCCATTTCTCAGAGAATACATGATCGCACAGGAAGGGCTCTTGACGGCTAAATCAGACAGCAGCCCTGGCCCAGCTCCCCACCGTGCCATCCGCAAGTGGGATCCTGTTAGACAACAGGGCCTGCGGGCCACAATGGTGGAACTCCCTTTGGTGCAGCCTGGCACACCTGCTCCAGCCTGCGCTGACCCAAGGTTCTCCACCTCCTGTCGAAAGAGTGAGGGTTGTCCAGCAACAGCCATGGCCTGCCTCAGGACGCCCTGTCCAGAGGATGGGTGCAGATGTACGCCCTCTTCTCAAGGATCTGCTGGGCCACTTTCTTAACCTGCTCATCCAGGTTTTCTGGTGCATCTAAGAGGATGAGCGAGGGGCCGTCACCCCCATATCCAATGCCAGGACAGTCCCGGTGTATGTACCGGAGGCCTTTGCTTGAGGCAACCGCAGTGCCCCACACCCCAGGGACTGCTTCTGAACCACGAGGAGAACACAGAGGCCTCAGCCTGTTCTCTGAGAACTCCAAAGTGTGTGGGAGTCAAACGGGGACTAGGCACAAGCAGTGGGGAAACCATTACCCCTTCCTCCACAGCACGTCATAGCGCTGTAGCTGGGGGCGGGAAGGGCCCAGCCAGCCCCCACAGCCAAGGGCCACTGCAGTCTCCAGGCCCGCAGGACTGTGAGGGCCAGGAGGAGACTGGGAGATGCAGGGACCACGAGGTGGTCGGGAGCTAAGGAAGCAGCAGTGCAAAGCAGGCACGAAGGCCCGAGTTCTAGGGGCCAAGCCTGAGGTGGGCAGAGCCAGGCGTTCACTCTGGCTGCTGTGCAGTGGCTGAGGAGCAGAGCAAATGCTCTCTCCAGAGCCTGTGCAGTGTCACCAAACCCTCCTCCACACACGCCTGGCAGACACAAGGACATGGCCAGGCCTGCCCAGCAGGGCCAGCACACACAAGCGGCTATGGGTGGGCACCTCTGCTCCACCCACAACTGCCCTGGGGAGGGGTCAGACCCATCAGTGTGTGCCCTGCCAGGCAGGTGCTGCTGCCACAAGCCCAGGCTGACTCGGGTCCCAGGAACGGCTGCCATCCCGCCCTCCCGGAGTGGGGCCCTCTCCCCTGCGGCTGCCCACTCACGCTTGTCCAGCTGAGACAGGCTGGCGAGGTTCTGGAGATGAGCTTCCACACAGAACATGTTGGCCAACAGGACCTGCCGGAACCGAGATGGGCACGGGTGATGCTGAGAACCCGACCCCTTCACCCCCTTCACTACAGCCTGTCAGCCACGCAGGGCAGCCTGGCCCAGCAGCCCAGTCTGGGGTTGTAACCCAGCCCCAGTGAAAACTGTGTCCCCAAGGGCAGCTTCCTCAGCATCTCTGAGCCTCGGCTTCCCCTGAGTTGGCGACAGCGTAATGCTGACAGCTGCAGGTGACTGGGGCAGCACACGTGGCAGCCAGTGCACAGGGGGAGTCCTGTGACCCCTGCAGCCCCCTCTAGCACGGGCAGGCACATGCACGTTAGGTCTTGTTCCAGGGCTCCTGGCGCTCGTCTCCTCTCTACTCTCAAACGTGAGATGGAAGGGAGTGGCAGGGATCCCGTCCGGCCCCAGCACAGCACCCCTAGGTGGCATCTGCAGGCACTCGGACTTTCCTTCTCAATGCACAGCACTAGGTGGCAGCACTGACCCATGCAGTCTGGGCCTCCTGGGACTCCCTGACAGCGCCACAGCACCCACCGCCTCCCTCCTGCCCACCCTGTTTCAGAGGCCTCACCTCATGGTCGTGGTTGCGGAGTCCGACGCGGATGGAGCGGCTGGCCCGGGACAGCACGGCCGTCATGCCATACAGGTTGATGAGGATGTTGGCCACACGCTTTAGCACCAGCTGCTCCTCCACGATGGTCTGGAGACACAGGCTGAGTGGAGACTCACCGCCTCCGCCCGCTGCCTCCCCTGCCAGCCCCAGGCTTCGAGTCTCCCCTTGTGCTGGGAAACGTGGGGCCCACAACCCGTCTCCACTAGGGCTGCGGGGGGAAGCTGTGTCCCTGCGGCCTCTGTTCTCCTTGCGTTTAGTTGTTTTTTTTTCTGTGTAGACTGGACAGGGGTCAAGACCAAGGTCAGGGAACGGCTGGGCCACAAGCAGGGGCTAAGTGGACTCCATGTCCTCTTGAGCAGCAAAAGCCCTACTCATCAGACCCCTGGACTCAGACACAAGAGCCTCCCTTCACCCAGAAGGTGCCTGGGACAAAAATCCTGGAGCGTTCACCTAGCAGATGAGCGGTCACTAGGCAGATGCACCAACACCCAGCCTCCCCCACACCCAGGGCAGAGGTTTCTGTCCCAGGCCGCCCAAGGGTACTTGGCACAAAGCGGCCTCTCCTGGCCACGGGGTCCTGCCTACCTTGCCAAAGCGGAGCAGCAGCGTCTCAACCGTGCGGCCGAAGTAATACACGTTCTCTTCGAGCTTCCTGGCACCGTCCTGCGGGCCAGGGCACAGGACTCACTTCACCCACCTGCCCGCAGTGCCCAGGCTACTCACCAGCACCAGCACACAGCCTGAGACTGAGACCCCGCGGCCTAGAGCTCTGAGGCTCAAGCATCCCCTATCACCCTGTAGCCTAGATGGGTCCAGACGGGGTGGGGGCATCTGGGATGTCCTAAATGAGCCCTGAACCCAGAATGTGTTGTTTGGGACAGGGATACTGCCAGGAGGGCACGCGTTGCACCCACTCACCGCGAGACTTGGGTGTACCACTCCCAAATTGCCGGTCAGGCCCAGGTCCACGGTGCGCCCCAGGGAGTCCCGAAGCCTCCGGCCAATGGTCTCCATAACTGTGGTCACATTGCCCTGTTTCAGCTCCCTGTAGAAGGTCCACATTTTTATGACTTGAAGCCCTGCCACCAGCTCCCTCTGCCCACTAACACCCACTAACACAATCCCTTCAGTCCTCCAAGTCTGCCAAGATGACCAGCAGAGCCCTTAGCTATAGTCCTGGCAGAGAAAGGCCAGCCCCCTCTGGGAGCCCACATGTGCTCCCTCCTGTGTGCAGCCATGGCCGGCCTGGCTGACTCCTTAAGGAGTCAGGTAGACACTGTGAGAACTTGTCCTTGGGTACCAGCAGCACTCTCTGATGGCTCTGCCCTGGGTGCACACAGAAAGGAGTGGCAAAGAAGACAGGACTAATCTCGTGCTGCCTGAGGACTGGCACTCGCTTGAGGGACATCTCCCCATAGCTTCTAAGAAATCAGCCTCTTACTCAGAGCCAAGCCGCCACCCCCTCCACCAGCCTGCAAGTGAGTGCAGCAGCCTTGTGCCCGCCCCTCACCCAGCCCAAGCCAGGCCAGTTCCTTCCTATTTCTGCCCCAGATGGGCTTCTGCTGGGCAGGTGTACCCGAGCTCCAGAGGGAATGGCACCTACTTGACCCTCGCGGTTAGGATGCGCCCAGCGTGCTGCAGTCCAGTGAGGGCGATGTACAGCCGCAGAATCTCATTGGTTCCCTGTGGCCAGCAATGTGAGGGTCAGAAGCTGCCCCCTGGGGCACAGGGCATGACATTGCAACAGGACCAAATGCACTGGAGCAGGGTGGGGAGCAGGTCACACTGCGAGCACTGGGGACCGAAGACGGCCCCCTGCAGCCAAGCTGGCACCATGGACCACTAGGCTCCTACAGGAGAGGAGGTGGGAGCTGGGAGCTCCAGGCAGAAGCACGGGGCACCGAGCCTATCCCAGACACTGAGAGGCTCTGTGCCCTTCTGACCATGGCCTCTGGGCTCCCTGCCTGTCACCCTGACCCTCCTGGCCTGCAGGGCTGCAGCCAGCAGTCCATGGGAGGAGTGGCCATTGCTCCCAGGTGCCCTCACCAGGTCTGTCCACTGAGACAGCAAGGACTGTTGGGATGCACGGGGCCTGGCTGGGAACTGAGCAGCCCAGGAGGCCTTCCCTGGGCTGGAAAGAGAACACCCCTCATTGCCAGGCCTCTGGCTGAGGCCACAACTTTTCTGGCATGAGGGTCTTGCCCTGTCCACTCCACAGCCATGGTCCAGGCCTATCCATCTGGCTCGTCTCTCAAGTCTGTCCTCCCTCCCAGCAAGAGGGCCCGAGGCCTTGGGTGACATCCCCATCTGCTCTATCGGTCCTGGGCGAGTGTCCCAGAACAGACACAACTCATTAGAACCTGGTGACAGGTCGTCAGTGTGGCCCCTGCCGGCACGTGCTGAACCACCTGCCTGCTGGTGCACTCTCGGAGGGCAGCAGTCACAGACTGGAGCCGTCAGCCCTTGGGGAGCAGCCTCAGTTCACTGGGAAGGAAACTGAGACCCCGAGAATGTAGATTCGAGGCCGAGCTAAAGCTGGCACTGGAGCCTAGGGAGACCACAGATGTTTGGTCCACCCCATCCCACTAGATGCTGCCTGGCAAAGGAGAGCCACAGTGGGTACCCAGGTACCAAGGTCTGGGGCTGGGGGTGCTCAAGAGTGAGCTGAGCCAGTTGCTCAGCCTTGTCTCCCTGTGCAGACAGGGGCCACAGAAGGCTGTTAGAGGGACCAGAGTGAGGATATACAACCTGTCCTGGGTTGTGGGGCATCTCCCCACCTGGAGGGGGCGCTGCTGGGCATTAGCAGCAGAGTGGGCACAGCCAGCGGTGCAGCTCACTCACCTCAAAGATGAGGAGGATGCGAGAATCCCGCAGCATGCGCTCATATGGGTAGTCCTTCATGTAGCCCGAGCCACCCAGGACCTGCAGGGCCTCGCTGATGCACTGCCAGGCGGCCTCGGAGCTGAACACCTGCCAGGGCCCCAGAGAGAGCTCAGCCCAGGGCAGCAGTGCCCAACCCCTTCCCAGAAAAGCCAAGTCACTGCAAGAAGGTGGCCAAGACAGAGAGGGGTGCTCTGGGATGGGACCCTGGGCTTTGCGGGGAACGACTGGGGGACCCCCAGAATCCTTAACCCTCCTCTACCCACCCACCAGCCCGTGGTGCCCATCCTAGCATCCCTTCCCACACCTCTAGGCCATGCTCAGTCTGTGACAACTCCTGCTTGCTAAAAGCCCACCTTCCGCAGGAAGCCCACCCACTCCTGTCCCAGCCACCTGGGATGCCCTTCTCTGTACTTGAACCCACCTCTGTGCCCTGGCAGGCATGCCCAGGTGCATCTGTTCACACCATGAGCGATGTGGGGGCAGACACACCCAACCAGCTCCTGGGCATGGGCAAGGTCAGGGGCTGCAGGTGAAGGGGACATGGACCAGACATGGCTGGGACAGGCTGCATCCCAGGGAGTCACTGGGTGTGGGAGGACATGGCCCTGCCACCTCGGGCGAGCCCTCCTCTAGGTGCTCCACCCCTCCCCTGCCTCTCCAGCCCACGCCAGAGACCAGTGTGAGGACGACCTTGCGAAGCCAGAGAGGCACTGCCACCTTCCTTATGCCACCTAAAAGTGACACTGCTGAAGCAAGGCTGACAGGACACTCTGGTGTCCCCTCAGTCAACTGCCTTAAAACAGGAAGTGTGATGCCAAAAATTAGGGGGGGCACAAACTAGGAAAAAGGTCATCCTTCCCAGTGCACCCTGTGCCTTGTGCACCCATGTGTAGGCTCAGGAACAGCCCTAACGTCCCCTCTGCCGCCTGACCCCAGGACCTGCCTATCCCCAGAAACACTTCTCAAGGGTACATGGGACCGACAAGAGGCAGGCAGTGAGTGGCACCGTGGGGTGGGAGGCTCCAGTGAGGGGCCTCTAGCGCCCTCTATTGCCCACCCCTGGTTCTGGCACCGTGGTTACCTTCACCATGGCGGCCTCGATGGAGCAGTCTGGGAAGCCTGGCTGGTCCAGCATTCCTGCGGTGAGGTAGGCCATACTCTCCATCACGTAGGCCTTCTGAGCCATCAGAACAAACTTTTCCTGCAGGTTCAAAACATGGACGGGAAGTCCCCTGCTTAGAGGAGCCCCGACCTGCCACCAGCACGGCAGGTCACTGAGTCAGAACCTCACTGCTTGGGAGAACCATGCCCACAGGACTGGCATTATGGCACAGTGGCTTAAGCCACCATCTGTAATGCCAGTATCCCTGACTGCTCTATTTTATATCTAGCTTCCTACAATGTACCAGGAGGCAGAAGACAGTAGCCCTAAGTCCTTGAGCTCCTGTAACCTGGGTAGGAGACACAGCTGAAGCCTTGGTCCCGCCTAGCACTGACCACTGTGCCCATTCAGGGAATGAATCCATCTTTCAGTCCCTGCTTCTCTCCACTGCTAACTCTCAAACAAAATAAATTTTAAAGAGAGAGAAAGATCTCTGCCCAGGCTTTCCTAAAAGGAACCTCATTATGCCCATTTTCCTGGTCACCTTCCCACATCCCGCATGGGATCACGGGTGCAGGGACAGTGAGAGCACACTTGGCGCATCCACTCATGACCATCAGTACCTGAATTAATCCAAATTCACTGAGATTCTTGTTGAACTGCTTCCTCGTGCAGGCGTATTCCATGGTCATTTCTGCAGAAGAGCAGAGTGATTGGAAAGAGCTAGAACATGTCTGGCTGTGCAGCAAGGCTTTGAGGCTACTGCTTCCAACGCTCAGACAGCAACTGACGGCCACGCCCCCAACCAGAGCCCTCCTGGCATCAGGCATGGTTCCCCAGGTAGTGGGCAGGAGGGTCGCAGGGATCCAAGTCGGACCCGGGTTAGAATCCTACACGGTCCTCACCAACTGGGGACATGCCAATCGCTCCACCCTCCTTGAATAACACTACCCGGCTCAGAGTTGCTGCAAAGGTGAAATCAGATGGAAGGTAAGGGATGCCTGATAAGAAGTTAGGGCAAATTGCGCCCAACAGAGGTGGGAGTGGCACAGGCCTGGCACGGGTGCTCACGTGCACCACAGGACGGGGCCTGGCTTGAACACGGGGGCCTGGCTTGAAGGTGCCTGGCTGTGAACAGGGCTGGGCTCTGCAGGCTCAGAGAACCAAGCCCACCTGCCAAATGCTGCCCACATTTCTGAGCTGGCGAGCTCACTGCAGGTTCTGCCTCCTTTGGAGAACACACTGATCTCGCCCCAGAAAACTCAAGACACTAACAGTCTTCTAGCCACCTCACGAGGAGTGTTAAAAGGAGGTGAGATCCTTAACTTGGCTTCCTGAGCCACCGTGTCCCAAACCCAGAGGAACACACAGTCCCCAAGCAACCCCTGTGTGCTGTCACCCCTACAAACAGAGTGGCTTTGAGCTCACTGCAAACGAAGACGTAAGTTTCCCCCGTCTTGACAACAAAAAACAAGGGGAGCCGAGGGATGTGGGCCTTTCCCATGGCAGTCTCCCTGGGCGGGACCTTGTGAAGGTCACAGTCCCTCCTTCCCCGACAGGATGTCTGTCCCTCTACCTCGTCCTCTGTGTGCAGCTGAAACAGGAAGCTGAATACAACGCCTGGAGAGTAGCTTCGTCATTCTGAAGCACAGCCCAGATGCTGCACTGGGGCGGGCACCAAGCAAGGCTTCCCAGGAGACATCAGACACCCCGGGGGCACAGCGGAAGGGGAATGGCAGAGCCTCCCAGGCTGCAGTGGGACAAGGGAGCCTGCAGGGCCCCACAGAGGACTCCTGCCCCCCACTTACCTACCAAGCAATTTCTTGAGCATCCCAGCCACAGCGCTGCCCATGCTGAATCGCCCACTGTTGAGGATGTTCATGGCCACCTGCAGAGAGCCGGAAAGTCCAGGGGCACTGAACAGGGCAGAGGTCACAGACCCCAATAGCACATGTCCACTTCCCAAGGGAGGGGCTAGAGAATGCTGAGTCAGTATCCAATAAAAGCAACCTCAGTCCAAGCCTGCCTCAGGACCCAGTCGCCTCCGGTACCTCAACAAGACCACCAGACAGCGATGTCCCACAGACACCTGCAAACTCATCCTCAGAGAGGAACAGAGCCCGAGACGGATCTCAAACTGTGTGCACCCTCCCGGCAAGGCTTCAGATGCAGACCCCGAGATTCAGAGTGGTGTGGTGACCAGCCCAGCCCTGCAGCCAGCCTCTGCCCAACATACACGTCTGTGTTTCTGCCCCACACTGGATCTTCCCCGACATGAGCCTAAGGAGCTCGGTCAACTGCCCTCAGCAGGACCTGATGGATCCCGCAGCATCTCTGCCCCAGGGACAGGTGGTGGGTGAGCAGCTAAGGGACAGGCAATGCCGACCCTGAGGACATGCCCAGCATCAGATGGTCCAGATTCTTGGAGCCTCCCCTGACAGAGTAGAAAGGGTTCTAGTGTAAACAGCCAGTGCGGCTGCAGCTGGCCAGGGTCTGAGGGTGCACAGAAGGGAGGACCCTAGCAGAGACTTGATGTGCACCAGCGTGTAGCTGGGCAGCAAATGCTCCGAAGGAGAGCTGGGCTGGGGCCAGCAGGTGGGAACGGGCGCCCAGAGAGAAAACGGACAGCAGCCCAAGCCTCCCACTTAGGAATCTAGGCAGAGCTGAGGCCTGGGGAGCAGAAAGCAAGACCAGGAACTAAAGTTTTCCCTAAGGCTCAACATCAATTACATGCCACCTGGGCTAATAAGGCCGACAACTGTGGTGGGCAAGTGGCCTAGTGCCCACATCCCAGAATGGAGAACCTGGGTTGCATCCTCAGCTCCTGCTCCTAGCTTCCTGTCACTGAAGACCCCAGCAGGCAGTGGGGATGCCGCAAGTAACTACACCCCTACCGTGCATGGGGGAGGCCTGGACTGAGTCCCCCAGACCGAGTGTGTATTTAGGAGGTGAAGTAGCAAAAGGCTGCTCTCCCTTTCAAATTAAAATACACAAATAAAATACACAAACATGATAGCGTAATGGTTAAGGTCCTCGCCTTGAAAGCGCCTGGATCCTATATGGACGTCCCTGCTTGTGGTCTGGGAAAGCAGTCGAGGATGCTCTTGGGACCCTACGCCCATGTGGGAGACCCAGAAAGAAGTTCCTGGTTTCTGGCTTCGGATCAGCGCAGCACTGGCCGTTGCGGCCACTTGGTGAGTGAATCCATGGATGGAAGATTTTCCTCTCTGTCTCTCCTTTTCTCTGTACGGCTGTTCATCACCTTTCCTGTGTGATCCGTGCAGGGACCACGCAGACACCGAGTATGCATCGAGTTCTTTGGAAAGAGAAGAGCACGTGGTAGGGAAACACAGCCTTCCTTCTGATGCTGTCTGTATGGGATGCTGGTGCCACAGGCCGAAGATCATCCTGTCATACGGACTGATTCTGTGGCTCCACAGGTTAAGCTGCACCAGCATCCCATATGTGCAGCTGTTTGAGCCCTGGTGCTCGACGTCCGATCCAGCTCTGTGCTTATGTGTCTAGGAGAGCAGCAGATGACCTAGTCTTAGGCCCCTGAACCCACCTGGGAGGCTCGGATGAAGGTCCTGGCTTCTGGCTTTGGACTAGTCCAAAAGTGGCCATTTGAGGAATGAAGCAGAGGATAGAAGATTCTCTCTCTCTTCCCCATAACCCTTTCAAATGAATAATTGAATCTTTTAAAAGATTTATTTATTTTCATCTGCTTGGAAGATGGTAGAGAGAGACCAGAATAGAAAGGGAGAGAAAGAGCTTCTGTCTACCGGTTCACTCCCCTAATGGCCTCACTTTATTCTGGTCGACAGTAGTCATCACACTGTGATCTGACGGATCTGAAAGCCCAGCAGCAGCCAAGGGAAAAGGGGGTGCAGGAATGACATTTGGTTTTGGCATGGAGGAAAGGTTCTGGAATTATTAAGTCTATATTTTAAAACTGAATGTTACATGAATTACCTCTTAATAAAAGAGGAAATAAATTTGACATCAAGGAAAAAAAAAAAAGGATAGGGAATCAAGACCCTGGGCTGTGTTCACAGAGCCAAAAAACTGGCTGTGCTTACACAGGACCACAGTCAGCAACTTACCTTGAACCCACCTCCAACTTCCCCAAGGACATTTTCAACAGGTACCTTGGTGTTTTCAAAATGGACTTCGCAAGCTGAAATACAGAAAATTGGGACCTAGTCTTTGTGGGACTCACACCTGCCTGAGAAAACGCAGTCTAAGCAAGGGCAGACAAACCGCAGACCGAACTGTGCGGGGAGCAAGGAGCAGAGTGGCAGGGAGGCCGAGAGCGGGGGATGGCACTTTAAGGCTGCAGCTGACTTTTCCAAGGTGACATTGAGTACAACTGAAAGGATGAGAAACAGCCACAGATCATGCAAGCTGAATGGGATCGCATTTCCTTAGGCCTACAGGGAGATGGGCTCACTGGCTGCCTCTAACAGAGCCACACCCCTGCAAGGTCCCTCTAGGACCCTCCTCCCCTTTCCCTGCCTGTTGTTGCCAGGTTAAGCCACATGAATTGCTGAGGCCAACAGGATGCAGCTGCCCACCAGAAGCAGAGCCCTTACAACCGTGTTCCATGATCTGGCCTGGAGACCTGCTGGCACTGAGGGTCCAGCCCCAGGACGGTAAAGAACCCCACCCACAGCCTGAAGAGGCTGGCATCAGCTGCATCATAAGGTGCCTGTCAGAGCCACAGCCACAGTGAGAGAGAACTGCTTGGCCTGCTGGGTGAACAAGGACCAATGTCCAGGTCGGAGGAAATGGGTCGCAGGTGGAGAGCTGAGAGGACAAAAAGAACAGCAGCTCTGGGTGACATTTTCCTCTAATGAGAGTTCTGTACTTTATACTTCATTAGCATAGCAACTCCTGGCAATTGATCCCAGAGAAAAGCAGGGCTCGGGCTGGGACAGGTCAAGGGTGGACACACCAGGCAGGGGTCAGGGGTGTGGGTCTTTGATTCCACATCCACTGCTGTGCCCTGACAGCCTGGTGGGGAGCACCCTGTTGGTCACCATTGGGTTGTTCTCGGGATCCATACACAGTACTGGGACTGCACAACGAGGCCCTTCCACCAGAGGCTGCTGGATGAGGGCAGGGCCCCTCTCCCCTCCGACCTCACCTTGTACCCCTCGACCATCTCTGAGAGTCCACTGTACAAGGCCTAAGGATTCCAGAGTGGACTGTGCCCTGGCAGTGGTGCTGGCCGCAGCCCAGCTCCCTCCCCGTCTTTTCCCACCAACGGCCACCAGCAGGCCTCCGGAGGCCCCATGCATACGCCTCTTCCCCCACTGGCACATTCTGAGGACTCAACGGCAGCTCTGGCCGTCCTGGGTCAGACACAGTGCCGCACGTCTCCGGTATCAAGTCCCTGGCACACTTTGGCACGCTCGTCTCGTGCCAGCACCACTGGGCAGCTTCAGAGAAGTAAAGCAGTTTATTCCAGGTCACACAGCTCCTAACTGGCAGGACTGAAGTTAGGTAAAGATCAGCTTTGAGAACAGAGTCCCTGAAGTCAAGGCACAGACAGAAGGGGGCCTGTGGGGCCCAGGGCAGTGTGTGGCTCCTCCAGGAGCCTGAGTGCCCACAGGGCACAGTAACGAGCAGCCTGAGCAGCTCACCTGGCATGGCAGGTGTGCCTGCACCTGCAGGGGGGAGAACGAGAGGAAAGAGGTGCCAGGTGGAACCCCGGGGCTTCCTTCCTGCAACAAGATGCCAAACTCCGACACCCACTATTCCTGCCCTTCCCGCCTACTCCAGCTCCTCCGGTCTCCCTCTGTGAAACCGCTCAGGGTGTGGAACGGTGCACATCATGTCTATTCAACCAATGAATCAATGTCAAGAAACTGACTGTCATCACCACGTAAGTCTTTGGCATTTGCTTTGACTTTGATACAAAAAGATCAAAACCATTAAATCTCATTTTATCTCGACATTTGGAGGAAGCAGGGAGCCACTGTCTCTCTCTCTCTCTCTCTCTCTCTCTCTCTCACACACACACACACACACACACACACACACACACACACACACAGTACTTACTGTTGGAACCCCGGATGCCTAGTTTATCTTCAGGTTTCCCATTAGTGACTCCCCCAAAGTCTCTCTCTACAATGAAAGCTGTGATTCTGTCTTTTACTGAGCCATCAGGATCGACAACTTCAGTCTTCGCAAACACAGTAAAAACATTGGCCAGTCCTCCATTGGTGATCCAGACCTGAGGGAACAGAGTAACAGGACCCTGGAGAACCAAACTCTGGCCAAACCTCTCTGCTCCATCTCGCCTGTCCAGCTCTCCATCCCACTGCAGCTCAGACCCGGAGAGTCCCTGGCTTCAGGGCATCCCAGCCTGTAATGACAGGATGAGGACTCACCCCAGGTCCCCAAAGGGAGGACTTTCTCAAGAGACACAGGTGGCTGACAGGGAAAAGGGACAGACAGGAGCGTTTCCAATGACATGAAACGGCTCAGTTTGTACCTCCAGACAGCTGCGTTCCTCTTTTAGACTTTCTATTAATTTGAGAGACAAAAGAAGAAAATGCCAATGAATTGGTTCAATCCCAAATGCCGACAATGGTTGAGTCGGGACAGATAGGAGCCAGGAGCCTAGGATCTAATCCGCGTCTCCCAGGTGGATGACAGGAACCCCATGACATGAGCCATCACCACTGCTTCTTGCACCAGCAGGGGCAGCTGTCAGAGCTGGGCAGAGAGCCCAAGCACTCTGCCCCAGGACACAGCGGTCTTCACTGTCAGGCCAAACACCCCTTCTGCGAAGGGAGTTCTTTAAGAAGGAAGAGATTTAATCATTTCACAGGTATATAAAGGTATTTCAAATGATTATGGAAAATTGAACTGAAAGATAAATTTATTTTTGCTACCAAAAAATTTGGATTCATATATCCCAGTGATCCTCAACAGGTTATGACAATGGCAGGGCTGATGTTGTGGCGTAGCCAGCAGAGCCCCAGCCCACAACACAGCATCCCGCGTGCACACTGGCCTGCACCCTAGCTACTCTATTTCCATTCCCACTCCCTCCTAATCATGTGCCTGGGGAAGCAGTGGAGGCTGGTCTAGTTCTTTGGCTTCTGGTACCAGCTTGGGCCAGCCCCAGATGTTGTGGCAATTTGGGGAGTGAACCAGAGGATAGGAAATTTGTCTCCTGGGCCTGGCATCATAGCCTAGTGGTTAAATCCTAGTCTTGCATGTGCCAGGATCCCATATGAGCACTGGTTTGTGTCCCAGATGCTCTACTTCCCATCCTGCTCCCTGCTTGTGGCCTGGGAAAGTAGTGGAGGACGGCCCAAAGCCTTGGGCCCCTGCACCCATGTGGGAGACCCAGAGGAAGCTCCTGGCTTCAGACTGGCTCAGCTCCAGCCACTGCAGCCACTAGGGGAGTGAACCAGCAGATGAAGATCTTTCTCTGTCTCTCCTTCCCTCTGTAAATCTGCCTTTCCAATAAAAATACATAAAACCTTTAAAAAGAAAAAAGGAAATTCATCTCTTCTTCTCTCTGTAACTCTGCCTCTTCAATACTTAACAACACCATAAAAAAATAATGCATAAATTTGAAAAACATTCTGCACCACCTGCTAGTTCACTTGCAGATGGCCACAACGGCTAGGCCTGGTTCTTCTTCCGGGTGGTCCACACGGGTACAGGGATCCAAGCATCTGAGCTGCTTTCCCAGGAATAACAGCAGACAGCTGGATTGGAAGTGGAGCAGCAGAACTCAAACCGGTGCCCACATGGCATCCTGGTGAGCAGGCAAAGGCTGAGACTACGCCATGATGCCAGCCTCTAAAATCCACTTTCCATAAGCTTTTTGAAGTGCCTGTGTGCATATATCAAAACACATTATACACTTTATTACATATACAATATTTTCCAATTGATAAAAGGAAATTTAAGAAAAAGAAGGGGGGCTGCATAATGATTCCAATGATTAGTCCTTCGCCTGCAGATGCTGGGATCCCAGGTGGACACCAGTTGTGTCCCAGCTGCTCCATTCCCATTCAGCTCCCTGCTTGTGGCCTGGGAAAGCAGAGGAGGACAACCCAAAGCCTGCACCCACACAGGAGACCCAGGAAACTCCTGGGTCTAGGCTTTGGACTGGCTCAGCTCTGGCCATTGTGGCCACTTGGGAAGTAAGCCAGGGGATGGAAGATCTTTCTTTCTCTCCTTTTCTCTGTAACTCTGCATTTCAAATAAAAATAAATGTTAAATAAGACAGTAATGACAAGGAAGAAAGAGGGGCTGCGCCCGCACCTTGGAGCCGTTGAGGATGTAGTGCTTCTTATCTTCACTCAGTTTGGCTCGGGTCCGGATGGATGCTGCATCACTCCCACTGCAGGGACAGAAAGATACGGCTGACGGAGAGTAAGGCCAGGAATAAATAAATCAGAATGGTTTGTGGGCCTGGAAAGGGAGGTTTCTCAGGAATTTCACATAGGAGTTGGCAAACTTTAAAAAAAAACCAAAACAGCCCAACAACGAATATCTTCATCTCTCTAAGCCAGTAGATGCCTGCCCGTCTCCTCAACTCTGTTGCCAGAATATGCCGGCAAATTCCACAAACACAGGGCACGTCTAGTAAAAGTTCATTCATGAAAGCAGGTGGCAGCCTGGACACGGTCGCCCTGTGCTTCAGTACAGCAGGTAACAAAGGGGTAATGAGGACAAGGGTGGCCTTAGGGTTAAACACAGGACTATGTGCTCATGGGAGATGCTGAGGGGGAGCTACCTGACCCCAAGAGGATGACAGCTCCCAGGTTCCCAAGGGAAGTGGAATGAGTGTGTCCAGGCGAGGGACCTACCATCAGGAGCTGAGTTCTACCCCAGCCCTCCTGCCCCAGCTCTGCGACCCTGGGCTGACCACATGGCCTCCCTAGACCTCAGATCCTAACTGCAAGTGGGGACAATGCTACCTGCCCCAGGGAGGAGCGCCAGCTCCTCCACAGACACAACGGTCCCTGTGCCAGGAATCTCAGGATGGCTCACGGTGCTGCAGGTAACAGACCTGGCTGGTTCCGTAAGGCAGAAAGCAGCAACATGCTCCCCTGATGCCAGCTTGGGCAAGTATTTGGCCTTCTGCTCTTCACTGCCAGCCAAGAGGATCCCCTAAAGGAAACACACACAGCCCAAGTCAGCCACAGGGAGGAAGATGGTACAACACACGCACGTGAAACAGTCACCTTATGAAGAAAATACTTCTACTCCATGCAGAAGACACCCTGAGCTCAAACCAGCAGCCTCAGGCAGCACATGGGGAGCCAGGCCATTGAGGGGATCCCCTCCGGCCCACGCAGCAGGACCACAGGCCTACACGACCAGCAGAGCTTCAGAGTTAGGGTCCAGAACGTTTTCAACGTGGCTGTTCCAGGGCCCAGGCAGGCAGCCTTGGCAAGGAACATGTCTTCTCTCAACTCCCACACTGTTGTCTACAAACAGGAGCGCTCCCACCCGCAGGCAGGGTGGGCTGCACATGGATATGGAGGCTGCCAGAGCCACACCCAGCATCCAGCAGGTACTGGATCAGCTAAATGGAAGTGGCTTTGTCCCTCCTCACCAGTGACCAGTAGGCATGCTCTTGGCTGTGGAGCTCACACAGTTCTCTGTCACCCACACCGAGCAGGAGTTACCCAAGTAACAGGACTGCTGTTTGGAGCTGTGCGGCACTGCGCCTGCTCTCAAATGATCAGAGCCCAGGAAGGTGAAAAAGGTATGTGTGAACGACAGGGGATCCCCGTAGCCCCAGGTGAAGGCAGATGTAGGGTCAAAGGCAAGGGGCAGAGCGTACCAAAAACCACTGCTCACATGGACGAATAAAGGCTGCAGGAGCAGCCTGGTTCACTGTCCCCCACAACCTCTCAAACAGGGAGCACAGCTCTGCCCCCACCAACCTTGAGGCCGATGGCCTGGTGTGCCGCCAGGGTCACAGCGATGGAGCCATCCAGGCCGATGACCTCCCCGAGGCGTGCGTACATGGTGTTAGAGAGGCCAAGGCCACCTGCAAGACACAGAGCGGTGGGATCACAGCGAAGCCGAGTTCGGGTAGACCGGGACTTTTCTTTCTAATTAAAAAGTAATATCAGACCACCAGTTATAAAGAAAAGAAGCTCACAGTATACATGAGAGTAAAAAAAACAAACAAAAAACTCCCATATTCTATCATTCAGGAAGATGTTTGGTTTTTATTTTTATTTGCATGGCAGTTTCAGAGGGAGAAGAGAGAAATCTTCCACCAGCTGGTTCATTCCCAAAATGGACACAGCAGCCAGAGCTGAGCCTGTCTGAGGCCAGGAGCCAGGAGCTCTGGGTCTCCCGAGTAGGTGCAGAGCCTAAGGAACTGAGTCATCCTCTACTGTCCTCCCCTAAGCAGGGAGCTGGATCAGAAGTGGAGTGGCCAGAATGTGAACCAGCACCCACACGGGATGCTTGCAGGAGGATTAGCCCGGTATGCCACTGTGCCAGCCCCAGGAGTACTGTGCCTTCCAGCATTTTCTAGGCAAAGAGGTACACGTGAGTTTATATCTCTAATACAGAGCCCACAGACTCACACAAGATCACCGGACGTGCTGGGGTTGGTGTTAAGCTGCCACTTGCAACACCTGTGCCCCATGTGAGCGTTAGCTCAAGCCCAGTTCTCTGCTGATGCGATGGAAGAAGCTCCAAGCGCTGGGACCCCTGCCACTCACGTGGGAGACCCCATGGAGATCCGACTCTCGGCTTTAGCCTGGCTGAGCTGCACTCGTTGGAGCCATTTGGGGAATAAACCAGTGGAGAGACAGCTCTGCATCTTCCTCTCTAATTCCACCTTGTCAATCAATCCCTGCTGTGACTAACTTCCACACAGCGTCTGCCGTGAGTCGCTCCTCAGGGACGCAGCAGCTGAACAATGCCATTCCCCTGGACCCTGCCAATGTTAATCCCTTTTTTTTTTGAGCAAGAGCGACTGCCTCCTCCTCCCCTTTGTCCAGAAACTTTGAAGTACCCCTGGAAGGCCCAGGCCAGCCACTGTGTTTTTGTTTTTGTTTTTGTTTTTGAATTGGCAAGGCAGATATACAGAGAGGAGGAGAGACAGAGAGGAAGATCTTCCATCCAATGATTCACACCCCGATCCAAAGCCAGGAGCCAGGAGCTTCTTCCAGGTCTCCCACACGGGTACAGGGTCCCAAAGCTTTGGGCCGTCCTCGACTGCTTTCCCAGGCCACAAGCAGGGAGCTGGATGGGAAGTGGAGCTTCTGGGATTAGAACCAGCACCCATAAGGGATCCCAGCGTGTTCAAGGCGAGGACCTCAACCATTACACTATCTCGCCAGGCCCGCCAATGCTAATTTCAAGTCCCATTCCAACCCCACAGCTGTGACCACCAAATCTGCCAAAGAGCAAGACTGCCCCTACCTGGTAATCACTACTCCAAGAGTGAAGGAAGAGGGCCCAGCACAATAGCCTAGTGGCCAAATCCTCACCCTGCATCATTCAGGATCCCATATGGGCACCAGTGCATGCCCTGGCTGCTCTACTTCCCATCTAGCTCCCTGCTTGTGGCCTAGCATAGAGGAGGTGCTGTGATTAACAGCCCCTGCTCAACAGCACCCTCCTGTGGACAGATGCAGAAGTGTGTCCCTAAGAGCCAAGCCAGCCAACTTACCATATTCTTCTGGGACCTGTATCCCGAAGAGTCCCAGATCCTTCAATTTCTTTAACGTTTCATCCGGGATTTTCCCTTCCTGGTCAATTCTTCGTGAGTCCACTGCCAAGAAGATATATTTTGATTAAACCAATATGAACTGAGGTAATACAACAAAAGTGAACACAACCATTTCTCCAGGAAACAAGTAAGCCAGAGTGAGTGGAGCCAAACCACTGAGGGTTGAAAGGCAAACAGCGCCCGCAGAGAGGTCTTCTCCCGCGGCACTGGGACACTGCGTGCCAAAGTCCTGCTGGCACGCAGATGCTGGTACGCAGATCCCAAGATGCTGAGTCTCACCTCACAATAAAAAATATTTTATTAAGCCAGGAGCTTCTTCCGCATCTCCCACTTAGTTGTAGGGTCCCAAGGCTTTGGGCCATCCTTGACTGCTTTCCCAGGCCAGAAGCAGGGAGCTGGATGGGAAGTGGGGCAGCTGGGACATGAACCGGCGTCCATATGGGAGTCCAGTTTGTGCAAGGAACCAACCACTAGGCTACCTTGCCAGCCCAAGTAGCAAATTTAAAAGAAAGAAAAACTAAAGAATTTAACGAAAAAACAAACATGCAAGGGGGAAGATGGCCACTAAAAAACAGAAACAAATATTTCTAAGTAACAAAAGACACTGAATCTCAACTAGGCAACTTTTTAAAACTAGCAACATAGTAACAGTCAAACGCCCTCACAGCCTAGCCTGCCCCAGAGCAGTGGGAGTGCCAGCTTCCACCAGCAAAGCTCTTCCTTCTAACAGTAAGAGGAAGATGGTAGCTGTCTGACTCTACTTCTCCCCAGGATGTACAAGGGACTCTTCCAGGGGCTACATGGTATCACACAGCTAGCATGTAATCTAATAATGTAATGTGTTTAAAAAGATCTGTTTTTATTTGAAAGGCAGAATCTCAGAGAGAGTGAGAAACAGAACGATCTTGCATCTGCTGGTTCACTCCCCAGATGGCCACAACGCCCAGAGCTAAGCCGATTTGAAGCCAGGGACCAGAATCTTCTTCCGGGTCTCTGACATGGGTACGAGGGCCCAAGCACTTGAGGCATCCTCCACTGCTTTGCCAGGCGCATTAGCAGGGAGCTGGATGGGAAGTGGGGCAGCCGGGACTGGAACTGGTGCCCATGTAAGATGTTCATACTGCAGGCACTGATTTAACCCACTACCCCGGAGCGCTAGCCCCGAGTATGGTTTTTAAATGTCTCAGTTTTAACTCTGAACAGGTCAAACTTTGGTGGGCAAAATCCATGTAAAGCAAAGCTCTTTGGGCTCCTCACTGCTGGGGAAGCAGCGCTGTGACTCTTACATCGGGGAACTCGGCAGCGGCTGCTGCAAGAGTGGCCTTCCACTCCACTGGGAGGACCCCAAGGACACCAAGTGAGGGCCTCAATGGTCCAGAGGGCCGCAAGTCCTCAAACCCTGACCGCCTCCTAGAGAGCTCTCACAGACATGCAACACTCACGACACCCTCACTGCGCAGGCGCCACGGGCACGGGCTGCGTGTATCCTCAGCTTTCTGTACCTCATTTCTGTAGTTATTCATTTTTACTGTATTTCATGTTTTCATTTTATCTTACTGCAGCCTGCAATACACGTGGAAATGTTCACATGGGGCCCTTTAGCAGACACATCAAGAAGCAGGGAACCGGAAGTCATGACCGCTGAAGCAGTGTCTCAGGCAGGACTGACCTGTGTGTCACTCAGGACACCGGAGAGGGCTTCCCCGGGGCTGCTTCTACTAAAACACCAACATCCTCGCCTTCCCACCATGATCCGAGACGCACAGGAAAGCCATACATACCCTCTTCGCTGAAGAATTTCTCCACCGGTCCCACCAGCTGGTTGATTTCATTAAGTTCATCTTGGCTAACTTCTGGAAATGGAAAAACTTCTTTCTAAAAAAAAAAAAAGCTACACATTTATTGAGAAGTTATTTTTTAGAATACGTATTTATTTGCGAGGCAGAGTTATAGAAAAAACAGGGAGACACACACACACAAAGAGGAGAGAAAAAGAGAGAGATCTTTCACCCCCAAGTTCACTGCCCAAATGACCACAAGAGCCAGGGCTGGGCACAGGAGCTGGGACCTAAGCTTCCCACACGCTGGTAAGGGTCCAGGCACCAAGACCGTCTTCTCGTTGCCTTCCCAATCACAACAGTAGGGAGTCAGACCAGAGAACGGCCTTGACAGGAACTAGTGCCATAGACGGCAGCCTAACCTGCAGGGTTACAATGCTAATCCCTGCAAATGGAACAGACAGCAACTCCCAGATTGTGGTGACACCAGTAAAATGAGAAGGAAAGACATCCTGAACTCCTCATCTAGCCAGCAGGACACGACCCACTGAAGAAATTACCAAGAGGACTTCACCAAGTGCGTAAGATCCAGCTCCTCCCGGGGCCACCTCCCTCCGCATTCACCACCTTCCTTATCAGACGCAGGAATGAGGCTTGTCCCATAAAAGCAGCAGCTCCAAAGCCCTGGATTTGCTGCTTGCTAACTGTATCCACTGCCAGTCCATTTTACTCAAATTCCCTGTGAGAACTGTGGAAGACAGAATGAAAAAAGTGCCCAGGGAAGGGCAGGTTCTCCAGCAGTCACTGACTCACTGCTACCACTGACAGGAGCGCAGCATGCTTGTCCAATCTGATCTGGGAGTCTCTTCCCAGCCCCGACATTGACTCCTGCTGCTCAGCATGCTAGGGTCTGGGGCAAAGCCAGCTGCGCCTGAACTCCAGCAGGAACAGCCAATCCTGCAGGCAGAACCAGCACCACGGCCTTCTTTCAGTTTCTCTTCTCCAGATGACTTTATTTATCTTAGAAGGTAATTTTGAGGCTCAAGAAGGTCATGTGAGGGCCTGGCGTGATAGCGTAGTGGTTAAAGTCCTTGCCTTGAACGCACTGGGATCCCATATGGGTGCTGGTTCTAATCCCAGCGGCCCCATTTCCCATCCAGCTCCCTGCTTGTAGCCTGAGAAAGCAGTCGAGGACGGCCCAAAGCCTTGGGACCCTGTACCTGCATGGGAGACCTGGAAAAAAAGCTCTTGGCTCCTGGCTTTGGATTGGCTCAGCTCCAGCTGTTGCAGCCATTGGGGAGTGAATCATTGGACGGAAGATCTTCCTCTCTGTCTCTTCTCCTCTCTGCATATCTGCCTTTCCAATAAAAATAAATAACCTCTTAAAAAAAAAAAGTCATGTGCTCGGGACCAGTAGGAACCCCTTAATTGTTCTCATGTTCTGGCTGTGCTGATGCCCACCTCAGGGCCTGGAAAGTGACTTAACTTCTGCTCTCTCAAGCGTCGGCCCCGGAAATCACTCCACTGTATCACAAGCATTCCTGGCCTTAGGGACGCTAGCCAGCCCTGCTCCACCGGTAGAGTCCAGCAAGCGGACTGGGAGGCACCCAGCACAAGCTGCCAGGCGTCACGGGGGTCCTCACCCCAGCCTCTGCACAGCTCCTTCGCTGCCTGACTAGTCTCCTCCAGAAATGTGCTCCCCAGTCTGTCCCCAGGACCACAGGGGTGCAGAAGCAGGCCCAGGTGAGAGAGCCAGCTGACTTACAGGAGTCCCTGCCTCTCTCCACGCCTCCCCTGAGGGGGCCTGGGCGGGAGATGCAGGCACGGCCATCAGCACCCAGGACCAAGCCCTCTGCTCCACAGAGGCAGGCGCCTCTTACCTTCATAGCTTCCTTGGCCAGCTGGGCAATGGGCCCGGCAGGGGCTGACCACTGACACCAGAGGGCAGAAAACAGGAGAGAAAAGAGACAGCCTGGCTACTCGGCGGCCTTCAGGTGCCTGGACACCAACAGTCAGACCTCGACAGGTAAGCCTGGTGCCAGGGCCCGAGGCCTGGCCGCAGTGCAGTGTGTACAGCTGTGAAGCCGCGGGGCCTACTGGCCACACAACCCCAGAAGTCACGGAGGCCAATCAAGGAAAGCCGGGTGGCTTGGCCTGAGGCTGCTCCCAGAGAGGACAGGCCCAAGCCTGCAGTGGCCCTAGGACACTTCCTTCACTAATGCAGGCCCAACCTAGGGCACGGGATAACACTCAGTCCCTGGAAAGGTATCCTCCTCGCTGAGGCTCAGCGTCCTGCCACGTCCCTGCTGAAGCCCAGAAATGCTGTGAGATGGCATAGGCCTGGCGCGCGGGAGGAGCTGCACGTGGGCCTGAAAGTGGTAGGCTTCCCAACACAACAGCTCACAGATTAGCCGTGGCCTGAGACTGCGATCAGGTGGATGGGCCTCCAGTTGCTGGGATGGACAAGGACCAACGCAGCCGCGTGTCCATGACCCAGAAGGCTGGGGTGGGGGGCTTAGCCCAGACCTGAATTGAGTTGTGGCTCCCAGCTCTGGAAACTAGGGGCATTCTGGGAGTGAATCTGCAGACAGATGAATAAATGGAGTCCCTTGTAGTTGCATTTCCACGGGCGCTCCCACTGGGCGTCTGTTTGGGGCACGCACCCACTAGGAGCTCCATTTAAAGACCAGGTTCAAAGCCACAGCGCCAAAGATCAACTCTAAATTTCCCAACCAAGAGGGTATTTAACCAAAGCCGTCGCTGGGGGAGTGGCTGTGCCTCCCCCCCCCCAGGACAGGACGAGGCGCTGGGACTCAGCAGCAGGAAGACAGCCAACCAGCCTCCCATCTGACCCCGGAGGCTGACCGCGGAGCCCCCGAGGGGTGGGGGGCCGGCAGGCGACAGCAGAGCACGCAGAGGGACCCTGGCGGGTGACAGTGGAGCACAGGATGGGGTGAGGTGGGCGGCAGGTAACAGTGGAGCACCTGGCGCGGGGAGGGGAACAGGTGACAGCGGAGCGCCCAGGGAGGGAGGGAGGAGGTGACAGAATAGCGTCCCAGGCTGATCCCCTAACCCACCCCCGCACGCTCCGGGCCCGCGCAGCCCAGGTGAGCGAGGCTCCGCGGCCCCCTCGCCCGGGCTTTCCCCCAAAGCCCTACGAGCGTCGGAGAGGTCAAAGTCCCGGGAAGAAGCCGGAGTTGCGGGTGGGGGTTCAGAATCCGCCCCTCCAGAGCACCTGCCGGGCAGGCGTGTGGACTCCGACAACGTTCCGCCCCCGGCCCTGCTTGCGGCCGGCGAGCAGGGGTCCACCCCGGGGCTCGCCTCACCTTCTCGATTCTCCCCAGGAAGAGTTCCTTGGCGAAAGCCGCGCTTCGCGGGCTGGCGTGCAGCAGGCGCCGGCTCAGGCCGCAGTCCGCCAGAACCCGGCAGGCTCGCGCCGCCGCCGCCGCGCGCAGGAGGAGCCCGCAGCCGCTCATGCCGCCCTGCCTGCCCGGCCCCTGCCCGACCCTGCCCGGCTCCTGCGCGGCCCTGTCCGACCCCTGCCCGGCCCCTGCGCGGCGCCTCAGCCAAGGGTGCCAGGGTCGGCTCCCGCCGACGTCATCGGCCTGCGCCGCCGCGCGCCCCGGGAGGCGGAAGGGGCGGTGCCTCTCTGGCGGGTGGGCTCAGGCCCCCGCTTGCCCACCCCAGCACCCGCGGAGGGCTTGCAAAGCTGCCTGCGCCAGGATGTTTCCCCTTGCCACCGTTGGTGGTGGTGGTGGTGTTTCTGGTTATACATGGAGGGCGCTCAGGGTGTGGGCAAGGCCCCACGGTTTGAAATGGGTGGTGGGGTGGTAGGGATGCTTTGCAGCTTGCAGGTGTGTTGAAGCTGAGCCCTCCACAGTGCCTGGAAGTCGACACGCCGTCAGGCTATAGCCTCCCGCACGCGCGGTCTCCCTCCTGTGGGCTAAAGTTCCTTGTCTGGTTGGTATGGGGTGTCTAGCCCAGGGCCACGGGTCTGGAGGCCACGAGCCCCCTGAGCTCCTCCGCTGTAAAAGTCTCTACCTGGGACGTGGGTGGGGAGGTCCCGCGTGGATGTACACTCCCCTCCCGACCTCATCAAAGAGGCTGGTGGTTGGGATGGCAGGACCAGAGAGTGCTGACTCGGGAAGACAGACCGCAGTCGCCACACAAGAAGCCACATTTGCAGTCCTCCAGACATTTTTTTTTCCTAGTTAGAAAACATTTTTACTGGGGTCAGCGTTGTGGTGCTGGAGGTTAAGCTATCCTTGCCGCAGCTCTCACCTGTTAGGTTGGGCATAGCAGAAGTGACTCTACCACCCTGCTGAAGTAACGGGGACACACCCTTTCAGAAATGTTTGGGATGCTGACTCACCCTAGCCTTGTATCTGCACAGATCAGCACCCACCATAAGCACCACGTGTCACACATCACCCATATGCGCAAAGGGAAGACCTGCTGCCTCCTTTCAGCCCCTGCGCCTAAGAGCTAGGGTGGAAGTCCAGGCCATGTGCTGCCCACAGGACCTGCCAGTAAATGGGGCTGGCACTGTGGGGTAGCATACAAATCCCTGCTTGGGGTGCCTCCACCCCGCACTGAACGCCATATCATGCCTCCACTTCTCACCCGGCTTTCTGAGAATCACCCTGGGAGGCAGCAGATAATTGCTCGGCCACCCGGGTCCTCACCACCCACACAGGGGACACACAGGGAGTCGCTGGTGGCTGGCTTCAGCCTGGCCCAGACCTGGCTGTTGTGGAAATCCAAGTAAGGAATTAGACGGAACATTGCTGTGTCTCCTTTCTGTGACATCCTGCCTTTCAGATACACACATACATGCCCAGTAGGGTGGAAGGAAAGGTGCCTCCTGCCAGCCCCTGCCAGGCACGCCAGCCTGAGGGCCGCTGGGGCCAGAGACTAACAGGAGCTGGACATGGAGCTGGTGAGGTACCAGGAACTAATGGTTTCTAGCAGTTTCTGCCTGGCAGCCCTGCACAAGGAAACCTCCACTCCCTCCCATGCCGATTCAGCCCCCGAACTCCCCCATCACGCAGAAGACACCAGTAGGAACATATGATGCCAAGCTCCACATGGGGCTGCCCTAGAGCTTTCCTTCAGGTCACCATGGGTGCTGAACCCCACCCACTGAACTGAGGGAGGAGCATTTTTACCTGTAAGGCCAACCACATGCACAGATGAGTGCCTTGCTACCTCAATCTCACTTTAAAAGGGGGCCCAGTGCCATAGCCTAGTAGCTGAAGTCCTCGCCTTGCACATGCCGGGTCCCATATGGGCGCTGGTTCTAATCCTGGCAGCTCCACTTCCCATCCAGCTCCCTGCTTGTAGCTTGGGAAAGCAGTTGAGGACAGCCCCAAGCCTTGGGACCCTGCACCCACGTGGGAGACCCAGAAGAAGCTCCTGGCTTCACATCAGCTTAGCGCTGGCTGTTGCTGCCACTTGGGGAGTGAATCAGCAGGTGATCTTTTTCTCCATATCTCCTCCATTCTGTAGCTCTTCCTTTTCAATAAAAACAAATCTTTTTTTTAAGAGATCTCAGGTGGGTGTTTAATATACACAAACAGGTTTATATGTATGAATGTGTATCAGTGAGACACGGCATATTTAAGGAATGTTTCCAGTCAGAGCAAACGAAACAGAAAAGGACCCGGGGGAAACACCATGAGCATAAGGGAGTTCAGGAGAATACTCAGAGACTCGAAAGCTATTTCTAACAGAAGCGTGTGCTACAACGGAGGGAAAATCAGAAAGCAGAGCTCTTAGCTGTTATATTACTCTGAGAACTAAATATCAACTAGAAAGGTCAGGAAACAAGGTTCTTAGAGTGGCACAAGGCAAAGTAATGGAAATAGAGCAAGCAGTTGAGGATTTAAAGGACAAAAAAAAAAAAAAAAAACCCAAAAACGGTAAAGGAGGAATTGTCAGATAGCTAACAAAATTTCCAAGAGTAGATATACCCGGATTGCTATATTTAAAAATTCCATCGAGTTGGAGAACAGAGGGGAGGGGAGGGAACTTGAGGAGGGGGAAGGGAAACCCTAGTGCCTAATAAACTGTGTCATAAAACAATTAAAAAACCCCAAAATTCCATTGAGTACAGTAGGGAATTATATATATCAAGAATAAAAAGGGGAATTATTATTTAAGAACCCTCTCTATTTGAGAAAATTTCCCTCCATCTGATGGCTCACTTCCTAAACGCCTTCTAACAGCCAAGGCTGTGCTGGGCCAGACAGGAAGCTGAGACTCAATCCGGGGCTCCCACATGAGTGCCAGGACCCTGAGGATCGGAGCCATCAGCCGCTGCCTCCTCAGCAGGAAGCACAACTGAAGTGGAGGAGCTGGCATCCTGGTACGGCATGTGGGCACCCCAAGTAGTGTCTAAACTGCTGTGTCAAACACCTACCCCAGGAGCAGACTTTAAAAGCTTCCAGGAATGGGAGTGAAGGCACAGGCCACTACCATGTAGAGCCTGCTTACTGACTGTCAAAGAAACAGGAGTCAGAAGCGCATTACCAACCGGGCTGCTGTAAGTCAGCAAAGCGATGTCTATAACCTTCCAGGGACACTTTTCAAAGTCAAGATTCAGTCAAACTATCGCTCAAGTATGAGCTCACATCTAAAAACTCAAGCAATTTTTCCTTCCAACTATTCTTTCTTGGTAAATGATTTGAAGAACAGATGACGTGAAAGGAGGGAAGTTAGTAAAAGAGACATGGATTCCAGAAACAACGAAGCCCAGAATAACAGGGCAGCAAACAGAAAAGGTGTCAAACCAGACTACAGCGAAGGCCGAGCTTTCTGGAAGAAGAATACGCAGGGGCAGAGGGGACCCCACAAAAGGCCACTAGAAACTTCAGTAAAGACAAACAGCTACTTCAAAGAGGAAATACAAAACACATTAAAATCTGCGGTGAACATGATTCGTGAAATGATAGCATTGTTCATGCAGTTTATTTTCCACTTCCAGACATATCCATAAATAAAAGTCCAACCATGGTTATAGAATTGAATTTATGATCAGATCTGATTATGTCAAAGGCAGGGAAGCAGGGGAAGGAGAAATAGAGGGGGACATCTAACATCTTATGGGGTATTGAGAGACTCTTGATATAATATAATAAAATTAAGTATGGAAATATAATTTTTCACAATTATAAAACTCTTGGTTCTTGCAAACATGGAAATTAGCCCCAGCCATTTCCTTTAACCATCATCTGACCATTTAGGGAACCTAAGTTTGAGTCTAAGCTCTGGAATGTCACTGAAATCACTTTCTTATTATCTTTCGGGTAATGGGTTTTAACAGTACATGTACCAAGCAATAACAGCATGAGGGGACGAACTGTACTATAGACACAATCCTGAATTCAGACATTTTCCCGCTTTATGGCATAAAGCAAGCCTCCAGATCCATATCCTGATTTTTTTTATATGCTTCTGAATCTCTCATTATACCCTTGGTGCCAGGGTGATGAGAGGTTTCTCAGCGATGAAATGTGAATCAAGACTTAAAAGTGAGAAGAGGATTGAGTAGGCAATGGTGCCGGGACAGGCCCTGAGCAAGGTGGGCACAAGGCACAGAGAAGTGCTTCAGGCTACAGAAAAAACACAAGGAACTCAAACTGCAGGCTGGACAGAGCTCAGAAAGTCAGCAAGAAATGGGTTAGTAACTCATTTGGTACAGGAAGATTGCACAGTATGATACACAGGCAACCAGAAATGCCTTCTGTGTATCCAGTCTGGTGCTCCAGGTGGTAGGGTTTAAAGGTTATGTGCTGGGTCACATTCTTGAAGATTCCAGTCTTTTCTGAATTGTCACTGGTCCTACATCACCAGGTGAGACTAGGGCCCTTGGCTTTGTGGAGTCCCTATGGTTACACAAATGCGCACAAAATTGAATATGCAATGTGCACTGCTTCAGGGAAAGCACCCATGATTTCCACAAGACTCTCAAAGGGGCTGCAGCCCCATAATGGTTAGGCATGATTCAGGAAAAACAGCAAGTGGAAATGCAACGTATGCAAGCAATGACAACTGCCCAGGCAGAAGGGGTCCAGAGCAGTGTTGCCCAGACACCTCCTCCTGTGCCTGGAGGAACTCACAGCTAGTTGTGCTTGCGTGGGAATGAAAGAAAAAAGGAGGGTGGATTCAAAAAGTCTTTCCAAGAACCTGTGTTCTCCCAGCACCTGCATAGTTTCACTATCAGCTTTCCATGTCTGTGCCCCATGACACATACAACTGTTAAGTCTCATCTCAGGGTGATATTGCCGCTCACTAGCCCCACAACAGAGCCCCTGGACAGGGATTCAGAGGATACAACCACTTCCAGTGAGGCCAGCCAAGACAGAGGGAAGCGACTCAAAAGACCAGAAGACCTGAGCCACTTGGGACAGGAGTGCTCATTTCTCCCCTGACAGAAGCCGGAAAGCTTCTGTCCTGATCCTGATATGACCAGTTATCCACTTGCATTACGAGATTTGTGCAGGACTGAAGGTCCTGAACCTTGGCACAGATTCGTGCAAAACTCAGATCCCAAGATGAAATACAAGTACAAATATGCAAAGCCATAATACACACTTATAGATACGTCACACAGGACCTGGTTTGTTCATACAAATAAAATGTCTGCTATGTGCATTTAATATACAAAAGTCGGGCCTCAGAATCCTAACACCCAAGGGTCGGTATGCACCTCGCACAGCCAACTAGCGTGTCTCACTTTGCGCACACAGAGAACATTGCACATACAGATTCCTACCCTGCCACTCCGCCTCTCCCCCAGCCCCCATCTCTGATGACACATTCTTGGCCTGCAGGCCTTCCTTGGTGGCTCAAGTCCCTGGCTGCACACTGAAATCTTCTCCAGAGTTTTAAAAATACTGAGGTCTGGGAGTGGACTCAGAATCCCCTCTGAGCTTTTCTCAAGCGCCTAGGCACTCACAGGAGCCCGCTGCCAGCACACCTCAACCACTCCTGGCTCCGTGAGAGGACAGACATGATGTGAAACTACAACTGCTAACCTGTTACCTGTCACTTTTGACAAAAATACACTTCTGGCCCCTTGCTAGGTGGGTTGGTCAAGGTCATGGAGCTACCCTAAACCTTCACTCTTGCACTGCTCACGTCCCAAGCTTCGAGGTATGAAGGGAGAACACCTCACCTGTCCCTATCCTTCACAGACAGGGATGGCTTGATCCCGGGGGTCTCCCTAAGCCTCGTCAGGCAGAAGTGGTTTTGAATTCCTAGTTTTGAATCCGTATCTGTTCCTCCATGAGAAAAGCTGCATGTTCTGACAAGATCTGAATAAAAACAAAAGTTCAGAAAATCAATGACATTTCTATTGCATGCCTGCTGTGCATTCTGATTTAATATCACTCCGTCTTACAGAAATGACACAACGAATGTGCACACCTTCTGAGTTTCAGCAGGTGGCTGATTTATAACAAAGGCTCTTGCACACTCAGAGGTGTGCAATGGGCCGGAAACAGAGATCAGGAGTTCTGAATTCCAGTTTTTAAGATCTGCTGCTTTCCAGCCTCAGGGCCTGCGACATATCCTGAACTCAATTCCTTGACTGAAAACAAGGCTCCACATTCGTGCAAGTCTGAGCGGGGACTACGGGTTGTTGGGTAAGCAGCAGGGCAGAACAAAGGGAGGCTGGGTTAAGGTCCACCACCGATCACCAATGGCCTCGTGTCAGACGACCACTCTCAAGCAAATGAGTCAAATCTGTCAGTGATAGGGGACTGAGGTAATGACTTCTGTGACAGCATGAGTTAACTGCCAGGGATGCTAATTCTATACAACAAAAGCATACATCAAATGATACAAGCTTTGCATAAATACAGCAGCATCCATTGCATAGTTTCACACATCAACAATGTTCCCGAGAATAAATGCTCAACAGTAACAAAGTCATCTTAACCTTAGTCTCTTCCCTGTAACTTTGCATACTCCAAAACCCACGGACTTCCCCGAAAACTAAGACCTTAACTCTGCCTCCTCCCTCCCTCCACTCCCCTTCCTTGTCTTCTCAGGACTAGAAGGGCATCACAGCTTCTCCTAATACCACCCAAGATGTGAGAATGAAACCCACATGAGGATCCCTGGCTGGGCTTGGGCAGAACAAGCAGGGACAAGCCGGGCATGTCGCCAAGCAAGCTCTATCCTGACTCTTCCATCCAGGAAAGGGGCCCTGGCTTGCATCTCACCCAAACGGAACAGGACTGGGGACTTGAGTGGTACGGAGTTGTTGGTCTTAGCCAATGATTGTAGCTACGGTGTGTCTCCATCAGTCCTTGAGTGCTGGCCAGGCAGACTGAGGGACAGTCGGAAAAGACCCACAGAGGTCTCCGTGTCTTTAAGTCCCAAGGTTTAGGAGGTACACACACATAGACTGTGTTCTATTTTTATCTACTTTAGGAATGACAGATGGCTAATAGGTTTTGCTTTGACTGGTTACTTAAGAACTTACCTAGGGAATGGAGAGCTTATACATTTTTATAGGTGAGTTGTGGAATTGCTACCCCAAGTGGTCTCCTTAATAGAAACTGTTTAACCTGAAATACTGGACATATTATAAGGTTCAAAACTTCAGAATTCATCAATCTGTCTGGTGTTGTTTAAACAATTACCAGAATTTTAAAACACAAAATTATGCAAAAAGACCTTTCTTCAAATAGGATCTTTATCAGTCAGCTTTGTATGGCTCACTCATTCCTCAGGAAGCCACATTCAGTTTCAGACGATGTAAGTGCTTAGGCTCCAGTTCAAGTGTGGTCCTTGCCTTTAGTGCTTATTTTTAGATCAGCCTCTGAAATGCCTGTCTTTTGTGCTGCATTCCTGAAAACAGTAACTCCGCAAGGCCATGGGCTTTGTTTCTAGCAGAGAGCAAAGGGGTGTCTCATTTTGGGGGGCTAACGGGCTCCCACCAAAGGTGAGAGGGCCTCCACTCGTACCTATCACTCAACCAGATGGGTTCTATGATGGCGCATGAGGTGTGAGTTAGAAATGAAGGCTGCGCCACACTTCTCACATTCGTAGGGCTTTTCCCCGGTGTGGGTTCTCTGGTGCACAGTGAGGCTCGACCTCTGCCGGAAGGCCTTGCCGCACTCGCTGCACGTGTAGGGCTTCTCCCCATTATGGATTCTCTGATGGATGAGCAGGTACGAGCTGCATGTGAAGGCCTTCCCACACTCATTACACACGTACGGAAGATCTCCGCTGTGGATCCGCTGGTGGACGATAAGGCAAGAGAGCTGACTGAAGGCCTTCCCGCATTCGCTGCAGTCATAGGGTTTCTCCGCCGTGTGGATTCGCTGGTGCACGATGAGGTGTGAGAAACAGCTGAAGGCTTTCCCACACTCCTTACACTCATATGGCTTCTCGCCAGTATGGCTGCGCTGATGCACAATGAGATTTGCACTCTGAGTGAATGCTTTGCCACAATCGTTACAGGCAAAGGGCTTCTCCCCAGTGTGGATCCGCTGGTGGACAATGAGGTTGGAGCTCCGCGTGAACGTCTTCCCACACTCGTTACATTCATAGCATTTCTCCGTGATGTGGACCTTCTGGTGACGAGCCAGCTGTGAGCTGTAACTGAAGGCTTTCTCGCATTCACTGCACTTAAAGGTTTTCTCCAAGGAGTGGATTTTTTGATGCACGGTCAGATTGGAGCTCTGAGTGAAGGCCTTCCCGCATTTTGAGCAAACGTAAGGTTTCTGTCCAGTGTGGATTCGCTGGTGCACGACCAGGTTGGCGCTCTGGATGAAGGCCTTCCCGCACTCGTGACACTCGAAGGGTTTCTCCCCCGTGTGGATTCGCTGATGCACGACCAGGTTGGCGCTCTGACTGAAGCCTTTCCCACACACACTGCACATGAAGGGCTTCTGCCCAGGATGGATTTTCTGGTTTCTAGCTGGGCCAGAACCAACACTGTATTTCCCTCTAGGCTTCTTGCATTTCTGCTCTTCCTTTTCTTTGAAGCCTTGAAGTAAGTGACAGCCCCTCCCTGTGCCTTGTCCGAAGCCCTTCCTTTCCTTCTTTATTCTCTGCCTCTTTCCCAAGCTCCCCTTCCCGCAGGCTTCTCCCGACTCAGGTCCTTCAGCCCTCTGCACCCTTCCTGTCACAATGAGTGCTTTTTCAGCTTCGTCACATTTCTCAGTTTTTGGAACCAGTAACTGTGAGTTCTTCGTCTCAGCACCTGATGTCAGACACAGAAAATGCAGATGTTAGCTTTCTCCAGTTAGAGAAAAAACAGGTCATTCTCTCACACAGGTCAGCAGCGTGTGAGGTCACTGCCTCCGTAAAGTGGTCTCATCTAAGGAAAGAATCCATGGGGTTGGTTCTGTGGTACAGTAGGTTAAGCTGCTATTTAGGATGTAGGCATTCCATCGTGGAGTGCCAGCTTTAAGTACTGGGTCCAGTTAATGCACCTGAAGCAGCAGCCAAAGATGGGCCTTGGGCCCCTGCCACCATGTGGTGGAGCTGTGCAGGAGAGTTCAAGACTCCTGGCTTTGGTGTGGTCCAGTACAGCCTCTGTGGCCATGAGGCAAGCCAACCATGGGATGGAGGATCTCGTCTCTTCTCTCTCTCACTGCCTTTCAAGGGAACAGATCTTAAAGAAAGGAAAGGATCCCCGTCTCCGTGAGCACTCCTCTGGAGGTTCTTCTGCAGGGTCTGCATCCCCTCCAAACTCAGGGCAGAATTCACCAGCCCGTACCTTTCCAGCACTTGGACTTGCTTCACGGGACTCAGAGCTTACTGCTGCAGGCTCCAGGGCCCCAGCACACAGCTGGTGCTCTTCAGTGGTCTGACACCTGACCTAGTGAAGACCAGTCACAAAGGCCACCAGCCTCTGCCTAGGCTTGCCTTCTTACCTTAGCCACGTGGTGTGGATCCACTTACAACCCACCACTGAATCAGGTAGATTCTCTACCTGTAACCAAAGACCTGGTAGGCCAATATCTAAGGAGGCTGGATACTGAAGCAAGAGCAAGCACACCCAGGAAGGATTACACTAGATGTCAAAGCAGCAGGGCGGCCAAAAGCACCTGCACAAGGAGTCGTGCAGCACAGAGGTGAAGACCAGAGATCCTGGGGTCAGGCTGTGTGGTTTCAAATCCCTGCTCTGTCACTACCCCAGCTGCATGACTTCAGGCTACTTAACCTCTCTGAATAGGAGCTTTCTAAGCCATCAAACAGGGATACCAGTAGTATCTGCCCTTGAAGACTACATGACTAACAGAGCTACTCTATGCCAAGTACACAGCGCAGGGTATGGAACAGGTCTGTGGTGACTTTCGATCTGATGAGGGTGCGGTGGAGGCTAGGAGCTGAACCCTGAAGGGTGGCAGCTGCTATGGTGATGAGAAGCTACATCAGAGAGTTTAAAGAACAGCAAACTCGGGCCTGGCGCAGTGGCGCAAGTGGTTAAAGGTCCTCGCCTTGTACGCCCGGGATCCCATATGGGCGCCAGTTCTAATCCCGGCAGCCCCGCTTCCCTTCCAGCTCCCTGCCTGTGGCTGGGAAAGCAGTCGAGGACGGCCCAAAGCTTTGGGAACCTGCACCCGCGTGGGAGACCCAGAAGAGGCTCCTGGCTTCGGATCGGCATAGTATTGGCCCGTTGCGCTCACTTGGGGAGTGAATCATTGGACGGAAGATCTTCCTCTCTGTCTCTCCTCTCTGTATATCCACCTTTCCAATGAAAAAATAATAAAAATAAATCTTTAAAAAAAAAAAAAAGAACAGCAAACTCTCAGCCTCATGTCAAGGGGCCAGCCTAGCACTATGCCAAGGAAAGTCATCCTTGCTGAAATATGGCACAGCCTGAGCCAAGTGCCAGGAAGCACCATGAGCACACCAAAGCAGCCTGACGCTGTCCTACCCTCACTAGTCCCTGGGCCCTCCACTCTGCCTGTGCACGCTCATGGTATGCGAGGAGCCCTTCTGTCAGATACAGTACAGTTCTTCCTGTGTGTCTCCCGTCCACTGTTCTATCACCCAGAATGGGCACCTGTGCTGGCAGACGTAGAAGGAACCCTAACTGAATGCTTGTGAATCAAACCAAGCTCAGGACAACTACTCAGACTACATGACAAGGGGTGCGAGAGCCAGCAGGAGCAGGTGGCAAGCCTGTAGAGGAGGGAGGTGTTCCCACTGGTGGCGTCAACTAGAAGGGAGAAGCGGAGCTGTGAGCTGCAGGTCATGCTGCACCTGTCCACTGCCCAGGGAGAAGGTGGCATGCAGGAGGAGGACACTCCTACCAGCACAGACAAAGTGACTTTAAACCAATGACAGGAGTGGGTAGGACAAGAATGTCCAAGTAGTACAAAACACTACTGGGGAAGGACAGCAGCATGACTGGACTGTGCAGTTAAGAACACAGCATTCTGGGGCCTGGTGCGATAGCCTAGCGGCCAAAGTCCTCGCCTTGAACACATCAGGATCCCATATGGCTGCTGGTTTTAATCTCGGCAGCTCCGCTTCCCATCCAGCTTCCTGCTTGTGACCTGGGAAAGCAGTCGAGGACGGCCCAAAGCCTTGGGACCCTGCTCCCACGTGGGAAACCCGGAAGAAGCTCCTGGCTTTGGACTGGCTCAGCTCCGGCCATTGTGGCCGCTCTGGGGAGTGAACCATTGGATGAAAGATCTTCCTCTCTGTATATCTGCCTTTCCAATAAAAATAAATCTTAAAAAAAAAGAACACAGCATTCCGACATTCCATCCCACTCATTCAGACCAGACGGACCAGTGTCAAAGAAAAGAAACAGCACAGTGGCAGACATGGCGCCCACAATACAGAAACTACTAAAGCTGTCCTTGTCACTTCTGTTCTACCACAGGACGGTTCTACTTCATAAATCTAGTATTTCTTCCTGTAGTTTCACTGCCCTTGTATCTTTTTCTTTTTTTCCTTCTCACTACTCCATTCCCCTACTGCCTCTTCATCTTTCTTCTCTCTTGGCTTTTATTATTTTTTTATAATTTTAACTTTTACGTGAAACATTTCAGCATCTTTGAATGTCCAGTATCCCATCTCTTTGATGCCTACCACAACCACCTCTAACCTCCCTTTTCACCGTGCTTGCTGAGCCCGGGGCCTCGCAGACACCCAGGAAATGGACACCTCAGCCCCCGGCTGCACCCCAACCTCAAGCCCACAGGAACCACTAAAGCGACTGCAGCCAATACCAGAGACAATAGCTCATGTCTCAACAATGTCTTCTGGCATAATCATCACAGAACCAGGTACAATTATAGCCTTGGCGGTTTCAATGCAAGTGGTTATTTAATAGTTTATAAATATCTGATCTAAACACAAGAAGATTATGGTTCATTCTGTGTGTGTAAGTTCCATCTCCTCGAGCAAAAAGACTAATAGGTCAATGACCCAGGATCTATAATTTTGGTTTTCTGAAATGGTTTTTCCTTTTTGGAACATCTAGGATTACTTTAACTAAAAAATAATAGAAGCACAGAAATAACGAAGAAATAAACTAAAAACTATCTGACTAACCAGAGCACAGGTACATTGTTAGGTTGGAAATCAATGGGCCTGGTGACCCAGCGGCTAAAGCCCTCGCCTTCAACGCGCCGGGATCCCATTCGTTGCCGGTTCTAATCCCAGCAGCCCCACTTCCCATCCAGCCCTCTGTTTGTGGCCTGGGAAAGGAGTCTAGGATGGCCCAAAGCCTTGGGACCCTGCACCTGTGTGGGAGACCGGGAAGAGCTCCTGGCTCCTGCCTGGCTCAGTTCCAGCCACTGCGCTCACTTGGGGAGTGAATCAATGGATGGAAGATCTTCCTCTCTGTCTCTCCTCCTCTCTCTCTACATATATCTGACTTTGCAATAGAAATAAATAAATCTTAAAAAAAAAAAAAAAAAGAAATCAATACTCTTTCTTTCCAGGAGTCAGGAGCTTCCTCAGGGTCTCCCATGTGGATGCAAGGGCCAAGGACTTGAGTTACCTTCCACTGCCCTGCCTTGGAATAGCAGGGAGCTGGATCAGAATTGGAACAGCTGGAAAGTGAGCTGGCACCCACATGGGATGTGGGCACCATAGGTAGAGGCTCTGCCTACTATGTCACAGTGCCAGCCCTTGCAATTATGTTTTATAAGAGCATACTTCGAAGTCTGTGGAAGACAGAATTCAAACATACGTTTGAGACAGGTGCTGGCTTAGCTGCTTGGCTGCAAGCTGGAATTCCTGTCTTCCACACTGCAGTGTCTGGGCTCGAGTGCCAGCTCTGCGCCTGCCGATGCACACTCCGGGAGGCAGCGGGGAGGGCTCTAGTAGCACGGCCCCCCATGTGGAAGATCTGACTTCCTGCTGTCAGCATGGCCCGCTTCTGCCTGCTGCAGGCACTCGGGGAGTGAGCCAGCAGAATAGGAAATCTCTTCCCTGTCTCTCTGCCTGTCAAACAAATTCATTAGCAATAGGCAAAGTGTTCAGAAGACCGTGGGTCCTTCCTGTTGAAGGGGGCAGCGCTTGGAGTGGACAAGTACAGCTTCTGGTAATGTGAGCTTAGCAAGCAGTGACACAGAGCAACGTGCCAGACCCGGTGCGACGGAAAGCTGGATGTAGGAAGAGCAGGGCTGGCACTTGGAGGAATAATTAATGACAAGAAACCTCTGCGTGGCACTGGTCACCCCAAACCCAAGGAATCTTACAAGGAACAGAATGGGTTCAGGAGACCGTGAGCACCCTGCAGCACCCCCCAACCCCTACCCCTCACACTGCTGATCTATGGGCACGCGTCATTCCGCCAAAGCAAGCTTGGTCACTGCTCAGCTCTGCTGCCCTGCCCCGAGGCTCGGCTTAGGGGCAGCAGGCGGTAAGACACCAGCACCCTTAGGAGGACATGAGCTGTGACACCATTCTGCTTGACACAGATCCTCAACATTCTCTAGAATCTGTGCAAAAGTCTACGACACCAGAACATCTTCAAACATTCCCTCAAATTCAACGTGAAAGTTCACCGCCCCTGCCATGGCTCTGGCTTCTGCTGCAGGCTCACAGACTCGGGATAACCAGAAAGCACGTGGACAGGACATGTGTTTACTTGTGGGCACATAAATAAGTCTCCACTAAGCAAATAGCATAAAAGGCAAAACCGTGGGCTAGTGCTGTGGCATAGCAGCTAAAGCTACTACCTGCAGCAGGGGCATCAAAAATGGCAACCAAAACAAGCCCAGCGGCTCTCCTTCCAATTCCGCTCCCTGCTAAAGTGCCTAGGAAAAGAGCAGAGGATGGTCCATGTGTCTGGGCAACTGCATCCACGTGGGAGACCCAGAAGAAGCTCCTGGCTTCAGACCAGCCCAACCCCAGCCGCATGGCCATCTGGGAGTGAAGCAGCTGATGGAAGACTTCTTTCTCCGTAATTCTCCAACCCAGGGCGGACGCTCTGAAACAGTGAGGTGAACCTTACCGAGACAGTTCCTGCCCCCGTGGCTCTCCAGCGTCTCGCTTCTGCACAGGGTCCCCGGTAACGAGGAACCGCTGAGGGGCAGGGCAGCAGGTGCGTCCTGCGTTGTTTTCAGGACTACTGCCCTGTTCCAGAACACATTCCGGCCCTAGAGACAAGTGGGTAGAGGTGATTTTGGAGGGGACAGTTGGTGATCACAACCTGCAGAAGGAAGACAAAGGCACCTATTCCTGGAGGTCACTGACAGTAAAATAAACACTGGAAGAGGACACAAGGGTCTCCCCGCACCCAGAGAAGCCAGCTTGTCACCTCCCACCCCGTGGAGTCGGCCTCACTGCTCACTCAAGCATCCAGCCCACCCTGTCTGTGACAAGGGGACACCAGCCCAGATTTCGGACTTGACTTTTCTAGACTCTGAAGATCAAAGAAGCAAAATGACGGATGTTACAGAAAGACTCTGGAGAGCTAGTCCAGGTCCCCGCTAAAACACCTGGAAGACAGCAGAAAATGGCCTCAGTGCTGGGCCCCTGCACTCACGTGGGGGATCCAGAAGGAATTCTGGGCTGCTTCTGCCTGGCCTAGACCTGGCCACTGAGACCATCTGGGAGTGAACCAGTGGATGGCAATTCACCTTCTCGAATTCTGCCTCTGTCACTCTCTCAAACAAATAAATACGATGAATCTTTCAAAGTTCAAGTGCGGTTTGTAGACTGGCAGCACCCCTATCACCTGGGAACTTGTAAGACACAGGCACTCTGTGCGCCAGGATTCCGGATCAGAGTGACAAAGACCACGGGGCAGCAGGTGCTGCGGGTGTTCTGGAACCCCGAGCAGGGCTGCCTGCAGAGTTTTCAAACTACAGCCAGTCAGGTCCACCTGGGGATGGCGACGCCCTCGGAAGGCAGCACAGTGCAGACGGCAGATTCCGTAAAAGCTCCGCAGGAACGCAGTGTGGGAAGCACCGGGTCACACACAGGACCAAATGCCATACCTCACGCCAAAGGATGGCATCCTACCCCTGCGACCAGACTCCCAGTGTGAGCAGCAATGGGAAGTGCCCTGTGAAACCACCTGGGGGGGTCCCCTCCCGGCTCCCTCCCCAGGTGCCGCTCACCTGTTCCTCCTCTCCTGCCACCTGGAGGCCTGGCGGGCAGTCCTCCACGGGGGCCCAAGTGGGGATGCTCTCAGCACTCGCTGGCTGGCTGGCTGCCTGACTCAAGTAGCTTTCCTCTTCTTCGTTCTCCTCCTCCTTGACCTTCACGAGGCTCCAGGGTGTCAGAGCCACGGGCTCTCTCAACTCTGCAGTCATCTTCTCTGTTCAGTGGAGGCACTGCACGAGCTCGGGACGCCCAGCGGAGGCCAAACCCCATCTAACCTGCAAACTTCAAAAGCTTCTGCTGGAATTTCCTCTCGGGGCCCAGATAAACAGTCTACTGAGAAAGCAGAAAACACTTGTGAGCTGAGAGCAGGGACTTGTCAGGAGTCCAGAGAGTCTGCACCTGCTGGGGTCCCACATAGGCGCCAGTTCAAATTCCAGCAGCTCCACTTCCCATCCAGCTCCCTGCTTGTGGCCTGGGAAAGCACTCAAGGATGGCCCAAAGCCTCGGGACCCTGCACCCATATGGGAAAACCAGAAGAAACTCCTGGTCCCTTGCTTCAAATCAGCTCAGCTTCAGCCGTTGCAGTCACTTAGAGAATGAACTGGTGGCTGGAAGATCTTTCTCTCTGTCTCTCCTCTAACTTCCTAATTAAAAAATAATCTTAAAGAAAATTGATACTGATACATGTTTACTCAACTAATCAAGTAACACAGAAACACATAAAATTAGACAGTCACGCCCACTCCATCAGTCTATACGGGAATCCTACAGCACTTCCTCTGCATTTACATGCAACACTGGCACACAGGGTGCTTGCTTTCTTTGTTTTTAAGATTTATTTTATTTTTATTGGAAAGGCAGATTACAGAGAGGAGAGACAGAGAGGAAGATCTGTCCAACAATTCACTCCCCAGCTGGCTGCAACAGCCAGAGCTGAGCCATCTGAAGCCAGGAGCTTCTTCTGGGTCTCCCACACAGGTGTAGAGTCCCAAGGCTTTGGGCCGTCCTCGACTGCTTTCCCAGGCCACAGGCAGGGAGCTGGATGGGAAGCAGGGCAACTGGGATTAGAACTGGCGTCCATATGGGATTCCAGTGCATGCAAGGTGAGGACTTTGGCCGCTAGGCTACTATGCCGGGCCTAGTTGCTTACTTTTAAAAACACGCATCAGGTCACACTTTACCCTGTTCAGCAACATGCCTGGTTTGGTTTTTGATGCCGATTTCCACACTTTACACATATTCTTAGTAATCTGAATGCAGGGTCGGTGTAGGGCTCCCTCCTCCTGACACAGTATTGTAAATCATGGCCAGCCACAATCCTGACGCACTCCCCAGTGACCAGCCACCCCTTCAGAGGGAAGTCCTTTCTAGTCTGTTTTCTTTTCAAGATTTATTTCATTTTGCAAAGTTGAATATACAGAGAGGAGGAGAGACAGAGAGAAAGATCTTCCATGTATTGATTTACTCCCAAGCAGCTGCAAAGGCAAGAGCTGCGCTCCACATCCAAAGCCAGGAGCTAGGAGCGTCTTCTGGGTCTCCCAGGACACAGTGTCCCAGGGTTTTGGGCCGTCCTCCACTGCTTTCGCAGGCCACCAGCAGGGAGCTGGATGGGAAGTCGGGCCACCAGTACCAGAACTGGTGACCACATGGGATCCTGGCGCGTGCAAGGCGAGGACTTCAGTCCCTCAGGCTATCTCCCGGCCCTAGTTTCTGTTCTTGATAATAACCATTCACAGAGCTTTTTCGGTGCAATTTTCCTTTTGCTGCCCTATTACTTTTGAAATAAATGCGGGGTTGGGAGTGGTGACTGGGTCAATGAGTTTATGGCTGCTATGTGTTGTCATATAGCTTTCCAGAAACACCCTCCCAAGCCACAGAACCCATGGCTACCAGGTGCTCTCTCCCGCGGCGGGGCCAGCAGGTCTATTTTTAATTTGTGAGTAAATATGAAAAGGGAGAAGCATTCTTCCTAGTCCGGAGGTTCTATTAGAGAAGGGTGCAGAGTTTTATTACGTTTGCTTTCGTGTTTCTCGAAGAGATTACATGCCTGGCCCGCACGGCCACTCAAGGGACTCTGAGTGGACACTGTCTCGAGGCAGCACCGTCAGCCCTGCCCTGATTCTGCACGATGAGTCCCTTCGCGAAGCCCTCTCCCTCGTCCCGGCCGTGGCCCTCGGCCGCCTCCGCCCGCCCGGCCGGCCCGGCTCTCGGGCTGCGCGCACCTGCTCTCCCCGGGCCGGAGAGTCCGTCGCCGAGAGGCACCGCGACCCTCGGGACGGCCGGGACCCCCGAGGGAAGGCCGCGGCGGGCCGCCCGAGACCCGCTCCCCTCCTCCCGCCGACCCGCGCGCCCTGGGCCTCCGAGAGGACCCGGCGGGGCTCACCGCTCCGGACCAGGACACTGGCGGGACCGCGACCCCCGGCTCCCACCGGCGCGAGAACAATGACCGGACAGGAAGTGCCTCGGGATGGGCTTCCGGCTCCCCAAGTCGCCAGGCCAGCCTCTCTAGGAATCTCGGAGGTGCTTTCTTCTCGATGGGAGTCTGTGATTGCTCGGGACCCGGGGATGGCGTGGACGCCCCAGGCTGCCCAGGCCGGGGACATGCCCAGGCTGGGCGGGGCTCCCGAGAGGTGCTCCCCTGCAGCCTGGATGCCACAAGACATGAATCTGTAGGAAGTCCTGATAACTTCTCCCTAACAGTGTATTTCGAAAATACGGCATAGTGCGTAAAAGGTGAAAGCGAGTTGGGCAAATACCTGTGTCCCACACCTGGAGCTGACAATGAACTACGTTTGCCTTATCCGTCTGTACTTAAAAACAGGCTTTTGAAACTTGTGAACGCTAAAATGCTTCATGCCGAATTAGTAGGGCAGGCATCCCATAATTATAACATCCGAATTAAGTCTCACTCTCACAGGTAATGCCAACATTACTTACATATGATTACATATTCAGATCTCCCCAGATCGCCTTGACAACACTGCACGGCCAGTGTTGCTTCATCTTGTCGATTCTTTGTTTTGTAATCAAGGACACAGCAGCCTTCAGCCTGTCTCCCCAGCGGTTACATCTCAAGTCAGGAACGTGACAGACATGTTGTGAAATAGCAGTGGTAGGCTGGCATGCTCACCACCAGGTGCCAAGCAGTCACCTCCCCCGTGGAGCCCTGTCCCTTCTCCTCCCCCACTTTCCCTCACCTCTGACAACCACGAATTTCTCCTTCCTCTCTTGAACGGATGCTCTGCGGATGGAGACGTCCGGTGTGCAGGCTTTTGAGCTTGCCGCTGTTACACAACATCATTCACTCGCTTGGAATTGATCTGAGGCTTACAGCTGCCAACAGGTCACTTCACTTGATGGCCCAGACAACAGCCTGCTCTAGCCACCCGATGAAGGTTGTCTGGGTCACCCACAGGTCTTACCTGTCGCAGGTAATAACCGCTGTGGACGTTCGTGTCAACGCTTTCATTTCTCCAGGACAAAAGCTCAGGGCCACCATTTCCGAGATGCCAAGTGCAGAACTGGCTTCCTAAAAACACTGCCCAACTTTTTCCAGAGTGGCTGCAACATTTTTCACACCCAACAATGTAAAGATTCAGTTTTTCTGTGTTCTTTCCAGCGTTGGGGTTGTCACTAATCAGTAGTTTTTTCTTTCCGGAAAGGTCTGTAGTGGATCTCATACTACTTTGCATCTCCCTAACGACTAGTGGTGTTGAATATCTTGTCATCGACTACTTTGCCATTTACACTTTGGGAACTGCCTACTCATCTAAGACCTTCTCTGCTTGACCCTAGGTGACTTCTCTGCTTGACCCTAGGTGACCTTCTCTGCTTGACCCCAGGTCCTAGTGTCATTTTTTCCAACTTTGTCTTTCATATCTAGTTGCTCTACCAGCAGTTGTTCAAAAGGTTTTTAGGGTCTGGCACAGTAGCCTAGTAGCTAAAGTCCTTACTTTGATTGCATCGGCATCCCACATGGGAGCTTGTTTATGTCTTGGCTGCTTCACTTCCCATCCAGCTCCCTGCGTGTGGCCTAGGAAAGCAGTCGAGGACGGCCCAAAGCCTTGGGACCCTGCACTCGTGTGGGAGACCCGGAAGAAGCTCCTGGCTCTTGCCTTTGGATCAGCTCAGCTTTGGCTGTTGCAGCCACATGGAGAGTGAACCAACGGACGGAAGATCCTTCTGTTTTTCCTTCGGGAGAAGGAAATCTGCAAATCTGATTTTCCAGTAAATAAATAAATCTGCACTGCTTTCCCGGGCCACAAGCAGAGAGCTGGATGGGAAGTGGAGCACCCTGGGCACAAACTGGCACCCATATGGGATCCTGAGAGATGCAAGGTGAGGACTTTAGCCACTAGGCTATCATGTCAGGCCCTCACACCCATTATTTTAAAATCTTTTATTGCAAAGATTTGCTTGAAGATTTTTTTATTGGAAAGGCAGATAGACAGAAGGACAGACAGAAAGATCTTCCATCCGCTGATTTACTCCCCAAGTGGCCGCAATGGTTGGAGCTGAGCTGATCTGAATCTAGGAGCCAGGAGCTTCTTCTGTGTCTCCCATGCAGGTGCAGGGTCCCAAGGCTTTGGGTCATTCTCAACTTCTTTTCTAGGTCACAAGCAGGGAGCTAGATGGAAAGTGGAGCAACTGGGACATGAAGCAGCAACCATATGGGATGCTGGCGTATGCACGGCGAGGACTTTAACAACCAGGGCACTGCGGCAGGTCCATACTCATTACCTTTTCTTTTTTTTTTTTTTTAATTTATTCATTTGTTTATTTGAAAGGCAGAGTGACAGAGAGGGAAAGACACGCACACGCCTCTCACCTGCTTGCTCACTCCTCAATGGCTGGGGCAGGTGGGCAGAGACCAAGGTCTCCATCTGAATCTCTCACATGGGCGGCAGGGGCTCAGTGCTTGGGCCATCGTCTGCTGCCTTTCCAGGCACGTGAACAGGGGCTGGGGCAGAAGCTCAGCAGTCGGGACTCAAACCAGTGTCCTCCCATGAGACGCCAGTGTCACTGTCACAGGCTAGCCCACTCTGCCGTGGCACTGGCCCCTATCATGACCTCTTCATAACTGTGAGGTAGTTATAGGTAGTTATTCTTCCTCCTGTTCAACAGAGGGAATCAGGGCTCCAAGGAGAGAGGGGATTTGTGCAGAACCAGCATGAAGCATCACATCTATATCTCTGGACTGCAGGTCCCGGTGCCTCCGTCCTCTCTCGGTTACCTTCCATCTTCACCAGGAACCAGTGCTCAGCACACCGCTCTGATAATACTGGGATCTGAAACACACAATCCTGTGAACTGGGTATTTATATTCCATAACTGGAGTTTGGGGAGTTACAACATAAAGCTATTAAGTCAAGAATTTAGGCTGATTTAAACCTACAAACATGCAGGAGGGCACGGGTTTCATGAACGATTCAGAATGGGCAATGGGCTCCTGCTGCTTGGCTTCAGTGGAACTTGAAGAGCCTGAGACTACGTGACAAGTGTACACAGCAACTTAGGAGCTGGGACAGAATGTCGCTGTTGAGCATGACAGCAATGATGAAACACTGATTAGAATCCAAAGGACGGTGGCAGGAATGTCCTGCTCAGCTGTCGGGGTCTGCTGTGGGAGTAGTCCTCCCTCGGAACGCAAAGGCAACCTAAGACTGTCCTTCCATTTCATCACTTGAAGCTTGAAAAACAAACTGGTTTCCTGGTCATCAATATTAATGATGAATTAGATTTTTCTACAAAACATTAGCCATTTTGAACACGTTTATGTATAGCTTTAAACATTTTGAAGCTGTATCTTTAAAGTCCTATCAAATCACTACATTACAAAATGACCTACTCACCACAGCTTCTCTTACAAAAAGGGAGACTGAGCTTCCAGGATCCCTCTCATCCGAACACTGACTCGGTGCATAAAACACGGTAACATTACGTCATGCTCCAGATGCTGACAACACCTTTTATCCAATTTTATTGACAACTGAATATTTCATAAAGAACTTTCACAAAGCTTCTTTCACTTAACCCTTACAACAGCCCTGTGAGGTGGGCCTACGTCAACATTTGACTCACACAAACTGAGGCTCGGAGGCTGACAACAACATGACACCTCCAGACGGGGAAAGAGCGCGGACCAAACCCCGATCTCCCCACTCCAGCAGTGACCCTCTCGGGCTGTGCTCCGCCACAGACGCCTGCCTCCCCCCATTCAACATGTGACCTGTCTGCATCACAACATCTAATAGACTTCCTATAGCAGTAACGCTATCTTTAAAATATACACTATACAAATGTTCAGAAATAACAGCTACTTGTTAGTAATGACATCGTTACATCTTGTAAAACATAAACCCAGTTTCTTCAGAGCTTTCAGTCACTCCAAGGTCATAACAAATGGTCTGGAATAGAGTATCCTTCAACACAAAATTGCATGTTTTTGTAGATTGGAAGTTACTCAGCTGCCTATAAAAGGGTTAACCGCTAACTTTGCTTCATACGTTATTCCTGTGGCAGTTACTCAGAAGGCAGGACTGTATTCCATTTTACTTACGACGCTAGATTTTTTGAATCTTTATCTTGGACTCACCAGTATGCTGTAGCCAAGAGAACTCCTCGGTATGGAGTTTCTGTTGAGGCTGTAGATTTGAAGAGCGACAGAATTCTCTTTCAGATTCATCGTAGCCACAGGGCTTTTCATCTGCATGAGTTTTCTGATGTACAGTGAGGTTTTGCCTTTGTCTAAACACTTTACTGCAATCATTGCACCCGTAGGGCTTCTCTCCTGTGTGGATTCTCTGATGGCCGACTAAGTTCCTCTTGGAGGTGAAGGATTTTCCACACTTCTCACACTCATAAGGTTTTTCCCCAGTGTGCATTCTCTGATGCACAACAAGGTTTTTATTCTGACTGAAGTCTTTCCCACATTCATCACATTTATAAGGTTTCTCTCCAGTGTGGATCCTTTGATGCACCGTAAGATTTCTACTTGAGGTAAGGACTTTCCGGCATACATGACATTCGTAGGTTTTTTCCCCACTGTGGATTCGTTGGTGTTCGAGCAGGTTTCTGTTGTAAGTGAAGCCTTTCCCACACTCACCGCACGCGTACGGCTTTTCCCCGGTGTGGATTCTCTGATGGGCTATGAGGTTGGAGCGGTAGCTGAAGACTTTCCCGCAGTCACTGCACTTGTACGACTTCTCTCTGGTGTGGATCCTCTGATGCCCAATGAGGCTCTTCTTCAGAATGAAGCACTTGCCACACTCATTGCACTCGTAGGGCTTCTCGCCGCTGTGGATTCTCTTGTGTTCGATAAGGTTCCGGTTCGAACTGAAAGCCCTTGCGCACTCGCTGCATTCGAAGGGCTTTTCCCCCGTGTGGATCCTCCGGTGCACAAGCAGGCTGGAGTTGTAACCGAAGGCCTTGCCGCAGTCTTCACATTTGTAGGCCTTCTCCTGTGTGTGGAGCTTCTGATGGACCATAAAGCTTTTGCTCATGATGAAGGTTTTCCCGCACGCGTGGCATTCGTAGGGCTTCTCCCCCTTGTGCAGTCGCTCGTGGTCTGTGAGGTTTCTGTTGGAACCAAAGACCTTGCCACAGTCTTTACATTCATAGAGGTTCTCCCCGGTGTGGAGCCTCTGGTGCAGCAGGAGACTCTTCTTCAGGATGAACACCTTCCCGCATTCGCTGCATTCGTAGGGCTTCTCCCCGTTGTGCAGTCTCTGGTGGTCAAAGAGGTAAGCGCTCTGGGTGAAGGCCTTCCCACACGCGGCACACTTGTAAGGCTTCTCCCTGCTGTGCGTTCTCTTATGGTCGACGAGGCTTGCCTTGGAAGTGAAGATCTTCCCACATTTTTTGCAACCAAAGGTCTTCTTTTCGGTGTGGACTCTCTGGTGTAAGAGGAGGCTTGTACTTCGGATAAAGACTTTCCCACACTCCTGACACCTGTAAGGGTTCTCGGCACTGTGGAGTCGCTGATGGTCCGCCAGGTAAGTGGTCTGAGCGAAGGTTTTGCCACACTCATCACATTTGTAGGGTTTCTCCCCAGAATGGATTCTCTGGTGCAAAATGAGGCTCTTCTTGAGAATGAAGGCTTTCTGACACTTGCTGCACTTGTAGGGTTCTTCCCCTTTGTGAAGCCTTTGGTGGTCAACGAGGTAAGCATTCTGTGAGAAAACTTTCCCGCACTCATTACATTTATAGGGTCTCTCCCCGGAATGGCATCTCAGGTGGATAATGAGGCCCGAGTGCCTGTAGAAGCCCTTCCCACACTCCTTACACTTGTAAGGTTTCTCCCCAGTGTGGATTCTCTGATGGTTTAGGAGGTAAGCACTTTGAGAGAACGCTTTTCCACATTCATTGCATTTGTAAGGTTTCTCCCCAGAATGGTTCCGTAGATGCATGAGAAGGCTCGAGCGCTGAATAAAGCCCTTTCCACACTCCTTACATTTATGGGGTTTCTCACCAGTGTGGATTCGTCGATGGTTTATAAGATGGGAAATTTTGCTGAAATGTTTAAAACATATATCGCATTTAAAGAATTTCATTCCTTCGATACCTGTTAAACTTTCAGGAATAGTTGACCCAAACATCAAGTTTTCTGCAAATTCCTTCCTCCCCTGGCCCCGTTTTTCTGATGGAGTCCTTCTCCTCTGACCTCGTTCACAGAGGGCGCCCTCTGTTGCTGTGTCCAGCCTGTCCTCCGCTTCATTTCTCCACTGACTTGCTAGGGCTTGCCATTCACAGTTTTCCTTGGAGTCCAGGGCCTGGGGAGCGCTGCCCTGCAGCCTCCTGCACGCGCCTTGCTGCGGATCACCTCTTTGAGTGACACCTGGCTTGGCCGTCTCCTCCTCCTCATTCTCGGCCATGGCCTCCCATTCTGGTAAAGGAAATTAAAAAGAAAAATATCACCACACCCCTGTTTCTGTGGAAATAGGGACTTCAAATGAATTGAAGACATGCAAAACAGGCACAGTTTCCACACTTACAAAAGGGGAAAGTTCTGACTGAATGCAGGTACAATCAACACACAACTCACACTAAGGGCTTTATGATCAGAAAGCAGACGGAAAAACCCAAAAGCAGCTGCAAATGCAGATGCAGGGACGAACCAGAGAAGGAACACAGGGTTCTCAACAGGTGGCCCAGGCCCCGGGAGTCGGACACACAGAGAGGCATTCGCTCAGAGGAAGCCCCTTTTGTTGTCTCCTGTTAGGAGGATGAGAACTTTACAGCAGAGGACACAGATTTCAAGGCAATTTCTGAAAAGTCAAATGCAGGAAATCTTTTTTATTAGTTGAATGCAACTAACCTATAGAAAAAAATCCATTAAAAAAAGACAAGTTAATTCATAGAATCTACACAAAACTCCTTCCAGTCTTTGAGAAAAAAGAAGTTTGAAATCCATTCCACAAAAATAACCGGTTTGTGTTGGAATGCCTTAATTAGACACAAAGGAGTAAAACAAGAAATACAGAATGAAAAGGAAAGAACAGAAAAGGAGTAAGAAACATGGAAACATCTGTAAAATGATGAGGTTTAACCAGCTAAGATCCAAGGGCCCTTTCTACCTGAACGCTACCAAAATTTTAAAATGCAATCTTATTTTTATCAGAATGTTTTTGAAGATTACTTCAAAGCTACCCAAATGTGAGAAAAATTATAAACCAGCTCCCCAAATTATGTAGTAATTAATGTAAATAACATAATACTATATTCTTTTATGATATTTATTTTTTTATAATTATTTTTTTTTTTATTGGAAAGGCGGATGTACAGAGAGGAGAGACAGAGAGGAAGATCTTCCGTCCGATGATTCACTCCCCAAGTGAGCGCAACGGGTCGATACTATGCCAATCCGAAGCCAGGAGCCTCTTCCGGGTCTCCCACACGGGTGCAGGTTCCCAAAGCTTTGGGCCATCCTCGACTGCTTTCCCAGGCCCAGGCCACAGGCAGGGAGCTGGATGGGAAGCGGGGCTGCCGGGATTAGAACCGGCGCCCATATGGGATCCAGGGCGTGCAAGGCGAGGACCTTTAACCACTTGCGCCACCACGCTGGGCCCAATACTATATTCTTTTGACTACAATAATACTTTTCTTATACCCAGAGACAAAAAAAAAAAAAAAAAAGGAACATAGCCTTTTTTTTAAAAGATTTATTTCATTTTAAAAAGATTTATTTATTTTTTTATTTGCAGTCAGATATGTATATAGAGGAGGAGAGACAGAGGGAACGATCTTCCATCCATTGATTCACTCCCCAAGTGGCCACAACGGTGAGAGCTGAGCCAGTACAAAGCAAGGATCCAGGAGTCTCTTCTGGGTCTCCCATGCAGGTGCAGGGTCCCAAGGCTTTGGGCCATCCTTGACTGCTTTCCCAGGCCACAAGCAGGGAGCTGGATGGGAAGTGGGGCCTCCAGGAATAGAATCAGCACCCATATGAGATCTTGGCGCATGCAAGGCGAGGGCTTTAGCCACTAAGCTACTGTGACAGGCCCAAATATAGCTTTTTATTTAATTATGAATGTCAAGTTTATGAAAGGGTGAGGATGGCAAACTTTAATAAGCATTAACTCAGACCTGAGATAGTCTTTGGCTAAGCGGTCAAGTGTTGCCTCAACTGTTCCTCTTTCTGGGACTTGGGCAGGACTGCCACCCATGCCACCCATCCATCTGGCTGCAAGGGCAGGTATGCATCTTGGGCCTAGGCTAGAGCGGTATAGTGAATAAAGTCGCTGCTGGTGGCATGGACATCCCACTGGATAAAGACATGAATTCCGGCTGCTCCATCTCCAATCCAGCTCCCTGTAACACACCTGGGAAAGCAGTGGAAAGTGACCCAAACGCTTGGGCCCTCCACTCACGTGGAAGACCTGGAAGAAGCTCTTGGCTCCTGGCTTTAGCTCAACTCTGGCCATCGCAGCCAGATGGATGGGTGGCAGTGAACCAGTGCATAAAAAATCTCCGTCTCCCCTGACCTTCTCTGTAACCCCTTCAAATAAGAACAAACATGAGCTGGCATGGTGGCATACAGGCTAAGCCTCTGCCTGCAAGCACTAGTATCCCATATGGTTCATATCCCAACTACTCTACTTCTGATTTCTCTCCATGCTTTGGGCCTGGGAAAGCAGCAGAGGGTGACCCAAGTTCTTGGGTCCCTGCACCCATGTGCCAGACCCAGAAGAAGCTCCTGGGCTCCTGGCTTGGATTGGCTCAGCTCTGGCAGTTCCAACCATCTGGAGAATGAACCAGCAGATGGAAGATCTTTCTTTCCTGTCTCTCCTTCTCTGTATAACTGCCTTTCAAATAAAAAGAAATACATCTTTTAAAAGTCTAGAAATAAATATTTTTCTCACAAAGAAAACATTCAGAATAATAAAGCTGTCAGTGCAAAGCAAGACACACAATTGAATACTATGCAGTCATTTACATTTTTAAAAATTAATTTATTTTTCATTTATTGGAAAGACAGATATATAGAGAGAAACAGAGACAGAAAGAGCTATCTGCTGGTTCACTCCCCAATGGCCACAATGACCAGAGCTGAGCCAGCCTGAAGCCAAAAGCCAGGAGCTTCTTCTGGGCATTCCCATCACCCCAGGTGTGTGCCACTTGTGCACCTAGCATTTTATTCTACCTTACATTCAATCTTTTTTAAAAAATAAAAGATTTTTAAAATTCTTATCGGAAAGTCAGATATACAGAGAGGAGGAGAGACAGAGAGGAAGATCTTCCACCCGCTGATTTACTTCCCAAGTGGCCGCAACAGCCAGAGCTGCCCCGATCTGAAGCCAGGAGTTTCTTCCACGTCTCTCACGTGGGTGCAGGGTCCCAAGGCTTTGGGCCGTCCTCCACTGCTTTGCCAGGCCACACGCAGGGAGCTGGATGGGAAGTGGAGCAACTGGGACATAAGCTGGAGCCCGTACAGGATTCTGCCATGCGTAAGCGGAGGACTCAGCCACTAGGCGATCATGCTGAGCCCATGGACATTCATTATTTCCACAATCACTCCCCAGACCCAGAAAGGGCACAATCACGTCATCTTCACAATTACATCACACAACAGGTGCAACATTTGTTGGAAGCACAATGGTTAATAAAGAATTACTAAAGTCTGTGTTTTATTACTAACCAAAGAAATCTACTTTAGAATAGGCATTGCAAGTTTGAAAAGTCCTATTAGCACATGAGCACAGAGCGGGGCAGGGCTCTCACACTGCACAGATCAACAGGCCGAGAAGGCGGGGGTCGCCGGAAAGGAGGGGGTGCACAAGGAGCCTTCAGCCCAACCCTGGGGCCTGGCCACGACGCGCAGAAGAGCCACAGGCACAGAGGGCATCATCACAACACTTACCCCCAGTAAGGGAAGGGCTGCCCAGGAATGGCATAAACTGTGTAGCCAGTAAGACTATTATTCACAAAAAGCCAGTCTTGTAAGAGTGAAAACAGGGAAGGCGAGCTATAAAACTTGTACACACACACTCACACATCCACACACATGCATGTGAACAATGCCTGCAGGCAAGCGAGGCAGTCCCTCCCAGCGCTGACGGGGGCTGACGGGGGCTCACCCAGGGATGTCACGTTCCCGTAATTCTCCAGCATCACGTCCCAGTACAAGGCCCTCTGGATCGGGCCCAGACACGCCCATTCCTCCGAAGTGAAGCACACCGACACCTCCTCAAACATCACCAACTCCTAAAGCAACAGGTGCAGGTGAGACAAGCCATGCTCTACAGCTCTCTGCTGGAAAGGCCCCCTTCACTGTGAGGCCAGGAGGCAGCACAGAGACCAGGGCCACACCAGGAGACCCCGTGGGAAGGTAATCCTCCCGTCCTGCTGGCCCCTTCACTGTGAGGCCAGGAGCCTGCGCAGAGTCCAGGGCCGCACTAGGAGACCCCGCGGGAAGGTAACCCTCCTGCCCAGTACTGTGGGAACCACCAGACACCCATACACTAGGATGCCAGAGGGCACTTCCGTTTGGGACGCAGACCTTACCTGGGGCTGGGCTGTCAAGAGCATAAGTGCCATTAACTGATTTCTTGGGTTTTCTTCCTGGGAAAGGGCAGACACCTCAGAGGCAGGAGACTCTGAGCAAGAAAAGAAAAAAAGCTGTCTGCGATGACCACTGTCCTTACCTGCCCTGCAAGTCTAACAGCCCCTACCCATCAGAAATTCAGAACAAGGCCTAGCAAACGATGGCTATAAAAGGACCCTCAAATCTTGTCTGAGTGGCTCCCCAGGGCAGGGCTGGACTCACCCACGAGTAGCAGTGAGAACGCACCTGGAGTCAGAGGGCCTTGGGCAGGATCCGAGGGAGAAGAGTGGGACCAGCAGGAGAATGACACTGGGAGGGATTCCTGTACAGGGAAGGAGCCAGAGTCAGTACCAAGGGGAGGGCCTGGAGGCTCGTCAGCACCGAGTCAGGCCGAGGATGTGGGCAGACTTGAGCTGCCGTGTGGTGGCTCGTGGGCCCGGGGGAAGGCAGGATCCTGCAGCGTTGGCCCCTTCCTGGGAGAGGGTCCGGGTCCTGAGAAGGGACTGCAACCTGGGGACAAGCAGAACAGAGTAAGCTGGCTCTTGTGGTTCTTGCAGCAAATGGAGTCAGCTCACCACCGTGGACCTCCTTCTGCCCACAGTCTAGAACTGTGAGAACAGAGAAACACACCTCAAACACCTCAAACGGCTTTGCACTGCCCTCCAGCCCCACTCCTGGCACTACAAAACGCTGGAGCAGAAGCCAGACCTGGGCATGGATTAGGAGGCAATGGAAAGTCACAGTCAACAATTAAAGGCACGGATTATAGCCGCAGACCTAGTTCTAGATCAGACAGAGGTTCAGCAATGACACCTCTTCCACTGCCTGACCCCTCCACCCATCCCCGTGCGGAAGCAAGTCACACCGGGGTAGGCATTAAGACCCTCTGCTCCATTGCTGGGCAGGTGTCCAAGCTTGGTGACTCACTCAATTTTACACTGCCTCAGTTTTCTAATCTCTCAATTGAGGATAGGTTAGAAATTCTTAAATGACACCTATGGCTCTGAAAGTCCTCATTTTTATGGTTAAAACAAGCAAGCCTGTCTTTGATGCCACTCCCAAGTTTGAATCCCAGCTCAGACTTACACAGGAGGTTCCAGCTGGCTACATATTTAAGAGAAATTTCACACACCTAAGAGACTGCTAACTCATGCCAACCCCGTGTTGTAGAAAGGCCTCAGGAGCACACAGGGAGGTCTTAGAAAGCCTCATTCTGTCATTGCCTTTTCCACTCCTCTCCATTCCAGAAACAAGGGATGTAGCACATATGCCTGGTGCTTCTGCTCAGGACACATCTCAGCCACGATTCTTCACTGCCCTGGGCCGAGCTCAGCACTGCCAGCATCACGCAGTCGCTGCCTTGGGCTCACTCTGAGTTGTGCCCAAATGCCTCAGCCCAGTGAGCATTTCTCTGCAGACACTCCGTGGTCTGAACCGCTTATGGACTGGCTTTAGTGAACACTGGCTTGCTAGTGACCACCGACCATTAACGACAACCCCTGGGTCCCCTCTAGCCCAGCCTCAATTCTTTTTCTTCCTTCCATCTTCCCCTCCCCTCCCCGAGTTGCTCTCACTTTGAGTGCTGGTCCATCGAGGTCCCTCTGCAGCTCCTCCACCAGGGCCACGGCCTCCTCCCCGCTCCCGGGGTGATGCAGCTGCACCCACGTGCGCAGTTCCACAGGCAGGATGCTCAGGAACTGCTCCAACACCAGCAGCTCCAAGATCTGGGCCTTGGTGCGTGCTTCTGGCCGCAGCCACCCGCGGCAGAGCTCCCGTAGCCGGCTCAGTGCCTCCTGGGGCCCAGAAGTCTCCTGGTAGCGCAGCTGTCTGAAGTGCAGGTGGGAGGTTTCCCAAACGGAGGTGGAGGTGTTGCTCCCTTGGAAGCTGGTCCCCCATTTCCAGGTTTCACCCTTTCCTCTCAGGAGACCTTCCTGTCTCAGTGCACTGTGAGTCCAGCCTTCCCTGGTCATGACCATCTTCTGGGAAACGTTCCTCTCCAGGGCCCTGAGTCCTGGCTGGGCTTCTCAGCGCTCAGAGCACATCATCTATAACTTCAAGAGATCAGGGGTACAGTTAGTTCAGGGGAACAGGCAAGCTCTCCAGACCCAACCAGCTCCCACAAACACAGAGAACCCAGCAGGGGAGGATTCTAGACTCTGCAGGGCTTCCTGAGGTCCTGGCAGTCCTGGGGACACGGACACGGCTGCCATCAAGAACATGACCTGCCTTCTAATTACAGGAGCCCAGCTGCCCATCGGGGGCGTGCTGGCTGCTCCAGCGTTCTCTACCAACTCCCCCATCTCTGAGTCTTAGCTGCTCTACCTGTATCACAGACGTGCCAACAGTTCCTACCTTCCAGAGCTGTCTGAGAACTGGATGCCTATGTACCTGCCAGGGTCTTGAGCAGTGCCTGGTACCCGCTCCCTGCCCCCCGTGACTCGCACCCCTTCCTTCCTGTAGTCAGTAGAGTCAACAGGCAATCACTTTCTCAATCCCAAACCCATCGTATCCAATCGTGACGTCTGCTTTGCAGAGAAAGGCACAGTTACATCCTGTGTAGCTTTGCTGCATGCAAGAGAATATTGTTTTTCTCTTAAAACAACCCATTTTGTTAATGAAATACATGGATAGATTTGCATATGACTTTATTATACAGAACTTAGGATGATTGCTTTCTAGAAATTGATGCTCTTGAAGTCGAACTAGTGTCATTTACACCTGTGATCCTTGGGATTGCACCGATTTACAACTTCAGCATCCGTCAGCACAAGCTCTCTGGGAAGCACCCATGGCCTGCAGTCTCTCACCAAGCCTTTTTAAAAAATTTTTAAACATTTGTTTACTTGCATTTGACAGACAGAGTTACAGAGAGAGAAAAGGAGTAGGGGTCTTTCATCTGCTGGTCACTTCCCAAATGGCCCCAGTGGCTGCAGCTGGGCCAGTCTGGAGCCAGGAGCCAGGAGCTAGCCAGGACCTGAACCAGCACCCATATGAGAAGTTGGTACTGGAGGTGGAGGCAGACCATACTCCCTACTACGTCACAGGCCTGGTCCCTCACCAAGGTTGTTTTGGTTTTTTTTGTTTTTTTAAGATTTCTTTTTAGTTGAAAGGGCAGATCAGATTTATGGAAAGAGACAAAGATCTTCCACCAGCTGGTTTACTCCCCAACTGGCCGCAATGGCCAGAGCTGAGCTGATCCGAAGCCAGGAGCCAGGAGCTTCCTCTGGGTCTCCCACACAGGTGCAGGGTCCCAAGGCTTTGGGCCGTCCTTGACTGCTTTCCCAGGCCACAAGCAGGGAGCTGGATGGGAAGTGGAGCAGCCAGGACACAAACCAGCACCCATATGGGATCCCAGGTGCTTGCAAGGTGAGGATTTAGCCACTGAGCCATCGTGCTGGGCATTCCCAGTGGACGAGTACAGTGAGTCACTGCACTAACTTTCCACACCAGGCAGGCTTTGGGTCTCACTAATGTGCACACAGTCACTTGTTGACACAGGAACTGCAACCTGTCCTCAGCTTGCCTCCAGTCCTGGGGACTCAGTCACACACGTCGAGACACTTGGCTCACAGTCATGTCTGCCATGCAGCCCGTCTTCCCTTTTATGGCTCCTGTCCTACTTTGAGCATGAACAGGGTCTAGTCGGGTCGGGACTCTCCAAAGAAGGAAGGCTGAGACAGGCAGACTGCACACAGAGGGGTCAGTTGGCTTTTTGCAGTCGTCTAAAACAAAGCAAGTTCTAAATGAAGCAGTGCTTTGGGATAAGACCCCCAGGAACCGTCAGTTGTTGGTACTTCCTCTGGAGGTGGAGAAACATTCTCGGGGCGGGTGTTTGCACAGTGGGTCACATCACCTCTTGGGTCACCTGCAGACCACATCAATGTGCCTGAGCTAGTGATAGTTACTGCGCTTCTGATCAAACTTCCTACCGCTGCGCTGGGGACAGCAGATGACGGTTCCAGCCCCTCACCTGCAGGAGCACAGAGAGCTCCAGGCTCTGGCTTTGGCCTGGTCCAGCCTTCGCTGTTGCAACTTGAACCTACAGATGAAAAAGCTCTTATCACTCTGCCTTTCAAGTAAATAAATTTTTTTGGCTGGGGGGAGGGGAGGAGACTTTAAAGTATGTTTCCACAGTAAATGGCCAGAATTCAACACTTACTTTGCAAGTAAAAATAAACCCCTACACATAAACGCTGCAAGATTCACTAGAAAGTCAAGCCAGGGAGGTGAATTCCCAACGCAGGGATTTTACTCCCCAAAGTCTAAAATCACTCCAGGAGGAGCCAAAACCCCAAAGGACAGAGCTCTGAGACTAGCCCAGGCTAACCCCAAAGCTGGCTTCACACTGCCCAGGGACCCTAACAGTGAGTGGTTGACAGGTTGGCAACGACATGGCTACCACTTTGCAAAAGATGCCAAATTTATGTTATTAGTGCTGTGGTGTCAAAACGTGTTCCTTCAAGTTAGGATGGTATCGGTGGCTTTAAAAAGAAAAAAAAAAAAAAAACTCGTTCTATTACAAAATTAAAAGAGGACGGCTGGCCAGCCCCTTCAACCAAAGCCGCCCCCGTTTAGTCCCCGCCGGCCAGGGATGGAGCTGTCCGCGGACGGTCACGGCCTCGCCTGCACCGGCGACTCGCCCAGCGCCCCCCGAGCTCCCCGGCCCCGGCGCCCAGTCCTCCCTGGCCGCCCCCGGGCCCACCCCGCTCACCGGGGCCTCGAGCCGCGGCTCCGCCCTCGGGTACCTCCGCCTGCCCTGGGCACCGGGCCACCAGGACGCGGGGGGCCGGACGCCGCCGGGCCCCAGATAACGGTCCAACCGCAAACCCCGCGACTTCCGGTGGCTCCCGCCGCCCCCATCTCTGGCTCTCTAGGAAGCCACAGCTCTATGGTTGCTTCGCTTTCCTTGCAGGTGGCCGGCAGGGATGGGACTCCTGGGTGGGAGTGGCTGCACGATTCCCGATGGGAAAGAGGCACGCAGGAGAGACAGGGCCCGGGGACCTCAGCAAGCTTGTTGCGTACTAAGTCTGGGAGCGTTCTGGGTTTCTTGTTTTTCGCTTTTGTAAGATTCCATTTATTCATCTGAAAGGCAGGATGACAGAGATTAGAGAGAGCTCTTCCCCAAAGGGCAGCAAGGACCAGGGCTGAACCAGGCAGTGGCCAGGAGCCAAGAGGGGCTTCCTCCCATGTGAGTTTTGCGGGCAGACAATCCTGTTCAACACCAGGGGACCTGAGAGGCCAGAGGGTGAAGAAGGATATTCAAGGGGCGCATAGAAAACTTCCGACACCTAGAGATCGGAGGCCGCTGGGCAGATCTAAACTTGACCAGCCCATCCAAGACACGTCACAATCGAGTCCCCTGACGTTAAAGATGTGCGAAGCTGCAGGAGGAAAGAAGCAAGGCGAGCCTGAAGGCGTCTCAAGTTGCTAGACTGTAGACTTCTCAGCAGAAAGCTAACAGGTCAAGAGAATTTCCTAGCCCTGAAGGGAAGAAAAAAAAACCCATGTCAATCACGTGAGATGGGAATTGATGTGAGATGAAGACATTCCCAAGCAAAAAGCTTAGAACGTCCATCACCGCCCGACCTTCCACAGGACTCACCAAGTGGGGGTCTTCAACCTGAGGGGCATTAGCAAGTACACAGGAAATACCAGAAGAAATGTCACTTACTAGGGGCCTTCTGCAAAAACAGGTGCCAGGGACACACTCCGGAGAAATGACAACTCTGCAGGTAGATGCTGCCGGCAACATTGGACGCCCGTGTAAATAAAGCCACACGGCATCTGTCGCTACATACATGCTGCCCGCCAGGTCCACTGGACAGGAAGCTGCGCTGGAGAGCCAAGTGCTCCAAGTGCATTGTGGGTATTCTGCCTCGTGTCTTATCTGCTAGGTCGAATGTCCACACCAGTTTGTTTCGCTTTTTCATCCTGAAAAACTTTAAACATGTTTTAGACAAATGCAAAATAGTTTATCGTCTCAACCGCCTTCGAAGTCTATGGTTCAGTAAGTACATTCGTGTTGGTGTATGGTCTGAAAAACTTTTCCGTACTGCAAACCACTGAAAGCATACACTTTGAAGACAGTTCCGTGTCCCCGCACCGTGGGAACTGCTTTCTCTACTGTTCCTATGAATTTCACTTCTTTAAGTACGTCTTATAAGAGACATACTGGTGTTTGTTTTTAATTTTATTTTTATTGGAAAGTCAGAAAGGAGAAACAAAGAGAAAGATCTTCCAGCTGATGATTCACTGCTCAAGTGGCTGCCATGGCTGGAGCTGCATTGATGCAGTGACGAATGGAATCCTGGTGCATTCAAGGGAATGACTTCAGCCACTAGGCTACTGTGCTGGGCCCAACATACTGGTTTTAATAACTGCACATTGGTAGCAGTACTGACTGTTTTCCTTTTGTTACTTGTTCAGTAGTATGCCGGAGTCCAGCTCCAGCTGAGTTCGGAATGAGAAGGGTGCGTGGATGAGGCGTAAAGAACGAAATGGACCACTACGATTTCATGATCATAATGGACAACGCAGGGAAAGCTGTCCGCTTTATTTATACAGAAGCAGTCAAACTCTGGCTCGACTTTTTACATCATGGCCAAGTGGGTGTTTCTAAGGATAATTCTGCCGTTTGTTTCACCTAAGCAGGATGTTATCCATTCCGACCCTGCGGTCAGGAAGCTCTCAGTGGATGGTGCATATCAATCAGTAACACATTCCTACTGCAATCCTCACTGTACAACTTAGTCTTAAATCGGTTAAGGGAGGAAATGCATTACAGAAGGAAGGACCTGAAGATCAAGGAAAGAGGGAAAGAATAGATTCCCACTACACCTGGGGCCAGAACACCCTTGGTTAGCATATGGTCAGTGGGGGCAGCAATAATAAAAGGCCCTTTGGCTAAACCGGTATCAGCAACATCAACTTCCAAGCTCACATCAGTAGTAAACATGAACTCTGTGAGGCAGACAATGCCTGAATAGATTACAGAAACCCCAGCAGGGTGGTCCGGTGTCCACGCAAAGGGAGGCGGAGCTCATTCAGGTGGTCGTAGAGCCATCCGCCGGGCCCTGCCTGCAATGGAACAATACTCTTCACACCTTCCTGTCTCCCACGCCCACCACACGGACCCCAGCAGTAGTGACCTGTTCTAAAGGTGTAAGGTGAGGAGCTCATTTGGTTTTGACTGGCATTTCTCATAGCCTGTTGTCTATTTGCAGATGTTTTTCTGGAAAAACGGCTAATTCGTTGCTTTTTGGCTCGTTTTCACATCCCAGCATTTTTTGCTGTTAGATTGTTTTGTGCATATTGACTATTTAATATGATCGACAAGCGATCCCATAAATTATCTTTCCCTCCATTGATCTATGTCCTTCAGGGCAGTTTTATGCCTTCTTTTTTTTTTTTTTCTCTTGCTAAAGTCTTGCTAGAGGTTTACTTATTCTCACTGGTTTTCTAAAAGACGTTTGTGGTTTTATTTATTCTATGATTTTCCTATTTCGTAGTTTAGGCATTCTATTCTAATCTTTATTACGTCTTTGGAATAATGGAATCATTTCTTTTGCTGATTTTGGTTTTGTTTTTCATTAAATTCTCCTACAACACAGGCATTTTCTGTTGCGGTTGCCCTCTATTATTTTAACAGCATTCTGTAATTTTCTCTTTTCACTCTGAATCAATGGAAAATAATTCCCAACGGGCTTTTTAATTTCATCTTTGATTAATTGTTTATTTTACCTTTAAATATTTGAGGATTTTCAAAGATCTGTTTCAAATTTTAACTTAATCCCGTCATGACCTAAAACAGGACATAAGGTCTTCAGGTCCAAGGAGCCACCTGCCTCTCTCAGCAGAATCCTTGCCTTACAGACTTCCCTTGAATCAAGCTGTAAAAAATGAGATTTTATTTTTCACCTTCTCAACTAAAAATGGGATATATATATATTTTATTAACATAAAAGCACTTCTTCAATACCAGGATCTTCGTGGCTAGGAACATCCAGGATTAAAAAAATAAAAATAAGTGAATAAATGCTAGCACCCAACAAGCACAGGGATGTTATAGTTGTCAATTTCACGACAAAACATCTGGGGTTTTAAAGGAGACAAAACAACTGGGGGCTGCAGAGGGGACACTGCCCTTAGGGAGCGGCCAGGACCCCAGCAGGACAAGTGTCAGAGCACAGAGGTTATTTATGAGAGGGCTTAGATGGCAAAGCTTGCACGCTTCAGCTCTAACTGCTGCCAGTCTTGGCAGACTCCATCATGAAGTGAGACTTTCAGATCAAGCTATACAGCAAAACACTGACCTGAGACCATGTGGGGGCTGTTGTCACGGCTTAGTCCCACAGCCCACGGCAGGAGGAGGGCTTCTGCCTTCGGATCTGTTCAGCTCCGGTTGCTGTGGCCCTCTGGGGAGTGAACCTGAAGGTGGAAGATCTTTTTCTCTGTCTCTCCTTCTCTCTATATATCTACATTTCCAATCAAATAATAAACCTTAAAAAAATGAAAGGCAATGCACTGATAATTATGGGGTTAAGATGGATGCTTGATGAATTGCTAAGTCATCAAACAAAATCTGAAGTGCTCACTTCTGTACTTCCCCTTAAGTAAATAGTCAGATGCTATTAAGGTCCACATCGCTACTTCCTGCCACTGTTCATTACACTTTTGGCAAAACTTTGCTTCAACTCTCACTAAAGTGTTCAAAAACACTGTGCCAATGTCCTACATCGAGGCTATCTCAGACATCAGGCTTGTTTTACGTGACATGCATAATTTCACTGACTCCTTACAATGACCCCGTGAGCCATTTCCTTCTCAGAGAGAAGGCCGAGGCTCACAGCAGTTAAGTGACTCGTCAGAAATAAACAAGCCAGTACGTGGGAGACGGGGAGTTAGAACACGGATCTCCAACTCTAAAAGAGCACGCTCAGCTGAGCTCTACAGAACACACGGGTCTTCCACTAGCTTTACATGATGGTAAGTAATTCTCTTTAAAAATTTTGACCACATAACTGGGCCCAGCGCGGTGGCGCAAGTGGTTAAAGGTCCTCGCCTTGCACGCTCGGGATCCCATATGGGCGCCGGTTCTAATCCCGGCAGCCCCGCTTCCCTTCCAGCTCCCTGCCTGTGGCCTGGGAAAGCAGTCGAGGACGGCCCAAAGCTTTGGGAACCTGCACCCGCGTGGGAGACCCGGAAGAGGCTCCTGGCTTCGGATTGGCATAGTATCGGCCCGTTGCGCTCACTTGGGGAGTGAATCATCGGACGGAAGATCTTCCTCTCTGTCTCTCCTCTCTGTATATCTGCCTTTCCAATGAAAAAATAATAAAAATAAATCTTTAAAAAAATTTTTTTTTGACCACATAACTGCTTCCATTTTGTGAGGCCACATTTCTTTTATCTAGTTTTTAGGGATGCCCAAGTAGCTGTGTATCATCTCACACCAGGGAAAGGATGGTGATGTGTTTTAACCGATGGTGATGTGTCTTAACCTATTTTGTTGACAACTGCGAAGTCAGCTCATCTTAAAAGAGAAGGATCGGCACGTGCGATTGCTCGTGGTAATAGCCAGCGATCTGCTCAGGGTTCCTCTAGTGCCAAGTGCCAGCACAAGGACACTTGGAAAAGTTCATGCAAGATGGAAGTGCAAAAACGTTTTAAAGGCCACATACTGTTGAAAAAGTGTACGGAATGTGCACACGAAGGAAAAGCTATGTATGGAGTGGTTTTATACCAAGATAAGCTTATGTTTCCATTTAGCATCCCATGCACCCCCTTGTATTGATTTGCAATCTTGGAGCTTGACGCTGACTAATATATCTTTCCTAACAATGCTGAGTGAAAATGAATAGGTACTCAGGCATTGAAAAAATACACTTTTCCTGACTATAAAAGTAGAGCCCTCTCATTTTAGAAAACCTACAAAGCATAGAAAAGTATACACATGAAAATAGGAGTCATCTGTGATCCCATTACCCAGAGGTAACCACTGTTAACATTTTTACTTTGGGTTTACTTCCTTCCCTTTTCTTTCTATGCACACACATTTAAAAAAATCTACATGACGTGTCATTGCTTCTTCTTGGGGATCATTTCCCTGTGATATTGAACATTCTTGAAGACTGTTTAAACAGATGAATCACTAAGCATTTAAACCTTGCACCACAGAAGATGTGGTTTTCTTCTTTCGGTTTTAGGTGATGCTGGCATGAATACTCCTTTTTTCAATCTTAGTCTACTTTTCCCTGTATGAATTCCTGTAAGGCTAATGGAACTGAAAGCTTTTTCAAAAAGTAGTAATGAGCCCTGCTAGCCACAAGATTTCTCTCAATCAAGCACTGCGCAGTGACCTTTCAATGACAGACAAGTAACACAGTGCCTCCCACGGATTATCTCCCCAGTGACAGCGTGATCGCCTTAGTTTCTGCTCCAGACACTGTGGGGTTTCCACGAGACCACCCAACACTGAATTCCCCGCAACCTCTTCTTGCCATCTAGTGCTGCGTGACCACAGTTAGGAGGCCTCTTTCTCTTCACTGTGCTTCCTCTGGTGTTGAATAAGCTGTGAGCTGTAACGATAGGCTTTCCCACACTCACTGCATTTGTACGGTTTCTCCTTAGTGTGGGTTCTCAGATGCAGGATAACCTGAGATGTCTGCCTGAAGGTCTTCCCGCATTCGTTACACTTGTAAGGTTTCTCTCCAGTGTGGACTCGCTGGTGATCAATCAGGTTTCGGTTAGACGTGAAAGCTTTCCCACACTCACTACATTTATAGGGTTTCTCTCTACGATGTAGTCTCTGGTGTTCACTGAGGGTTTTCTTTAGGATGAAAGCTTTGCCACACTCATCGCATTCATAAGGCTTTTCCCCAGTGTGAATTCTCTGGTGGTCCATAATCTTTGTATTAGAACCACAGGTTTTCCCACACTCCTTACATTTGTAAACTTTTTTTCCTTTGTGCATTCTCTGATGTTGAGTAAGGTTTGAACTCCGGCTAAAGGCTTTCCCACACTCAAGGCAGGTGTAAGGCTTCTCTCCAGTGTGAACTCTGTGATGTGAAATCAGTCCTGAGCTCCGACTAAAGGCCTTCCCGCACTCCTTACACTCGTATGTCTTCTCCCCACTGTGGATCCCCTGGTGCCGAATGAGGTGTGACTTCCCGCTGAAACATTTCCCACACTCACTGCACGTGTAGGGCTTCAAGCCAGTGTGAATTCTCCGGTGAACAACGAGGTTGGAGCTGTGACTGAAGGCTTTTCCACAATCCTTACACTTGTATGGTTTCTCCCCCGTGTGGATTCGCTCGTGTACTGTGAGGTTTGCGTTCTGACTAAAGGCTTTGCCACACTCGGCACATACATACTGTTTCTTTCTAGCCCGAACCCTCTCATATGTTGGAGAGTCACAGTGCTGGCTGTCGTTTTTTTCAGAGTCTTGGTCAGTCAGGTCTGAGAGGGTTTTACTGTCTTTAACTGTCTTCAGTTTGAAGTTTCTAGTCTTTCTTCTCATCTTCTCCTGCTTGAAGCATTCCAGTGGCTTCTCGAGCCTTTTCAAGGAACTTTCCAAATGTTCGCTGCTTTGGCAACACCCCTATGGGATATGCTGACAGTGTGTGATGCTGAGTTTTGAGGAACGCTGCTTTGGAATCAACCTTCTTCAGTCCCACTTTCGCCATCTGACAGAGAAACAGAAAGTGCACGTCACCCCTTCTCTGTAGTACACGAATTACTTAAGGACAAGCTATGGCCGACCGTGGGCAGGTGCTTCAGGACAAGGCAATGGATGACAGACGAGGAGGGAAGTGAAGCGGACAGAGGACAAGGGTGAAAGCTGAAGGAGAAGCAGAGGTGCCGCGGCGCCCCAGACGTCCAGCGGCAGAATCAGCAATGAACAGTAGAACATCTGCCCTTGTTTCCTGCCGCCCGTGCTCTAACCCCATGGCAGGCAACACTATAATCTGGTTCCTAGAAAAAGTGAACCAGAAGGTCCTTCGTTCAGCAGCTGAAATGACTAATTTGGTTGGTTGCTGGTTCTTGCTTTGCTGCTAATGAGTGATACAATGGCTGGCATGGAATAGGTGTTCAAAACTTATTTTATAGAATAGAAACAGGTATTCTCTGTTAGGGTGCTCCAGGCCCAGGTGCCAGGTCCCAAGCATCTCTGTGTTTTGTTTTGTTTTGCTTTTTTTTTAAATTGGAGAGTCAGATATACAGAGAAGGAGAGACAGGAAGATCTTCCATCCAATGATTCACTCCCCAACTGGCCCCAATAGTTGGTGCTGTGTTGATCCGAAGCCAGGAGCCAGGAGCCTCCTCCACATCCCCCATGTGGGTGCAAAGTCCCAAGGCTTTGGGCCGTCCTCGACTACTTTCCCAGGCCACAAGCCGGGAGCTGGATGAGAAGTGGGGATGCTGGCATTAGAACTGGTGCCTGTATGGGATTCCGGCGCATTTAAGGTGAGGACTTCAGCCACTAGGCCACCGTGCTGGGCCCAACATCTGTTTTTAAGCCCTTCCTTGATGAGGGTGACACAAGTCCGGGTACCCTACAGCTATTGTGTAGGGGCTTGTCTGTGGCTGGCCACAGCTTTATGTGATAGTTTCATCTGCCTGTTTTCAACATGCTATTACTGATAGACATTTTCCTTTTTTGGGGGTGTGAGAATACTAAAAATTTCAAGTATTATGATACACTATTGTAAAATATAATCATCTTGTTGTACACAGATTTCCTGAACATTTTTCTCCTAACTGAACTTTTTTTTCTATCTAAACTTTTCTATTCTGACCACCTTCTTCCCCAATCCCTTTCCCACTTAATTTTTTGTATTTTCCCATATCTCTACTTAATCTTCATATGATCATTTTAAGCTACACAACATACCACTAATTGAATTAATTTTAATTTACCGGCTATTTTGCTAGTAGGAGCCATTTCTGCTGTTTCCGGAAGTTTGATACTATTTTCCAATGTCTCACAGCTTTCTGATAAACTAAGCCGCACTCACTGAAGGAGGGACATCTCCAGCGACAGAGCAGAAGACTAGCAAGAAGGGAACTGCGAAGGCTGGAACTCACACCTCAGAAGGGCAGGTACCACTGGTTCCACATCAGCCACACACAGACCGGTGTCCAAAGCACTGGCAGAGAGGACAGCAGGATGGATGGGTTCTTGCCAAGCAGCAGTCACCGCAGCTACCTCTCCCAACTCACAGGATGAAGTCGGTGGGGGAAGCTCTGTGGGAAATTGTGTGTGTGTAGGACGGAAGGGCAGAGTGAACTCACTTCTAGATTTCTGTGAGAAAGCTGAGGGTTCTCGCTGATATTCCTTTTCATTTATACTACTGAGACCTCTCTTTTCTTCATATATTTCTTAGACTAAAAATTATCTGGTAGGGGCTTAATAAGAGGGAATATGTAAAGAAACATTGTTACAGACTATTGTCTCTTTAGAATCCCTGTGCTGAAGTCCTAAGGTCCAATGTGCTTGTACTTGGAGACACAACTGAGGTCAGAAGGATGAGCGCTGAGCCCACAAGGCGACGTCCCTTGCATGACGACACACAGGGCTCTCACTCTCCTTGCAGGTCCGCATGCAAAGGTGGTGTGAATACACAGCAAGGTGGGCAGCCACAAGCCAAGGGAGGGGTCTCCACAGGAATTGGCTGGTCACCCCAAACTCATAACTGTAGCCTCCAAAAGTGTGAGAAAACAAGTTTCTGTAGTTTAAGTCACCCAGTGTACAGTGTTTTGTCAGCCTGAGCAGATTTGTACAAGCTTGAGATGGCACACCCACCTTTAAGGAGGGTACAGTGCAGCAGTATGACAAAACAATCAAGATGAGAAATCACAAGCCCACAAACCACCCTAGCAGGAGATGAAGTACAAGGTGCTAAGGAAGGGAAAAGCAATTAATGATGGGGCTTGCAAGGCCTGGGAAAAGGATTTTACAAAGCAGGAAGGAGGCACAGGGTCGGCATACCTGAAGACAAACGGGAAGGGCGGGTGTACCCCGCAGGGGTGCTTGGTTTGGGTTCTGGCTGTCCCACTTCTCCTCCAGCTTCCTGGTAACGTACACCACTGAGGACCCCAAGTACTCGGGTCCCTGTCATCCCTTTGGAAGACTAGCCCTGCTGTGGTGGGCATTTGGGGAGTGAATGCATAGATGGAAGATTTCTCTCCACTTTTCTCTACCATACCCCTTTGTCAATCTGCCTTTCAAATAAAGTGAAAATTACAAAGGAGGCTGTCTATAAGAAGCGGGAGACTACAGTACAAGCGCCACACTGGCAGAAACTCTGTTCATTCTGTTGTCCCACACTCTATTCCCAGCACCCAACACGAACCACACATGGAGTAAATATCCAGATATTTTTCATCATTGTAGTAAAAAAATAAATAAATGAAAGAATCAAGCTACCTGAAATTATCCCAGCCAGAATGCTGAAATTATAAGGCAAAAAATACAGACATAACTTGATGATCAACAGAAAACAAGTTCCTAAGAATGAAATCTCGCCTTAGTTTTTCTTTCCCCATTCTATGTTCTTTTTTCTACCTTGATACTTTCTGTTACTTTCCTTCTCTTCCTTATTTGTCAATATAGGCTGTCTTACGATTTTTGGGGGCTGGTGCGATGGCTCAATTGGCTAATCTTCTACCTCCAAGCACCAGCATCCCATATGGGTGTTGGTTTTTGTTCCAGCTGCTCCACTTCCTATCCAGTTCCCTGCTTGTAGCCTGGGAAAGCAGTAAAGGATGGCCCAAGGCCTTGGGACCCTGCACCCATATGGGAGACCCAGAAGAAGCTCCTGGCTCCTGGCTTTGGATCAGCTCAGCTCCAGCTACTGTAGCCATCTCAGAAGATCTTTCTATCTCTCCTCTCTTGTGTAGCGCTGGCTTTCCAATAAAAATAAATACATCTTTAAAAACAATTAAAAACAAAGATTTACTTATCTGGCAGCCAGTGACAGAGGGGAGACAAACAGAATGATACTTCCAGCTGCTGGTTCACGCCACAAAAGCAAGGAGCTAGGAATTCTATCGCAGTTTCCTAACAGATGGCAGGGACCTACGCAGCTGGGCCAACCTCTACTGCCTTTGCAGGTGTATTGGTAAGAAGCCTGGCCAGAAGCAGAGTAGCCGATTTGGGATGCCAGCATTGCAAGCAGTAGTTCAACTGGCCCTACAATATAGTTTTTCAAATCTTATTCACTTCCCCTAATTCCCAAACATCCTGCTCCAAGTTATCTCTCAGAACATTTATGTGTTTCTTAGCTTCATGAAGTGGAAAGCAGAGTAGGGAGCCAGTACCCATCAGGAATAAACTGAGGAAAATAAAAGGAAACAGTAGAGGCTGGCATTGTTACAACAGGTTAAGGTTGCAACGCCAGCATTCCATATAGGTGCCAGTTCAAGTCTCAGCTGCTCCACTTCCAATCCAGCTGCCTGCTAATGCGTTTGGGAAGGCAGCCGAGAGGGTCCAAGTGCTGGGGCCCTGCGCTCATGAGAGAGGCGGGATGAAGCCCCTGGTTCCGGTTTTGGCTTGTCCCAACTCTGGTTTTTGCAACCATTTTGAGGGTGACAGCAGATGGAAAATCTCTGTCTCTCCCCTTCTCTCTAACTCTTCGGGAAATATAAATCTTTAAAAAAAAAAAAAAAGGAAGCATCTCAGAGACATCACCTAGGAACACTACAATCACATACCCTATTCTTTTCCCATAATGGTGCCAGCTTATATCCTAGTATCAGACTTGATATCGTACCCTTTAACTTACAAAAGTATCCCCGTTTATACATTTTGCAACACTCTACCCAAAAGTACAATTAGGAAAGCAGTGCTTTAGAAGGACTATCCCAGATGTTTTAGGGTGGAATGTGGAAGACAACAGAGGCAGGGAAATGACAAGAAGACAATTTCAGGAACGCAGTATGGGGGAGCACTGGACAGCCTGGCACTTCCTAGGTGTCCGGTAAGCGGCTGTTGAAACAATGACAGAGCTTGCAAGACCCTCATCCAAGATGATGATGAGAGAGGACAGTGAAATTCAGCTTCTTCCAAGAAAGCATTCATGTCTATCAGACAGGATATACGACTGACGGAAAACAATGCACGGCCACCAGATGCACACTTGGGCATCAAGAATGGTGGTACAACTGAGCAGGGTGGGGGCACAGGAGGCACGTGGGACAAGGGAGGGACTGTGAGCAATGAAATATGAGGACAGCGAGACAGATGACAGAAGAGGTCACAAAATGCATGAGTGTTCTGAGAGGGGGACAGGGTCAGCAGCACCCGGGTCACCTGCTGTGAGGAAGCCCACGCTGGAGCTGCAAGGCCTGAGGACGAAGCAGCCCGGACTGGAGAGCGGGCAGGGCCGGGCTAAAGAAAGGCTCAGCGATGCGAAAGCCCAGCTGTTTGCTGTAGAAAACACCCTGATATCCTGGGGGGCACAGAGAGTTGGGGTTGGGGCTATAGGAGAGTGAGGGGACATGAAGTAACCTCCTGCAGGACACTCGGTTTCCAGGCAACTGAGAACAAAGGCCTGCGCTCAGCTGACGGGCAGATGAATGCGGATGAATGAGGCCCCCGCACATCTCCAACCCATAAGTCTCACAGGCTGTTTTGATCCCAGGACCATCCCTTTCAGGCAGTGAGGAACAAAGAGCAGAGAGGCCTTTCCCAGAAAGAGTGGTGGTGGGAGGGAGAGAACCAGATTGGGGTGAGAAGTGCAAGCGATGCTTTACCCAGCGAGGCTGCGTTCTCTTGCCAGCATCACAGCTGCTTGAGCAGGACCCTCTGAGGAATCATCACTCGGTTCCTGCTGATCCATGAGCTGCCGGGGAGTGAGGAGTAAGAGCAAACCTGAAGGTCAATCGGAGAAATGAGTGAGATGTAGGAAGTGAAGGGAGGAAAAAAAAGAAACATAAGAAAATGGCAAGGGACTGACCCTCTCTCTTAGGAAAAGTTCCAAGCCTACAGCATGAAACAAAGGAGAAAAAAGGAGAAAAGCTGACTCGAGTGACTGTACTATCGTCTCTTCACTTGAAAAAAAATTACAGAGCAAACCCATAAGCCAGAGTTGGCCCACACTAGGATTGCTGCATCCTTTTCCCTTGAACGACACACTAGGCGCTAAGCCTCCAGCACCAGGGCCCGGGATCCCTGCTTGGGGACACCACGAGTGGCCGGCACAAAGCCGGCCCAGCAACCGCCTCACAACAGGATCCCGGGGCTGGGAAATCCATTGTCTGGCACCGCCACCACTTCCCTTCCTCCCGTTTGTACCCCATTTTCTTTGATTTGACAAACCCCTGGCAGCACATGCGCATTCCCAGCAGCCCTGTCTCAATGCAGCCGACCAAGAGGCTAATTTTCCTGAGACTCACCCTCACCTGCGTGAACAGCGGCTTCGCACCCGAGGGGCGTGCATCATCTCATCCTAACGGGTCTCCGATCACTGCAAAGGGACGTAAAGGACAGCCTTGTCTGAGAGCCCAGCCCCAGGAGACCCTCAGGGCGGGGACCGTCCCCGAGAATCCCCCTTCCTGGAGGACCACTGTGCCTGCGTTCAAGACCTCCCAAGGGATGCAGTGACTACCCCAAGGCCCGGGGTCGGCCCATGCCCGTCCCTTTCACCTGCTGGGTGGACATCTGTGAGGTTTCAGGGTCTCCTACTGGAGAGTTCGATGCTTTAAGACTTCACCCAAGTGGGGGTGGGGAGAGGGGGAATGGGACACTCGCTGTGTCAGCAGTCTTTAGAAGTGAAGGGCCCCCGGGAGAATCTTTTACTCTGGGGACCCATTTCTCAGCGTTGCCGCCTAAGCACGATGTGTTGCGTCTGCCCATCGCACACAAGCATAACCCCGGGAGCTGGCGCGCACTGACTGACTGAAGAAAACGAAGGAGGCAATCCTGGGCGAGTCCGTTCCCTTCTGGGGTCCTGGGGTCCCCTCTGGCAGCACAGCCGGGGATGGGTGGGCGTCGCGTCCAGCTGAGAGGCCGTGAGAGGTCGGCCGCCCGTTCCCCCGGCCCCGGGCAGGGACGCCCCGGATCGGTCATGACCAGCAGCCTGGTCCGAGCGACAGGTGCCCAGACAAAGGAGGGGAGATGGAGGAACTAGAAAAAGAGCCGACCCACGAAGGTCCCCGCCTGTCGCGCCCGCCTTAGCAGTGGGCAGCCGTGGAGGAGGCCGGCTACCCGGCCTGTGACCCCTCAGCCCGCCCGAGCCCCCACGCCACGCTACGGCGCACCCCTCACCGAAAGCGCCAGACCCCCATCTCAGAACAAAGCGCAGGAGGAACTGCGTCAGCGAGTCCCCGCGGGCTCCCTTCGTGACCCTCCGGCCCTTCTAGGCACCCGGAGGTTTCCGCATCTCTGTGCCCCCCGAGGCCGGAGTCCGCCAGCACCGGTGGAAATCCCCAGCCGGAGCCGCGTGCGCTCTGGTCCCGCCTCCCGCCCAGCCTGTGCCTTACCATTGGCTGGGGGGACAGGAGGGCTTGGGACGTTCAGCCAATGTGAGGAGGAGGGCCCTGGAAGGGGTGGAGCCTGACCAAAAGGCGTGGCCGGCTCTGGCTGAGGGAGCCGTGAGGTGTCGCGGCTGGGCCGTCTTTCTCTGGTGGACACGCTTTGTAGTCTTGTACCCGACTGGGACCGTGGAGTGGAGAGGTCGTCGTGCCAACTTTCCTAGGATTTATTAACTTATTTGAAAGGCAGAGAGATCTTCCATTCACTGTTTCAGCCCTCTAAATGGCCACAATGAGAAGCCAGGAACTTCATGTGGGTCTCCCACATAGGTGCAGGGCCCAAGCTAATGTGCTTTTCCAGGCACATTAGCAGGGAGCTGGGTCAGAAGTGGAGCAGCTGAGCCAGTTCCCATAATGTATGTTGGTGGTTCAGGTGGTGCCACCCACAAGGCTGGCCTTCATGGCACCATCTTTGTAAGAGTCCCAACTTCCTATCTGATCTGCGCCAAAATCCTAGCTCTCCTACTTGTGTGGGTGTGGACGTCAGCACTCAAAGAAAAACAGTTACTCCAACACCTTCTCACAGTCCCTGGAAATTACAACCCTTTGATATACTGTTAATTCTGGTTTTCACTTCTTCCTTTGTCTCTAGTTCTTGGCGGTTCCTTTCCTTTTCTGAAGATTAACTTGGCATGTATGATGATGGTGGTGATGTATGATGATACACTGAGCCAGCATCCCTGCTTGAAGGGGGAATGATTCCACATGACTTCATCTGTTCCATAGGAGTGGAAGTCCCTTAAGGCGATGTGGATGGTCAGGTGAACTTGGCAGAACCGTTGGCTGGGATGATAGGCCCACTTGGGTGGGCGCCAGGCCCCTCCGCCCTGTGTGTTGAAACACTTGCTCCTGGAGGAGCTTATGTGGAAGAAAAGTGCCTGAATTCCAGCCCCCTTTCCTCCTCTACCCATCCTTAGAGGCACCTGTTTCAGTCTGTACCTGCACAGACCAAAGAAGCCTGAACCAGAGAGGAGTGTGGCAGCACCCTTGAGTGGCTGCCATTCTGGAGGCTGGTTTGTCTTGGCCAGTCCAGCCTCAGACTGGCTGGCTGAGTTCCTGTGGTCACAACATCCCTCAGGGCTATGCCATTCCAGCCCATGATGGGAGCCAGTGATGGGGGAGGGCTTTGGGGTGCCATATATAGCTGCTTACTGTGGTCCCAACACATAGATGTATCTGCTCTGTGCTGTGCCCTAGTTCCTAAGAAAGCCCCAAAGGCTTAAAAACTCCAAACACGTTCTAAAAAGAGTAGCAGCAGCCAAGAAGGGAAGGAATCAGAATTCCCCATCTCAGGCCTGGCATGGGAATGTTGGAGAGCTGATTCAGTTTGAGCAAAAGGCGCTGGACAGGGGAGAAGGCAGAGACCTCAAGGGAAACCTTTCCACTTCCTCCTTTCACCAAAACCCAAAGGCACCTGCTCACCTCTGGGATGGAAAACAGAACATGAGATATTTGCCTGGAGGGACACTGTGCTGTCTCCTGGGTGTGAGCTCCCTCCTAGCCTGCTGCCATGGGGTTCTTGCCAGGTGCACCCTCGGTTCATTTCTATCTTTTGGGAAAATGTCTACTCCTACTTATCTAGCCCAATTTGGGAATCACACACACACACACATCCTCCCTTACTTTTCTTTTACCTGGCCACTCCACCCGGGGCCCTGTTATCTTTTCTTCCTCGTGAGATAAGAAGACTTGGCTTCTCACATCTGTTTTCCTATAAAATGACTCCAAAGGTGGACATCATTCCCTCGGTATGGATGCTTTTTCTCACAGAACTTCATACGACAGGGTGACTAGGGTCCCCTCTACCACCGTTGGCCCCAATCTCACAGCAACACCAAGGGCTTGCTGGAGACGTCATATGGAGTGTGTGCTCACAGACAAGAAGGAAGATCGCCAGGAAGCTATGAACCTTCATGCAATGAAAGCTACTTTTCCCACCCTAGGGAAAGATTAACCAGTCTAGAAGCCCCAGAGAGCCCGAATTTGTTCTCAGAGCCAATATGTGAACTCTTTCCCCTTGATAGCATCACCAAGAACACAATTTGAGAGCAAATTTCTTCTCTGCTCAATGCTGAATGTGTGGTCCTGGCTGCTGGTGTAGGCAACCTGTTTAGTTCCCTGTGTGATCCTGGGCTCCACTGGGGAAAGCAAAAGGGAGGAGGGACACCAAGCCCACGTTTGTGGTGGGTGGGAAGGCTCTGGAAACTGCTCCCTCCTTCCCTGATGTAGAGACCCAGCTCTGCTCACCCCTTCCTGGGTTTAGTGGCTGGATCTGCTTGTGTCCTGGTCGCTTCCTGCTGCCTTCACTGAAACTTGGAGGGAGCAACCCCACAAGAACCTGGGGTCTGAGAGGGCTGAGAGAAGCAGGGCTGCTCAGACACAGCTCCCCTGAGCCCGCCCCAGGGCATCCATCCTGCAAAGGAAGAGGCTGACCAGCGGGATGAAGGCTGCCACAGGAGCTTGGCTCCACTGCAGGTTCTCTTTCCCTGTTCAAGAGCTCAGCTTCAACCCCGCCTCCAGCAGAGGGCAAATGTCCACACAAACAGGAGAAAAAGTTCTTGATGAATGCTAGACAAGAAAGTCTTTTTTTTGATTCTGTCCTGGCACATAAGACAGAAAATCAAAGTAGCCGGTGTTCTGTGCAGAGAAGCGATGGTGTCTCTTTGGAGAAGGCAGGCCATTGTGTGTTCTCGGGCCGCGGCCAGTCTTGGAGTAGAGTGGCTGGCGCTCTGAGCAGGCAGCTTGGTGGCAACGCCAGGCCGAAGCAAGAGCAGGTTGGAGTGAGTTGCTGGTCCTCTCCTTCCAGGTGCTGGTAGCGAGACTATTTTCTGTGTGTCCGCTGCAGGCCTGTCATAGTTTTCAAATAATTGTGCTGGACACAGGAAAGGGGGAGAGAAGGGGAATTAGGAGGGGTGGGATTAAGGGTGCTGCTATGCTGGATTCTGGTGTTTGTGTGCAGCTCCTGGTTTATCACTCCCTCACCCAGGCAGGCCAGACAAACTTAGTGGGGTCTGAGATGCTGCTTGGTCCACACCTTTGAGGGAGGACTGCTGGGGAATCTAGACAGGCCCTGCGGGGCTGCTTCACACGTATAGCAGCAGCCCTGTGTATGCAGTGACACATCTACAAAACTACCAGAGGACAGGGCTGGGAACAGAACTCATAAAGGCTCCCAGATTGTGGAGCCCAGAGCGGGTCTACCTCACCCTGGCACCTCCTCGTTTCATCTGTTGCTAGATGTACTCTGGTTGGAGTTCCAGCTGCTCCATGTCTGATCCAGCTCCCTGCTAAGGCACCTGCTAAGGTAGTGGAAGATGGTCCAAGTACTACAAGTAGGTGGCCACCTGCTTGGAAGTCGGTGATGGAGTTCCAGGCTCCTGGCTTCTGCCTGGTCCAGCTCCTGCTGTTGTGGCCATTTGGGGAGTGAACCAGCAGACTGAAGACCTCTTTTTCTTTCTGTCTCTCCCCCTGCCTCTGTTTTTCCCCCCTCTCTGTCGCTCTGCCTCTCAAACAAATAAATACATAATTTCCCCATTACTTTCCTTAATACAAGGGTAATTCAAAAAGTTTGTGGAAAATGGAATTAAAAGACGGGCTTATTTTGGTGCAAAAATGCTTTTTCATAATAAGCGTTTTCTATTGAACTTTTTGAATATTCTCCCATATAGAGTTACTGCAAATAAAAATCAAGCAATTAAAAATTACAAATAGTTTATGGGAAAGTAAATTAAAATGGGTCTTAAAAGTATAAAGAGGCTCAATTTCACTTATAACAAAAGAAATTCAACTGAAAGCTATAGTCGAGGTACCATTTTTCCCATATTGGGCTGGAAAAGGATTTAAAAATGAGTTAACATTTTTGCAGGCAATGCTGGAGGAATGTAACATCCCATCCACTGCTACGGGGGTGCAGATGGGTTCAGCTTTAGGCAGGTAGCACCCACAAAGAGACAAATATCCTTTTAACCAGAACATTCACTTCTATGAAATGACTCTCCACGAACTGGCATATTAAGCACAGGTTCACCTATGCACAAGGTTAGTTACCACAGCAATATTTGTATTAGTGAAAAAGGGAAGCTCCCGGATGTCTATTAGGATAAGACAGGTTAGCTACATCCTCACAATCAAGTACTACGGGGCAGGTGTAAGAAAGAACAAGCAGTGCATGGAGGTTGACTTCGTTCCTGCTCAGGGAACACTGCCACGGGGGTAAAGCAGAAACACCTGCAGGGGAACACTGGCAACAAGTGACGGGGCTCCCGTTGAGGAGGGACAGAGGCTTTGTGCTTGTATGTTTCAAACTCTTTACTTCTTTGGGGGACATAGTTAGGGGAGTTGCTCCCACCTGTTGGTTCATTCCCCAAATGTCCACAGTGACCGAGACTGGACTGGATAAGAAGCCAGGAGCCAGGACAGTCTCCCACAGGATGAGATGGGATTCTGTATTAGCAGGGTCTCATTAGCAGGAAGCTGCATTCAGGCGCTGGAGCCAGGCACGCTCCTGTAGAGCCCAGGAGTATCTGATCCAGCATCGTCACCACCAGACTGAACACCCACTTCCTTTCCATACTCTGCTTAATGTTTACAACATTCAAGTGCATCACCTATTCAAAAACACTACATAGATAATTATTATATAAACATATATATAATTTTAAAAGGATGAGCTTGCTGAGTAGTTACCCCACAGACACCCATACCTGCTGTTTGAGAAGGTCTCTGGGTGCAGGCGCTGCCTTCTGCCCCCAACTTACCTTCTGTTCTGTCTTGATTTTGGCATTGTAGAAGGAAACAGAATCGGGACCCTCAGGCAGCACCGTCTGCTGCAGTTGGGTGAACTTGTCCAGATCATCTTCTCCCTGTGAGAGCCACCCAGCACAGGGTCAGGGCCTGTGCTGGCTATCACAACAGTCCCTTCCTGGGACTGCAAAGCTCCTTCTGGGACATCTCCCAGCCTCCGGACCCTCATTTCCTCCTGGAGCTGTCACCTGAGTGGCCGTTATGGACCACTGAGAAGAGACACCTGCGCGGGCAGCTGTGGGAGGAGCTGGGAGTGTTCCACACGAGGCCCTGCTCATGGAAGGAACAGAGGCCCCTGCAGGGGAGGGTGGCATCGTCCACCACCCGTGCTGCTCACCAGGGATGTGATCTTGCTGGAGGGCACCATGCCCGGCCGAATGCTGCCACCTGGCTTCAATGCCATCTGCACGTCCGCAGGGATGACAAAGGACTCGTTGTACCAGATGTCAAATTCTGCAAAGGGGCAGGGGGACAGCCCTGTGAGGAGTGAGGAGCCCTGAGGGCACAAGAGAAGGCGCTGCAAGACCACAGCTGTCCAGGAACCCTGAGCACTTTCAGCTCCAGGCTCCGCCCCTGGGCCCGGCCTCGGCCCCCACAGTTGTGGAAACCACACAGCTGAAACCCTTGCCCAGCCTCTACTTGTGCCAAGGAGAAGCTCTGAGGGCACACCCACCCCTGAACCCAGGTTTCCTGCCTCAAGCTTCACAGCGGGCGCACCCGTGAGCAGGCGGTGGCGACACTGGTCCACCAGGCGCCGGCAGTACTGGATCTCGGCTCGGAGGTCGAGCAGGTCCTTGTACTCGCTGCGGTACTGCTTCTTGAGGTCTTTGAGTTTCAGGATCAGCTGGAACTCCTCCTCGTCCACCACCAGCATTCCCTTGGACTCATACTGACCTGTGGGAGAAGCAGAAGAGGCTGGAGAGGAGGCGATATCCACAGGGGTGAGGGTGGGGAGAGGAAAGGTGTTCCAGAAAGAGGGCCCAGTGCTGACGCATCAGGAGGATGGGAGATGGGAGAGGAGGTGGATAAAGGGCAGCCAAGCCAAGGTCTCTAGGGCATGTCCCGTGGGTAGGGACTGTTTGGTGGAGCGACACTGGCAATTTGGGACAAACAGAAGTGGTGGGCAAAGGTCTCCGATGCTGGTGCAAAACATCTGGTGGGCAGGGGGAGTTGAGGGAACCAGAGTTCCCTTGCCAGGTCCTTCAGCTTCAATGTAGCCTGTCCCAGGCACGCATCCAGTTTTAAGTATGTGAACATGTAATGACGGACCAAGGTGCAGAAAGGGTCAAAGATGAGCTCGCTGGTCATTGCGTCCCCTCCCTGCAGTGATGCCTGGAGCCACAGCACCGACCTCTCTGGCTTCCCAGGCCCTCGGAGGGCAGTGTCTGGAAGAGGCTGTCACAGACTGTGGCGTGTGAGCAGTGTCACGACGTATGAGTGTATGTCACGGTCAGTTTGTCAGTTTGTTGTGTGTGAGCACAGCGCCATAGTCTGTCAGGTATGAATGAATGTCACACTCCCTGATTTACAACAGGGAGAAACACTGACATTCCGTTCACTCACAAGCAGAGTCACGCCTGGTCTCACACATCTTGGGATCAGAAGGGTCCCGAGGATCTGGCAATAAAGCTGGCCCTCTGAGGGGTAAAGGAGGGCAATGCCCCCGCGAGGGAGCTGAGTAGGAGAGACCAAGGGACTCATGCCACCTCTGGCCTGTTCGCCGGGACAGCCCCATGGTCTGCAGGGGCCCTGCACGGGGCAGGGGTCGGGGTAAGGAGGAAGTGGGAGTGAGCCGGGGTGGAGCTAGCACTGCGGCCCCTGGTTCTCCATGTCCTGCTCCTGAGCAGAACCACAGCTGGGGCCTGGCATCTGCCCCGAGCAGCCCTGCCAGGTGCACCCTCTGCACGCTGCAGCCTGACAGGCCGTGGCTCACAAGCCATGCCAACCAGGTGAGCATCTTCTGTACACGCAAGCCAGGGGCCCCTCTGCCCAGCACACCTGCACAGGTGCCAGGGGTCTGGTGTGGGGCATGGGCTGACAACAGTGAGACCCTCAGCCTTCTAGTATCCATATTCTCATTTCCCATGGTCCCTCCTAGCACGTCCTCCCCGCCCCTGCCCAAGTCTGACCACGCTGGGCTGTGCGGAGACTGTAGCAGGACTCAGGGGACCTTGTATGGATCGCCAGTTTCCGTTCTCCTGGGGACATCTCTGCAGGACCGAGAGCCTTGCTCTCCATAGGCAGCAGCACATACTGGGGATTTGCATACAGGCAGTAACTGGGCCCCACTCTGGAGGGCTGCTAACAGTGAAGTTCTCAGGTGTCCAGTGAAAGGACCAGCGTCCCAGAGACTCCCCACAGCCCCCTCCCTGCTGCCTTCTCAGACCTCCAGGGCCCGGGGCTTGCCCCATATGGAGCAGGAGGACCTGAGACCCCGCCCCGCAACACACACACCAGGTCCCGGCCACACCTCCCCGCCCCACATACCTTGCTTCTCCCCTAGCGACTTCTGGAACTCCAGAGCCTCCTTGGTCTCGTCAATTTCCCGCTTGATGGCGTTGATGCGCTGTGTGACCTCGCTGGCTTTCCTGCTCCGTTCGTTCAGGATGGCCTTGTTCTCTTTAAAGATGCAGTTGATCATGCTCCCTTGCTCCTTCTTAAATTCTTCGAAGGCCATGGCCTTGGAGGGTGGGGTACTGGGTCTGGAGGCGGAGTCGGAGAAGGGGCCAGGGAAGAGAGAGAACTTGGAAGCTGCCAGGCCCTCAGTCCTCCTTCCCTGGGTCTTTGTGTGCAGGAGGCAGAAGCCCTCAGTGCCACCTGCCCCCATAGGAGACAGATTGTGAGGGCCTCGTTACTTCACGCTTGTGTGTTTCTCAGCAAACAAGGGCAAGAGAGCGGATGAGAAATAGAAAGCAATGGGGGTGGGGGGCTGACACAGTGGCCTAAAGGCTAAAATCCTCGCCTTGCATGCACCAGGATCTCATATGGGCACCAGTTCATGTCCCGGCTATTCCACTTCCCATCCAGCTCCCTGCTTGTGGCCTGGGAAAGCAGAAGAGGACAGCCCAAAGCCTTGGGACCCTGCACCCATGTGGGAGACCCAGGGGAAGCTCCTGGATCCTGACTCCAGATCGACTCAGCCCAGTCGTTGGGCCAATTGGGGAGTCAATCAACAGATGGAAGATCTTTCTCTCTGTCTCTCCTCTCTGTAAATCTGCCTTTCCAATAAAAATAAATAAATCTTAAAAAAAAAATAATGGGCCGAGCGCAGTGGTATGCTAAGCTATTCCTCCGCCCGTGGTGCTGGCATCCCATACGGGCACCAGTTCACGTGCTGGCTGCTCTATTTCCGATCCAGCTCCCTGGTTATGTTGCTTATGGCCTGGGAAAGCAGAGCAAGATGTACTGAGAGCCTGGGCTCCTGCATCCATATGGGAGACTTGGAAGAAGTTGCAGGGTCCTGCCTTCTAGCCGGCCCAGCCCTGGCTGTTGCAGCCATTTGGGGGCGTGAACGAGCATTCTCCCTCTCTCTCTCTCTCTCTGTAGCCCTTTCAGAAGAATAAAATAAATCTTGAAAAATGAACACAAATCTCTGCGAATGCTAGTTACTGAGACATGAGATGAAGCCTTGGTGAAGGGAAAGTGGTTCGATGCTGTACGTTACACTGAGACACATCAAAAGAGTGAGACGGTGGGACAGATGCAGGGTACAGCAGGTGTGGAAACAACGCAGAAGAAAACCTGTGGAACCGAGAGGGGGCTCCGTGCAGGGGTGTGAGGGCCGGGTCATGGGCATGCGCACGAGTTGCCCCGTCTTCCTGTTGGGCTCTGCTCCTCATCACTGCTCACCACCATCCTCTTTTATTTGTCTTCCATTCGCAGCCACACATCGAGACTCACCCTGCACTGTGAGCTGAGCAGCATGGGAGCTAATGACGGTTACCTGGGTGGGCGTAACTCCTCCTTCGGGGAGTCTGAGGGAAGGCGCTCCATGCTGGACATCTCATGGTCTTGCATAAGTATGTCTTTGACTTCCCCCGGGACCAGCTGGGTCTTGGAGGAGGAAGGCAGATCCAGGTCCCGGCTGCTCACGGGGCTGCTGGCACCTTTCTTTTTTGCTGAAGACCTGAGAGGAGGCAGGCAGATCCGAGGGGCTTGCTCGTGGGCAGTGGTTATAGGTGACACAGGCACCCATCCTACCCTGCTCCCCTGTCCTTTTCATGTACCTAGATCAAGGTGGGGTGGTGGCAGGGGACAGAGTGTGAACCTGAGCCATGTGGCCAGGGAGGAAGAGGGGAGCACTTTCCTTCCTTTAATCATAACATGGGGGTTTCAGCAGTCTTAGCAGGAGAACCGTGGGAAGAATGGGCACAGCCCCCCACAGACTGAAAGCTGCTGAGGGTTGGGCACACGGGCATCCCTGGGAAGGCATGGCAGGGTCCCCTCCCAGAGTGATCCTACAAGGACTCTGACAGCAAATGGGACAGGTGTGCCCAGCAGCTCTGACCAGGCCCCACCCTGCTCCCTCTCAGCTCCCTCACCTTGAGGGTTTTCCTTGCAAGAAGGCGCCCCCAGGTGAGACTGACCTAAAGGAAGATGTCCCCAGCTCTTCCCACCATCCTCTCCCCTCTTCCGTTTGCAAGAGTGTAGCTTGGAGGACCAGGCTGTCACCCATCTGTGACTGAGGCTCAAGTCTAGTCTGACAGTGCACTGGGGGTTTTGGTAACCTTTGGAGGACCAGGGGGCCATGGGCTCTGCAGTGCTAGCTGGCCTCTCACTGCAGCTTGAATGCTCAGCTGTGGGGTGACTTTAGGGAGTGGCTGTCCCCTCTCAACCTGCTGTGTGAAGAGAGGTGGCAGAGGTGACCCCAGCCTCGGCCCTACAGATTGGCTCAGGTGAGCAGTTACTGATGTCTGTCATGGCCACCCAGGAGCAGAGACGCCGATGGGAGAGGGACAATGGTTCAGGATTTCTCCTTCCCTCCCTGAGGAGAGCCAGCTGCCAAGCTGCGTGGTCCCTCTCACCTGGGCGGCACTTTGAATGTCTTCTTGGGCTTGGACTTCTTCCCGGGCTTGCTGGAGGAAGGGGCAGCACCGAGTCCAAAGGCTTGCTCGTCAGGCTCACTTGCTTGGCTGCCGTCGACATCCACAAGTCCTGTCTGGGGAGGCCAGCCGGAGGGCTGGGGGTTACATTAAGGCATTGGGTCCCTCGAGGAACAAGCCGACATGACCCTGCACCTACACAAACCTTCAGGCCAGCATACTCCCCCCATATACATGCTGGCTGCTGCTGCAGACTGTCCCCAATAGCTCCGTGCTGGGTCTGCCTACCAATGTGCACCTTCCACATCAACTCCCTTGTCCTCTGGTCCCTTACTTCACACACTAAGGACTGGAAGGTTTGGCACCAAGCTAACTTTGGTAGAGTACTCAGGTCTTACTATTAGCTTAGTCTTCAAATCATTTTCTCTGCAGAAGCAGTTCTTTCTTGTACAGTGACACATGCTCCTCTGCCTGTTGCCTTTAACACTTAACACTGCTCCTTCTGCTGGCCTTGGAGCAGAGGCTCTAAGGAGCAAGGAGGGGCGACCATGTCTACCTTCTGGACAGCAGAGATGGTCGTGAAATCACTCTTGTCGGTGATGGTGAACTTCCTGAGCAGGGTGGACTCTACTTCCTGTTCCTGTTGGCTTGGGAGAGAGCAAGAGAATGCCTTGTTCCTGGGGTTGCACTGAATTGCTGGGGCAAAAACCGCACCCTGGAGTTAAAGTTGTTTGGGGAAGGATCCCTGAGATGTATCCATGAGGTAGACCAGGGAAAGCCAAGGACAGGGCTCACCCACCCCAGGGCATGAACCCACTGCCCAGTCCCACCACCTGCCAGGACCACTCTTCTGTGCCAGATGCACCTGCTCCAAGATGACATTCAACAGGAACTGTCAGCCTGACTTGAAATCATGTGCACCTGCTTAGGTTCTATCTCTAGCAGGCCCCACCGAACCACGTGACTCCCACCCGCCTCCGTGACCTCATCTAAGACCAAGGCCAAGGGTCAGAGGTTGCTCGTGTGACCTGCTTTGAGCACACTGTTCAATTAGGGAACTCGGTGGCCTCCTTCCCCAACCTCCGCCCAAACCAGGGTTCTGCAAACCCTGAGGATTCAACTCTTGTTCTGCAAAGAAGAGGTGCCTTGGGATAGAAAGCCCAGGCCGCTGGCAGGGAGGTTGGCAGTGCGGTGTGGGGAGTGGGGAGGGATGCGCAGGTGTCCTCACCTCAGAACCACCCGGAACTGGTTGAAGACCTCCTGGATCTGTCTGAGGTTGATGATCTGGGGAGGGAGCAGGTGGTGGTCAGAGCGTAGGCACCAGCGACCAGGCTGCATCTGGGTCAGTGAGCAAAGTAGGCCCTTCCCTGACCTCCCCTGACCGCCCCGCTGACCCCTTGAGCAAGAGCCATCTCAAGGACGGGGCACCTGGGGCTGGCTTCTCAGTGAAGGGCAGCCCGGCCCTGCTCAGGGGCAGGTTCCCAGTGTCCACCAAGGCTGTGACGGCCACCTTCCGGAAGGGAAGGTCTCTGCCCTAGAGAAGCGGCTCTAAGGTTTGGAAACACATTCGAAGGACACAGCTTCAAACACAACCTCTTTGCTTGGACATCCAGCTGCCCGTCTTCACACACAGCCCGTTTCTGACCGGGCCTGAGTGTATGCGGACTCATCCATATCTGTGAGTACAGCTATGGCTGGGGGCTCGTCGGCCCTAAGGTCCTAAGCCCTGGGGCTCACCCTTGATCAAGGGTTGTTTGGGGACTGCCCCATCCCCTCAGGAATCTCAGGCCCATCTCACGCAGCTGTGCACAGGGTAGCCCACACAGCCTGCCCCACAGAAACAAGGGGTGTCTCTCTGACAAGGCTGTACTTTCCCACCTTGGTCCGCTCCTGGGACCTGCCAGGTAGACAGCCAGGGCCACCACCATACTTCAGTGGCTTCCTTTTGGGCTCAGCTTGGTACCTCATGTACCTCATGGGGGCTCATTGTCCCCATGCCACCCAAGTTCTGGAGTCACTTGGCTGGGAGGTAGCTGGGGTCGGTGTGTACTTGACCCTGGGCAGCCTGGCTCCAAGGCTAGACCGCCTCTTGTAGCTTATGTGTTTAAGGCCACCGGCCGCTCTGTGCAGCCCAGTCTTGTAAGTTGAGGCTGTGATGGGCTCAAGGGCCCTGACCCCAGGGGACCAGTGTCATTCCCCACCCGTGGTGCATGCAAACAGGAATTGTGTCCAGGACGGTGAGGGGAGGGGGGCAAGCCAGCATAGTGGTCCTTACGTCGATCTCGTCCAGCGTCCCCTCCAGGTACCTCCGCACCTGGGAGTTGATCTCGGCAATCTGAATTTCATCCATGGGGTCATAGGTCACGAGGGTGCGGTTGGCCTTGAATGAGGACAGAGAACACGTGGATGAGCAGTGGCCCTTCTGGAGACTGGGTCCAGGCCTAAGTGGCTCTGCAACTTTATCATCCTCATACTGGGGGAGAGGGCCTGACCTCCAGGCCAGGCGCTTGGGTCAGAGAGGACAATGGGACAGTGAGGGAAGCCAACGGACATGGTGTTGGCTGATGAGGGGTGCCCATTGGCCCTGTCTTGGCAGACTGCAGGGTAAGGCTGGGTGTGTGCTTGCGGGGTGTGGGGGGACACTGCTGCCTCTGCCTTGAAGTCCCTCGCATAGTGAATATGAGGCCAAGCAGGCCACCAAACACCTCCACCCTTGCCAGCTACTCAGCTTGTCCTACTGCCCCTGACCTTGAGCCATCATGCAGCCTGACCCCGGGCCCATGCTGTCCAGTCTCCCCTGACCCGGGCATCTTACCAAGCTGTCATGGATGGCCAGCTCTTGCTTCAGCAGCGCCACTTCCTTCTCCAGGTTCTTGATCATCCGCTGCCCAGAAGCAGTGGGGAGGGAGCCGGAGGTGACAGGAAGGGTTGTCAGAGATGCCACCTGCCCCTTCCATGTTAAGGGCACAACTGCTCATTCTGTACCCTGAAATCTCGGTACCTCAAAGGCTGTGCCCTTGGCTTCTGGCCCATTCCCTCCACACTTCTCCAGATGGGGTGAGTGTAGGATCTGAGAGGGGCCACTGCACCCCCTGGGGCCTCCTTCAGGGAGACTGCGAGTGGAGGGAACACTGGCCCCTGGGCCACACTGACCCCTGATGCCCAGGGCTCTAGGGTCCTCCCCTTCTGCCAGGACAGTGACCACTCCTGGGTGGCTCTTGGGTTCTAGGGTGCTGTTTGTGCACAGCCATGGTGTAGACGGTTGGTCCCTCAAGAGCATCCTGATGGTCCTGCTGATGTTTGTGGTTGCCTGCACTGTGGTGGGCACAACCCTACATTCGGAATTTGGCATCCTCACGATGTGTGTAAAGGAAGCAGCAGGATGACCTACGAGGGGCCCACCCCTGATGCCCATCTCCCACCAGGCTGGGATGTCCCCACCTCTACCCACAGCCCCCTGGGCTCGAGGGATCTTCTTCCAGGTGCTCCCAGAGCTCACACCCAAACTGCCTCAAATTTTTGTTCAAAAACTGCTAAATTAGATGTAGTCTTGTCCCACCGCCTGGCACCACCCAGCACTCCTCTAAAAATCTTGTTTCTCATCTTTCCCAGAGTGTATATCATTTTCTTTTTAAATATTTATTTAGTTAGGGGAGAGAGAGAGAGAAAGAGAAAGGTCCCATTTACTGGCTCACTCCCCAGAAGACCACAACAGTGCTAGCTCAGGTCAACGCCAGGATCCAGGAGTTTCCTCCAGGTCTCCCACGGGGTTTGCAAGGGCCATTCTCTGCTGCTTTCCCAGGTGCATTAGTAGGGAGCTGGATCGAAAGTGGAACATCCAGAACTTGAACCGGTGCCTATATGGGATGCCAGTGCAGTAGGTGGCTGCTTTACTCACTACACCACAGCGCTGGTTCCATGCATCCTGTCCTAACACACTCCAACCCCATGTTGTCTACCAGAACTTTCTGCAGTGATGGACATGTATACTGTCCAGTGACCGCAGCCACAAGCCACGTGCAGTTGTTCCTCGGTCAATGGAGGACTGGGTCCTCTGTGGATACCAAAGACCATACAACCAAGGCTGTAACAAAGTGACTTAGTATTTGCATGGAACCTATATGCAACTTCCCATGTACGTTAAGTGATCTCCAGGTCACCTGTAAAGCCAGTACCACAGAGATGCTATGCAAGTAGTATTCTAACATTCGGTGGCATCATTACTTTTGCTTGTTTTTATTTTCCAAATACAAGGCATTTTCAAAAAGATGATGCTATGAAAAATCAAAATCTTTGAGTGGATTTCAACATTTCTGGCACCAAAAAAAAAAAAAAATTTCCATTTGCTTAAAAAAAAAAAAACCTTTCTATTTTCCATGAACATTTTTCAAGTGCCCTTGTGTTTCCCATGAAGGACGGGTTGAAGTCTCAGACTTGGAGCCCATGGACACAGAGGGCCACCTGTGCACCTTCAGAATCCTTGAGATGTGGTCGGCATGGCTGAGGGAGTGAACTGCAAGTCAAACCTCGTGTGGGGAGTGATCCTGGTCCTGGACCCTGGAGCCTGGAGCGTGCCTGGATTTGAATTTGCTATCTTTGCTTTTGGCTGTACCTTGCTCGGGAGCACTGGTCAGGGCCCAGCTACTTGACCTCCAGTCCAACCTCCTGCTGATGCACCTGACAGCCAGCAGCCAGCAGCCCATGAAACTGAGTTCTGGCCACCCACATGGGAGACCCAGATGGAATTCCTAGTTCTTGCCTCTTGAATTCAGCCTGGCCCAGTTCCAGCTGTTGTGGGCACTTGGAGGAATGGACCCATGAACCCAAGTGACAAACCCACATACGCCTGCCCACAGCCCCTCCTACCTCTGCGTCATACTTCTCGTTGATGGCAGGCTCTGTGGTGACCAGCTTCATCCTGCTGGCAAACCGCAGCGAGGACAGCTGAAACACAGAACAGGCCCCCATCAGATGGCTCCCCACAGCAGTGAGACCCCAGGGCCCACAGCTTGGCTCATGGCAGTCCTCTGGTGGATGGAGCAAGGAAAGCAGGAAGTTCTTATCCTCTGGGTTCCTCCATCCCTGACAGTGTCCCAGGCTGGTGTTCAGCTCAGCCAGCTGCAGCCGGTATCGGCTGCCCTGGTGCATGGGGTTGTGGGATCCTGGCCCAGCCACCACGGTGACCCCCTCGCACCGTTTCTTCCAACTGGGCGGCTTCTCCATGGATGTTTGTCACCAGGACCATGTTGCAGTTTCCCCCTATGGGAAGTAAGACACAGAGAGCCATGATTCATGTGGGTTTTCTCATAGGTGGCTCCCGGGGCAGGGGGTGGATTGCAGGGTGAGGGGCTGATGGGATCTGAATATTCATCCCCACAAACTCCACTCACCGAAGCCCTGCTCCCCAGTGCAAAAACACGTGAGGGGGCAGGGCTTTGGGAAGTGACGAGGACTACATGAGGTCATGAGGGTGGACCCCATGATGGGAGTCCTCTCTGGTTCCATGTGAGGCCACAGTGAGAAGACGGACATCTGCCGATCAGGAAGGGGGGTCCTCACCAGGAACCGAACCTGTTGGCTCCTCTGCCTTGGACTGCCCACGACCAGAAAGAAGTGTCTGCTGTGCATAGCATCAGCTCTAACACAGGTCAGCAGGAACAGCCAAGAGTGTGAAGGCTTGGCAGAGAACGGGAAGGGCCACCAGGTGCCCCTAGAAGACTCCCTCCCTGGAAGCCAGTCCCCTCCCTGGCACTGGCCACATCATCACCTAAGGAGTCCTTCAGGGCGTGGGTGAGCTTGCACTGCCGGAAGGGGATGTGGTCCCGTTTCTGGTCCCCTAGGGCGATGATCGCCTGTTCCAGGAAGGACAGTGACTTGTTGATGTAGGTGGCTTCCTTCAGGACTCGGCCGTCAGACTAGAAACCAGAGGCCAGCACTACTTACTCCAAACTGCCCTGGCAGGCAGGCAGGGCAGCTTCCCTCCTACTTCCCACCATGTCGCAGCGTCTTCCCTCCCCGTTGGCAATTGCATTCCAGTGTGGGCAACCATGGGCTCTGCTCAAACTCGGAGGAACACACAGGGAATGCTCATGTGAACGCTTGTGGGAATATGAATCACTGTCCCATGAGAGTGAATATGTGTCAGCAGACATGGGTGAGCATCTGGGCGTATCACCCTGCAAACACGCCAATGTGCTTGTGCCAGCGCACACACTCCTGGGGCTGCCTGCAGCAGCGCAGGCACATGAATTGCTCTTGCAAGTGCAGAGCTCATGCTCACACCCAGAGACAATCCTGACTGGCACAGAGCACACCTTGCTGAAGATACAGGGGGCATCATTTCACCCACGGTCACGGAAGCCGGCGGGGCAGGACATGCCATTGCATGCCGCGAGGCGGCAGCCGTTGCATCGGTGCTGACTCTGGCCTCCTGGCAAGTTCCCCAGATTCCACCTGACCTTGCTCAGGGCTGTGCTCACAGATGGCTGAGCAGGGATAGGCACAGGCACCATGGACACGACTGGAAACAGTCTCAGAACTTGGTGAGGCGGTTCCCCTGGCTCCCTTGTCTTACCCCAGACTTGCCCAGCCTCTCCGAGCCCGCCAGGTCCACCAGGTTGATTTTGGAAGTGATGTACTTTTCGTTCGATAAGGTCCGAGAATGGGCCTACAAAAACAACCAGAGCGGAAGTTTGACCATCATGGTTTCCAGGCCCCATGGGAGTCGGTCGACTGCCTCTTCCCGTCTCACCAGAAAGCTCACGCGCACCTCCACGTAGATGGTGAAAATGCAGTGTGACCTGGACGAGTGTTTGTTCATCGAGTGCGAGGCTATGATCCTGTTGGTCTCTCCCTGAAAGAGGAAGGGAAACGTAGACAACAGTTTGAAAAACCAAAACGACGAGGGACCTTGTATCGCTGCCAGCAGCTGGGCTTCCAGGCAAGACCCGGTTAGAAACCAGCATAGCAGACACCTTGGGGAGGCTGGCTCTCTGCTGCCACCTGCTGGGGGACAGGTGTGAAGAGGTACAGCTCCTGGAAAAGCAGCGTGATTATAGGACTCAAGAAAACATTCATGAATAGTGCATTGGATTCTAGCTCCACACCCAACAATCGTAATCCGTCCGTGCAGTAGAATATTAGACAGGTAGTCTTCGACGATAGAGGAAGAGTCCAACATCTTTTTGGAGCAGCATTTAAGAGAGATGAAAGCAACCGTAGGAGAGACAGGCAGAATGCAGCTGCCAAAATCTTATTGACAGTCATTTCTGGATTGGCAGTTTTGCATTGAAGCAGGCTGAGGCCAGATCCCAGAAGCCAAGAGCTTTGTCCAAGTCTCCCTCATGGGTGAGGGGACCCAAGCTCTTGGGACAACCTCTGCTGGCTATACCAGCAGGGAAACTGGATGGGAGCATCTGGGACTCAAACTGGCCCCTCTGTGGATGCCAGCAGCCAGCTCAGTACCACAGCAGCAGCGTCCTTGGACCAGCTGTGTCCTCTCCCCACGCAGAGCTCAGCAAGCACGCAGTGCTGGGAGGCCTCGGGGTTGATGCATTCTTTCCACATCAGTTCTCATCCCCGAGTTCTCAGGCAACAGCAGCCACACTCCTGAACAGCAGCAAGAGTTCACACGTGCTAAGCCCTAGGCAGGGGATTCAAAATGCCTGCCCCCGCACCATTCTCAGAACTGCCTTTTAGGACACGCATTCTGTGTCTTCACTTTTACACGTGTGCACACGGGGACTGAGCCAAGAGACGTGATCTGCTCGGAACTAAAGCTTCCTGGACTTAAAGCTCAGGGCTGAACTTGAGCCCTCACGAGCCCCCATTCCATATGCTAAGTCTTTAGTCTGTCCTGTGTCTGCATCCAGAACAGGGGGCAGTCTTTCATCTTCACTCACGCCAGTGGCATGAGCTAAGTACCCAGAAGCCCTGCCACTGCAAGGCACCTAAAGGCAATGGCCAAATTGGAAGACTAGGACCAGCTGAGGGATGGAAGCAGGAACCCAGGACTGTAAGGCCAGAACCAAGGCCCTTGGTACCCTGAGGGCACCTGCGCCCAGCTGTGGTGGAGCAGCTCTCTCCAGATGTCCCCTCGTGTTCTGGGTGGTGACGTATTACAGAGGAAGCCTCCTTCTGTGTTTCATACTCTAAGGGGCACTGTTGCTGTAGGAAAGCTCTCAATTCTGTCTCAGGCATTTCCATGTATGTATGCCCATTTTAAAAAAAATCTAATTAAGAAGCTTCAAGTTATTTTTATTTAAGAGAAATCTTCAAAAAAAAAAGAATTTCAAAAATTCAGGTAAATAGGTGGTAAACCTGAAAAAACCAAGCCAGGAGAGTGACTAATTCTGATAGAATTAATACGAGTATTTAGAGTAAAAGCTCATCACAGGTTTGGATGTCCTTTTTTTTAAAGATTTATTTTACTTTTATTGAAAGTCAGATATACAGAGAGGAAGCAAAACACAGAGGAAGATCTTCATCCACTGATTCACTCCCCAAGCAGCCTCTATGACTGGAACTGTGCGATCCGAAGCCCGGAGCCTGGAGCTCTTCCAGGTCTCCCAGGCGGGTGCAGGGTCCCAAGGCTTTGGGCCGTCCTCGACGGCTTTCCCAGGCCACAGGCAGCGAGCTGGATAGGAAGCAGGGCTGCCAGGACATGAACTGGCACCTATATGGGATCCTGGCGCACTCAAGGCGAAGACCTCAGCTGCTAGGTTATTGCGCCAGGCACACTTGGTCTTTAACCATCCTTAAGTCACAGAAAACCTACAGCAAGCACCACTATCCACGGTGAGCCATGAGGAGTAACAAGACAAGAATGCTCCCCTGTGGCCATTGGTGGGGGTGAAGGAGTCTGTTTTTCACTATAAATACAAGGATCAGGCAAAAATCACCTCTGAGGACACCCATACCAGTTTCTTTAAAAATGTTCGTGGAATGCATATATCATGCCCAAACTTTGCATGGTTTTCAAGATTTTCTACACCGCAATAAACTTTAATTCTATTTTCCGGGCACTTCTGAAGTCCTCTTATGTGTGACTTTAAATGATACTGTTTTATTAATGTATAATCCAAACACCTTAAATCTTTCAGTGCACAGTTCAATGATTTCTAATCGCCTTACAGAACGGTGCCCTCACCAGCATGTCCTTGTTTCAGAAGTGCTGCATCTCCCGGTCCAGCCCCCTGCCGGCTCCCTTCCCCAGGCAACTGATCTGCTCAGGTTCTCCACGCAGGAGAATCATCCACTACGTGTACTTCTGGGACCGCATTTGCTCATTTGTGAGTTTTCAGGGTTATTCGCCTAGGAGCAGGTATCGGTACCTGACGCCCTTACATCATCTGGATGGAGCGTACTGTGTTCACCCACGCGGTAGCTGACAGGTGTTATGGATGTTCTCCTGTCTTTGGCTATTCAGAACGGCGCAGTCAGGGCTTTGTGCACACTGCTGTCCTTCATGACGCCTCCTGGGTGGATAACCAGAACCATCGCTAGGTGCTGACAAAATTTACTTGTAATGTTTTAAGAAAGTGTTGACATTAGCTTACATTTCCACCAGCCATGTGTGAATTCCAGGATATAACGGTTTTGAAGAAAATAGCATATACTTTATGTACTGTGGCTGTTCACCCTTATTTTTTCTATATTACAAGTTCTCATGATGTAATGTGAACTGCAGATGGGAGCAAAAGAACCATTTCAATCCTATATGGGAAAAATGCACATGAAAGGATTGGAAGAAAATCAACTAAAATATACATTGGTGCTATCTTATGTGAAGAGAGAGAGATAGAGAGATATTGAATTCTTCTTTGGTCCTACTTTTTTCTCAGTACCAGCTAAACGTGCCCGATGAGCATCTATTAGCATTTACATTCTGATTATCGAAGAAAGTGAAAAAGCTAAGAGGGCAGGAGGGAGGGACAGGAAGGGGAGGGCCCCGTAAGCTCGGTGATCTCACCTCAAAAAGCAGACTGAAGGCATCCTCCTCCTGACTGGTGAGGTGCACGGACAAGCCCTTCACAAAGACTCCCTGAGGATTTTCCACGATGGTCATGGGTGTGTCGGAAGGGCCCACGTAGGGCAGGGTGGACAGGAGGTCAAACAGGCTCTCATTATAGATTTCCAAGTAGGAGACACGCACAGTGATAGCATGTGTGGGGCGCTCTTTGATCATCCTGAACACCTAGACGAAGATTGGACGGCAGTCAGGACGGACCAGGCAAATGGACCAGGGATGGGGAGGGCAATTCGGGAAGCGTAAGGGAGTTGTTCCCCTAACGGCCTCCGCAGCCTAGGTGGCGTTGCAGCTGTTACCATTGTTATGATCAGTGTTATCAGTGTTATTGTCGGCATTCATTTTCATCATGTAGCCTTCGGAAGCCTCGTTTTACACACGGGCTAACATTTGTGAAATCCCAAGCAGTACAGACACGAGGAGTGTAAAAGTCTCTAGATTCATGAGATCTCACCATCGACGTGCCCCTTTCACATCTTTTAATCTATCCTTCCTAATTCCCCTGTGGTTGCAGCACGGCAGGGCCGTCTCCATTTGCAGAAGGCTTCGTCAACCATCTCTTTATGGCCATTCTGCTGGGATGGGCAGGAGCACACACAGGAGCTCTGTTTCTTGACTCCTCATCCTCTCCCCAGTACTTAGCAAGCAAGCTTTGACAGCGCCGTGTGAAGGACAAAGCGTCAAAAATCAGAGCCTGATGGCATACAGGCCTGTTCTTACAGGACAGGGCTGCAAAATCCAGGATGCTTGGTCTCCTACAACCAACCACAAGGTCCTCTCAGAACCCACGCTAGGTGGCGCCAAAGTCAGGCCCTTCTACCTTACCGCGAGTTGTACCTTTAGAACCCCAAGGCTGACACAGTCCTGAATGGACCAGTCCCTCCCTGCTTCTTGTCTTGGTTCTTTCAGGGGCTGGGATGGTGAAAGAAACCAGAGCAGGCCAGTCATAACAATAGGCCAGGGTTCATATTCCTTTTGTTGGAACCAGGAACAGCACGGCAGACCTTTGGCACAGTTGCTGAGCCACTGCTTAGGACACCTGAGTCCTGTACTGAACCTTTCGCGTTCTGGCTTCCTACTCAGAGTGCACCCTGGGAGGCAACAGATGACAGATCAATTACACGCCACCACGCAGCAGATCTACATGGAGTTACAGGCTCTTCCTGGCTTTGACCTGCCCCAGTACCAGCAGTTATGGGCATTTGGGGAGTCGGTAAATAGCAGATGGAAGGCAACCATTTCTTTCTCTCTCTTGTTCTCATTTTGACTTTCAAGTTAATAAAAATAAATAACTTTAAAAAAACCTTTAAAAAGCTCAGAGGCAAAATTCGATCGTCCCATCCTTAATTACAGGATCACAAACCAGCAGGACAGGAGACAGGCTCAGGGTGGGTGTGGTAGAGTGTGAAACCCTGCCTGCTGATGCCTTTAACCCCACCTCTGGTCCTACGTCTCCCAACTCTGGGACCAGCTTCGCAGCAATCCTGCTGAGGACCGGATGTCACTGCTTTAGCAGCATCTGCGGCAGAAACGGGACATCTGTAAGGCATCCCTCCCACGGGCCCCATCCCCACCTGCTGCAGGGCACGAGGAAGGATCCCCCGGTGCTTGTAATTCTCAGTTGCCCCCGTCATGGTGTATGTCTTGCCAGCTCCCGTCTGCCCATAACAGATGATGGTGCCTGCAAACATTGCAAAAACATGTTTTAGTGACATGCAGGAAAATAGCTCCAAAGACAGTTCTCTTTTTCCCTAGCAAGTCTGAGGTCAGCAAGGGTCCAATATAACAGGAGTGCTTCTATGGAAGGTGGTGGGTGGACAGGAGAGCTGGGACATTAGCAACCAGACACAGAATCTGCCCCAAGTCTGGCCATGGAGGATTTGACTGCCCCCTTCACTGTGGATTCTCAGGGAACAGAGGAACTGGAATGAGTCCTAAAGGGATGAGGAAGGAGCTGCTTTTTTATCAAGGCCATCAACTGCCAGGGTCTCAATGTTGGCGAGAGACATCACCTTGTCCCCAGAGGCAAAGGCTTATTAGGGAGAGATGGAGCAGGAATGATGTTTCCTGTCCTCCAGGAGAATTCCCTGCAATCAAGCAAAGAGGACTCCTGGTCCAGAAATGGACCATTACGGTCAGGCCATGGTCTGGTCCCACTGCCCACCCTCGAAGGCTTCCTTTTGCACTTGCAATGTCTCCACCAGGCTCAGGAATCATTCAGTCACCCGGGGGTCTTCCTCTTCTTCCTCCTGGTTTGACTGGTCTGAGCCAGATCCCACCCCCAAAGCTGCATTCTCACAGCAGACCAGCTGTGGCCACCGTGGGCTGTGGAAGTCACATGGGCTCTCGTTCCTGGGATTGGTAGTGGGTTTGACATGAAGTGGGTTTGACCATAAAGTCCTTGCCTCTCTTCCTCCGGGAAAGAGTCCTGGCAAGGCAACAGTTAAGTTAACCAAGTTACCATTGTAGCCATCGAGGGCCTGAGAGACCACATCCTGTGCAACTGTTTCATAAACCAAGTCCTGGGAGGCATCATGGAGAACTCCGTCCAGCTTGAATGACCAGTCTGTCTGTTGGTTATTGACAATCCCTCTCCGTGTGTCTTTCTTAAAGTGAATGTCAATACTCTAGGAAAAACAGAGAAGGTTATTTGTGTTGTGAAATTTGTGCAAAAAAAAATTACTGCCCTCCAAAAAGATAACAGTGAACTTGAGTCCCTCACATGGACTGATGATTGGGCTAAATTATCTTGGATTGGAAAGGGGAGTTCAGGCACGGAGGCCTCACGATCTTCAATAGTGGACAGGCCAAGAGCCCAGACACTCACTGGTTTCAGCACTCCTCAGCACAGTTTAGAATATGCTGTGTCTTGGTTCCCCCATCTAGGGTATGAGGTTGAGCAAACGTGCCATGTTCTTACTAAGCAAGAGTTAAATTAGACAAGCACATTGGCTGTCCTGAATTAGGCCATGGGGAGCTGTGAGCTTGGCGGCAGGTCTGGGGGAGAGGCCCATGCCTCTGCTCACCGGTGTGAGCCACCTTCAGCTCTGCATTGTTTAGGCTCCTGCCTCGCACGCTGTGCCCGGTGTGAGCCACAGCAATCAGAGACACTGTCTGCCTGGCATCAGAGTAAATGATGACCAGCAGCTCCATACACACGTGTTCCCTGGCAGCTGGGCAGCTGTGGCAGCAGCTGGCTTAGCAACACAACTGGGTGAAGTCAATATCCATCAGATTCCAAGCATCTAGGAAGAGACTTTGATGTAAACAAGCTCTCACCGAGGTGTTGCACTGGCTGCTCTAATCTAGGAGCTGAGACTCGGATACACAAAGACTGAGAAAGACAAGTGTGGTCCATTTACTCCTTAGATTGCCTGTGTGTCTGTGTCCCCTCACTTTGCCCTGAAGTTCTTCCTTTAAGCAATGTCTCATGTCATAAGTGTTTGCTAAATGAAAATATCTCACGTTCTCTTGCTGACCAACACCTGCCTGGGGCGTCAAGAGGGTTCCCAGGGAAGTGCTGAGGCTACAGGGGCTGATAAACTTTTCCAGTTCTTATGTCAGTTTGTCCCATTATTGGGTAAGTTTAACCTGAATCAACTCAAGATATTGGTGCTTGTGGTGCAGGTGAAGTGGATGCTTGGGCTGCTCGCATAACAAATCAGAGTGCTGGTTCAAGTCCCAACTCCTTCGCTTCTCATGCAACTCCTGGGCAGTGCACCTGCCAGGCGGCAGATGAGATGCTCGTCACGGGCGAAGGCAAACACACGGCACTTACTTTGTTGTCATCTCCATATGTGATCATCTCATGAGCAAAGTCATCAGTGGGCTTGACACGCACAAATGCGTGAACTTTTTTCCTGGTGTCCATTCTAGCTAGAGAGAACAAAGAGACTGTCAGTAGCCATCATAAGATAACGGCTGGCGAAGGGGTGGGGGACGGGGAGAATCATTCGTTAAGGAGATCAGGAAGAGCCCCCGGAGGGCCTGTCTTCCTTTTCTGCCCCTCACTACATCAGCGCTCTGCCTAAGACACTGTGCAAAGCAGTGTGCCACCAGTGGCTGCATGAGACCAAGCTACAAGGCGAAAAAACCTCTTTCTGTATTTGTTTTTCATTGCTATAAGGAAATACCCAAGGCAGCTTAACTTTATAAAGGAAAAGTGGGTGTGTTTTTTTTGCCTGTTTGTTTTTGGCTTGCAGTTCTGGAGGTTCACTGTTCAACACCAGGAACACATCAGGCAGGCTCCAGCGATGATGACTTTCTTGTTGGTAGATTTCAAGGAGGTCCAGAGCATCACATAGCAAGTGTGTGTGTGTGGTTTTTCATAAAGCCGCCTGGATTCAATCACGGGGACCTCATTTTATGCTAACCTATACCCACATACCCCGTTCCCAGTCTTGGTTAAATTAAATTTTTGCTCTCTTAGGATTGGTGGCATAGCAAGCTAATCCTTCACCTGGTAGCACTGGCATCCCATAAGGATGATAGTTCTAATCCTGGCTACTCTACTTCCCATCCAGCTTCCTGTCTGTGAACTGGGAAAGCAGTGGAGGATGGCCCAAAGCATTAGGAGAGACCCAGGGGAGGCTCCTGGCTTTGGATCAGCTCATTTCTGGCCGTTGCAGCCATTTGGGGAATGAATCAGCAGGTGTAATATCTTTTTCTCGGTCCTTCTCTTTGTATACCTGCCTTTCTGATAAAAATGAATTTTTTAAAAGATAGAAAACTTCCATAAAGATTTTTAAAAATGGCTGCATTTGTGAAAAGTTACATGAGGCTTAAGTAGCTGACAATTTCTAGCTTCAAATTGGGTGAAAAAAGCTTAGCAAGTAAATTGATAAGATGCTTAATATTTTTTAAAGTAATTTTAAGATCTATAGCTTAGGGCCTGGCACAATAGCCTAGTGGCTAAATCCTTTCCTTGCATGCACCAGAATCTCACATAGGTGCCAGTATGTATCACAGCTGCTCCACTCCACATCCACCATCCTTGCCTGTGGCCTGGGAAAGCACTGGAGGACAGCCCAAAGTCTTGGGACCTTGCACCTGTGTGGGAGACCTGGAGGAGGTTCCTGGCTCCTGGCTTCAGATCAGTTCAGTTCTGGCTGTTGCAGCCACTTGGGGAGTGAACCAGCAGATGGAAGATCTTTCTGTCTCTCCTTCTCTCTGTACAATTTGCCTTTCCAATTAAAATAAATACATCTTAAAAAAAAAAGACCTATAGTGTAAATGAAAAAAAAAATCATAGAAAACAGATTTTGCCCTTTAGTTAGCTAATATTTTGCTTTTAAAAAAATACACTAAAGGTTGTTAACATCTTTCATGTTTACTATTTAAGAGGAGTTCACTGAGTATTACCTAGCAAAAGTTATTTCAGATTTTAAAAATATCTTCCTATGTCTCCAGATGCAACGTAGGGCGACAATTGAGTTCCTCCTTCAGCTGTTTCCCGGTCCTAGAGTGTGTGTATATCCTTCCTACACGTCTTAGGCCATTTGCAAGTCTTCCCCTGGCTACAATGAGATTCCTCAGCCATCCGGGTTTCAGCGAATACACCTGGAAGGTACTGGGATGAGCAAGGAAACGGCGAGTCTACCTTAAGTCCCAATATTTTTGTCTGTTAAGTTCAACTGTGGAAATAAAATGCTACAATTAGTTCTGCCACAAATTCCAAATGGGGAACATCTCAACCCTACATTCACTTGATCTTGGCTGATGGGAGGTAAGTTTTGACTCAGCTGTTCTGTTTGGAAAGCTCTGAGGGACACTGCCGTGTCATTCCCGGGGGCCCAGCCTGCTGCCCGGGAGAGATGAGACAGCATCCTCAGGTCGTCCTTTGACTGGAACCAGGAAGAAGCTGGGGAGCTCTGAGAGCGGGTTTCCAGGCCTCAGACAACACACAGCAGGACCATAGCACGGGCTGGCTTCCAGCAGCTCCCCGGGCCGCCTTTCCCCATGCCATTCACAGACATGCATATGCACTGTGCTCCCCACAGCCCTCTGCATGCGCATGCCAGGAGCCACACACACCACAGGAGGGAAGCTTTCTACATGAACCGCACCCTCCCACCAGCCTGCTGCTCCGAGGCCCCTCACTACCCGGGCACCTGCACTTACTGAAGTACTTCTGTTTAGTGTTCTTACGCCGCTTCATGTGAGTGGGTTTCAGCTCCCGAAATAAATTACAAGGTGCTGGAGGGCAAGGGCCATGTCTTTTCTCTTTTTTGAGTCCCCCCACAAGGTCCAGGACAGTGTCCAGCCCAGAGCAGGTGCTTAAGCAGTGGTGGTTGGTGGTGATGATGGGCATGGCTGGAAGTCGGAGCACGGTTGAATTTCCACGTATGTGTCCAACTTTGGTCACTACTGAGAGAGTCCCAAGGGGTATATGATGTCACTCCCTCCCTCCATGCCATTTCCAGCCCTGAGCTCACAGTCCTATCAGCTGCGAGAAGTTGCTCGTCCTAAAGCCTTGTGAGGTGCGCTCCCTCTTTCTGGATCCCATCCTTAGGGTTTTTTGTTTTTTTCTGGTACAGCAAAGTGAATCTGAGTGGCCATAAGGGACCCCTGCGTATTGAGAGCCCCGTGGGTTTCTCCTTTGATGAAAATGAACAGATGTGTCGCTCTGCATCCCTGACTCATAGAAACAATAGGCATTAGGGTCAGCGCTCCTGACTGGACCAGGGGCTCCCATGGGGACAGCAGCCCCATAGTGACAGCCCGTATAGTGACAAGCAGCTTCACTGCCCGAGTCCAAAACTCAGGACCGAACCTCACCCAGCCTGGGATCCACAACCATCTAGCTTGTTTTTGCCTACCCAACGTGCAGGACCCTTGTATGAAGCCAGAGTGCCTAGGGTCTTGTAAGCCACTCTTCCTGTCTCCTCTCTGCAGGGTTTGTCTCACCTGTAAGGGCGAAAAGCTTGGAGCTTCAATCCCGAAGCCCCGTCCAGTTGGAGAAGTCGCCAGTGCAGAGAAGGTGATCTCCACCTCACAGCCTCTGGGGCTAAGGGGACCCCCCTCGTGGGCCCGGAGAATATTAACCCCGAAGACTTCTAGTCGCCGTCAAGGAGGGAGTAGCCCCCTGTGAGACCGCGCGCTTCTGTGCCAGGTTTTGCAAGTGAGCGATCCAGTAGAGGTTTCCCTGAGAGAGCGGTTTTCGAACCCCAGCCGTTGCCGCCGCCCGGTCGACATCGTCCAACCTTCTCCCTTCCACTCCCTTCCACCGCCCGCGCACAGCTCGCACGGCAGCTTCGGCAGCGACCGAAGCCCGGCAAAAGACCGGGAGTCTGCAGGTGCGGCGGCCTAGCTGCGTACACAGTCACCATGGCAACCAGCTGCTTCCGGGAACTCCGGGGAGCGCTGCGTCTGGGCCAGGAGGAAACCGGAGATGGAGCCGACTAATCTCTGAATCCCACAGCAGCTGCTTGTCCCAAACCGAGGCCGGCGCGGAGCCGCCCGAGCATCCGGCGCACACTTCAGCGTCCGAGTTGCTGAACTGCGACTGTGGCGGCTGGACGAGCTGAGCGCTGAGGGGCAGGGAAGCAGAAGGGCAGGGAACTCGGATAGGAGGGTGACGGCGGGTGAGAGGGCACGAGGAAGAGGGGCAGCCTTTCAGTCTTTGAGACTACTGGCTGGGCAGTCACAGAGAGCAAAGAAGAGACGTATGTGCCGTCCGTCTATGGGCGGTTGCCGAGCTCACCTTTGGCTGGCACCAGCAGGCATTGTGTAAGATCCTGAGAACAGGCCATCAGGATAGGGGTTTGAGTGTGTGCATTCACCTGTTACTTCACTTCAGATGCCCACGATGCCCAGGGCTACCAGGCTGGGGCTAGAGCTCTTGCAAATTGGTGACAGGGATCTAAGCACTTGAAATGTCATCCACTGCCTGCCAGGGGCGTTAGCAGGAGGCTGGCCTGGAAGCAGAGCAGCAGGGACTTGAACAGGTACTCCAGTACGTGGTGTGCATGCCCCAAGCACTGACAATACGCTACACCACAACATCCATGCATCCACACACACTATTTGAAACACCCGTCCTGAGGCTGTGCTTCAGTTTAGTCATAGTTGTCATTTGATTTGCTTATGTTTCTTTTATCTCGCTCTCCTTGGCGAGGCTATGTGTGACCTTGTGAGCATGAGGTCCTTTGATACCAACTGGACTCTTTCCTTTTTCCTTGCTCTACAGCGAGGCCAACTGGGAATCATTTGCATGACTCACTATGGGAATAATTTGGGGCGCGGCTAGGGGGCTGCAGGAGCTCTTCTCCCACCTGGTCTCATTCTACCTGGGAGGAGGAATGGCAGGAAGGAAGGGAAGTCAGCCTCTTCAGGACTTCCCTCCAGCTGACAGATGGAACAAATTTAGCATCTTCCCCTCAGCGCCGAGATTTGAAGCAGTAACTGGCAGCACTCGTCTTCAGGGAGCTGAAGAACCCCCACTTCCCGGTGTGGACACGGATTTTAGTTTGCCTGAGACCTTGTCCTTGAGCCCATCTGACCTCGCATCCCACAGCATCCGGAATTCCAGCTTGGAGCCAGGGCATTCCCACTCTTCCTCTGCAGGGAGGCGGGACAGGAGAGATTTAATGCAGGGAAACAGTGGCCAGACCGAAGGGCTTGGCCTCGGTGGCTGAGTCATGTGGGGAGAGTGTCACCTGGTTTTTGGCTTCCTTCAGCATAGGAATACAGAAGGGATCTGAGGTGAAAGCACACAGTGAGTCTGTTGAGCAAATAAGGAGCACCAAAGCTGTGTGACTCACAGAGCAGGAGTGCAGAGCCCAGAGCCCGGAGTCTGTTGGGGGAAGTGGAACCCTGGTTCTTTTGGAGGCACTTTGACTTCTGGGCCGGCTCACACCTCTGAGGAGGTGACATGCAGACCGTGAGGCAGCTTGGGTTGGACGAGGGCCCTGGGCCAGAGCGTGTGCTTGGTTTGGATTTGATTTACCTGTGCTCACAAGCGCCACAGGCATGTGGAGGTGGAGCTGACTGGCCGTGCCACTGCAGGCACTTGTGCAAACCGGTTTGGCTTGTGAAGCAAGCAAGAAGGAGGGTGAGGAAGTAGTGGCTGTTTTAGACATGGCTGTTCATTGTTCAAAGCTCCACTCGCTAGCTTTTTTTTTTTCTGGAAACCCAAGACGCCGGACACACACAAGAAGCCTTTACTTCAGCGAGGGTGGCAGCGTGGGGAGAAGGTGAGAGCAGAGCAGAGAGCAGAAAGGAAGCAGGAGCAGAGACAGACAGCATGGGGAGAGAGACAGAGAGCAGAGAGAGACAGAGAGAGACAGGAGGAAAAAAGAGAACAGATGGAAGAGGCATCTTTTATGGCCTTGGAGTAGGGAGCTAGGGAAGGTGGGGGTCAGGGATTGGCAGATGCGGCTGTGGGTGCCTCAAGGGACCGGAGCAATGCAGTTTAAACCTGGGGTCACTAAGCTCGATTAGGCAGGTGGGCTTCAAGGGGGTTGAGAGCTAGGAGGTGTGAGACAGTCCTGGAAACGCAGGCATTTACAGCACTGAGACTAGGAAGGTGGGGTCAGTCTTGGGGGTCACTGAATGAGTCATTCTTTACGCTATGGGTATTCCATTGGGCAGCCCATGCCAATGTGTGGCAGGTGTGGGGTGGCCCAGAGAACACCCAGGCTTGTGAGCTGTCCCCATTCAAATGATTGTTTTAACTTTGTCATCATTAGAAGTTTGTGTCAATTCTTCTGCATTTGTTCCCCCCAGAAAGCCGTGGCTCCATCCACTGGAGTGGGTAACCAGGTATGGGTTTTGGGAAAGGCTGTTGTGTGGGGTCCGGCACCCCGGCGAACACTTGGCAAATGCGTGCCTCTGCCTGGAACATTTCATTACAAAGGGATTCCCCATCCTCACTGCCTGGCATGGGGTCATGGCTTTGCTGAGGAATAGCTCTTCCTGTTCCAGAGTTTGATGTTTTCTGGCTTCCCATTTTTATATTGACCCTTTTGGATTCCTATCCTCCCCATGGAAGCCCTGCTGGACAGTCCCTGAAAGCACAGGGGGAGGACAATGGGGAGAACACGCGAAGCCAAACGGGAGAAACCGAGACGTTGGCCCGCCCACAGTCCTAGAGAGCCCGTGAGGGCCGGGCGGCGACGCGCATGCGCGCCCCCGATTGGCCGTGCGGCGGGGGCGCGCGTGAGGGAGCGGGCTGGGGCGCGCGCGTGAGGGAGCCCTTCGGGGTGCGCCTGAGGGAGCCCTTCGGGGTGCGCCTGAGGGAGCTTCCTCGCCGGGCACAGGGCGCTGGGGCCGCACGCCGGGGAGACCCTCGGTGGTGGCCGACTCTGCGGGCCGACCTGCTGGAGGCTGCGCCCAGGGGAGGGTGGTCGGGCCGGGAAGCCGCCAGCCTCGTGGCTCGCTGAGGCGATTCCTGTCAGCAACGCAAATGAAGCGTGTCGGTCCGAGACCCTTAGGATCCCGGGGTAAGTGGAAACAACGGAAAGCATCCTCCGGTCGCCAGCCTGTCCCCGGGCTTCGTGGCAGTGACACCATTGGCGCCTAAGGCGGCACGGACGGCACGTGCAGGGGCGCATTTGGCTGTTGCTCTTTAACCATCCTGTTGCAAGGAAGCGACTTATGATGAAATACACATGACTTTCATGATAATACGTGCAAAAATCCACCGTTCTGCTGAAAACTGTGTGATCGATCCCGAGGTATTGAGTACGTTGGTTTCTGATTAGCTTTGTTGGAACGTGGCTGGTTGTACCTTCAGCCTGCTTTGCTGCGCCGGGTCTAACCATCTACGAGCTGATTGTAACTTTTTTTTTTCATAATTTTTTTTCCATAAATGTTAACAGCGATATTAGCTGTTCTTTCCTGAAACTTTCTGCATTTTTCATTTTTCTTGCCTTAATCCAATGGGCAAGGTTGACGTTGCCTGGTTCTTCCCGAGTCCAGTGGTGGTTACTTTTTCTTGTTCTTTCTGTCTTTACCACATGTAGTATCATGTTTGCTGTGGGTTTCTTTTGGCTGTTCCTAGTGTCAGTGTTAGTAGTTTATATTTCTAAAATTGCCAAGTGTTCCCAAAAAGAAGATATAATTATAACTTTAATTTTAAGAGAATGCCAGTCCAGTAAATAGCTTCATGCCATTAAATATGAAAGCCTACCTGAACGCCTGCTTTGTTTCCTTTTTTTTTTTTTTGTATTTTATTTTGATAATCTTCACATAGTTGATTAGGGCACAAAGGGTCAAGGGCTACAGGAAAGTGGGTAAGACCATTATTTCCACGTTATTATTATTATTATTATTTTCTATATTTGGGGGAAGGGGAGAGATAAAGGGAGAAGCCCACCCAGGCTCTCACCCATTCCAGGTCCCCAGG